TAAACCTCACAGTTACAATTAATAGAATATCATGGCAAATACGTTATTGATACATAGTTTGCTCGGCTATCAATCATTTCACTTTTAATAGTATTTGTTGCCGGTATCTGACTTTTTAAATAAAGCGAAATAGTAAACGATGATTAAGAACTAAGTATTACAATACTGTATTTGATCTAGATCCAATCATACTTTACCAAAATTCGTACAGATAAAGTTTTCTCTATAATTTTAAATTTTAATTGCAGGTAAATATTGCCATCCGGTATATTTTATTAAAGGAATAGCTTTATTATCATTGTAGTTCTCTCAGAGGTAAAATTCAAGAGCGGAGACAATCGCAGTCTTTACTCAACAGCATAATATTTAATAACAGTCAATATATGAGATTTTAGCCACGAAAATGATCATTTTTTGTATTCTAATCAAATTTCATTCCTATCTTTTACAAAATTTAACCATTCTATTCGATTCTTGTATCTAACCGATATAAGGACTGCTTTGGTCAGCTTTGATCGTAATCACAATACAATAAAATAAAAATATGCCATGAAATACAACAGATCAGAGAAAATGTTCTGTTTTCATTTTCATCAAATTATACTACCTTATTTGACTAATAATAATATTATTGTTATTCCCGTCAGCACCTGCATGAATTTTTAAGAAAATAAGAAAGTGTTAAGAGTATGTTACTATTAATTGGCATTATCTTTTTTAACTAACTTCACTTTCAAAAGCTAATTGGTTATTAATACTATGAATTATTCACATGTATGTTTACAACTTGACATCATTTGTGGTATTCAAGATATATTTTTGATTCATCACTGACACCGATTAATTGAACGAGAAAAGCTATTCTATCGATTACAACACTTCTTTGCATGCAATTGCAAGAAGAGACGTTTGGAACATTATGATAACAAAATAATTTATTCAAGCATTTAGAGATTGATAGAGAACTGATGTAAACATGTTAAGAATAGAATATTAAGCATAACTTTATGATAGCTTAAAAATAGGACATCGCAAATTCCGGATTGCATTTAGTACTGATACTAACACGGAAGTAGATGAGATAATTTAAAATTCTAAATTCTTTATGTAATGTTGTATCACCATTATCATGAAGATTAACAGGATTCTATTCTAACTTTTCTTGACAATTTCTTGAAAGGAGACTGATTAAGCCATATCTACTTTGACCACTAGCGTTTGAAAGCTTACCTTAAAGAAACCCAATAATACATTTTATGCAAGAATATGCTACTTACAACAAGATCGCAAAAGTAACAGTTCCTAACACTTGAAAAAGATATTTCATGGGCATCGGCTTAATCATGTACTGTACGTATTATGATTAATATTTACAATCTTGAATCTAAAATAGGTGTACTTTATCACATCGAACTTGTTACAGTCAGTTATATGGCTCAAATACTAACAAAATGAGCCTAACGGCAATTATCCTGCTCTGTATTATCCTAGTAACACGAGACTAAGTCATTAGCATGACCTGATAACTTATACACTTAAGTGACTTTAGCAAATGTCGATGCATCGATGATATTTTACGAAAACTGTTATTACAGTAATAATATTTTTACAACAATAGTAACAAGAATTTTAGTATTTTTAAAGCAAAGACTATATTACGGCATTGTTCATACCTAAATAATTCAATATAATATATAAGCTTAGATAGAGTGCTTTATTGTTAATAGTCATTGATATTATACTGTTTTCCATTTCACATTGGATTATTCCTGAGGCACACCGTACTTGAAATATCTTCTCAAGTTGTTTTCTACAAGAATGATGATATTTACAATTTAACATTATAGTTACGTTCGCTTGATAAACATTTTTTTTGTTAAAAACCCGTTTTTAGAGATTGTTACTTATCTAATAATCGCTGAAAACGATACCGTTCTTCGCTAAAATGACTTCAGTCCTAGGCCTCAATCATTTCTTGGAAGTAAAATTAATCTTATTGAGAGTACCTCGATCAGAAAGACGACAATGTTTTTTTCATCTAGATAGTAATTATTATGTAAAAAAGAATTTAAATTCTGTTCAGAGGAACTACTTTTTTCCGATTTTAAACAAATCAAGCCTATCCATTTTCGTACTGAACTGCTGGTAGAATCAAGAGCCAAAAACACTCAATGCTCATGTATTCACGGCTAACTTTGTTGATCACAATGTATAAGAAAGGTGTAGATCGATTTTTAAATTTAAAGCTCACCACGAAATGTTGATAGACATATCGATATGTACTATTGCCGGTATGTGGGGAGGTGTATATGGATTTGTAGTAATATCAAATTTCATCTGGAACAGTTGCGATTCTGTTATTATTTATTTATTTAACCAGTGTACCCGGATGTATCTCAATATGCCGGCTTCATTCAATTTTCCATCATTCCATAGTCCTAATCTGCTGTTATAAGTAGTCATTAATTAATCAACCTTAACTAGCTACACGACCCATTGTACGAAAGAATCATTCGTCCTTTAAATTGAGTACCTTAATTCTATATTGATGGATACTACAAATAGTATTATGACCAGGTATACTTTATTGGATAAAGGGTTATGATCACTTCCGGGTCAATCATGTTTGGTTGCTGCCGACTGTGCACTTTTGCTAATATTGGAGATATTATGAAGGTAGTAAGATCCATGTTGGTAGGATTTCTATCCTCTCTTCCGCATCCATTTTCTATATCATATACATCCATAATCAATCAAGTCGTTCCTTCTTACTGTTTCTACTGTACCTACTACAGTATAGCGATGTCTAGTCTTGAATCAAGCTACAAATGGAAGTGCACTATACTACGAAAGATTGACGTATTGAACGAGCAATTGTCGACAGAAATACAACATCTTGTTCGCGTATTTAACTACTGAATAAGTCATTGAATGTTGATGTTTTCCATCCATGCATTTGTTTGTTCACGGAGTTACCGTAATACTATGCGTCGATTGGATATTTTACCTAGTATCGAGAGGTCGACGATATACCAGAGTAGAAATGGTGGAGAGGAAGCATCTTGTAGGCGTATTGAACGAGTGAATACGTGATTTAATATTGATATTTTCCATGCATGCATTTAGTGTTAACGGAATTAATACGTAGATACGATATTTTACCTAGTGTGTAGTAGAAACCATGGAGATGATCTCGATGACTGCATGATTTGTAAGCAGACACCGTAAGCTATTTGAACCGACCATACAGTAAATGAAGCACTGACTGATGGTTGGTATTGACAAATTTTCAAAGGTGATCCAATTTGTTAATACTACAATCTAATTTAGCAAAATCATCGATTGTAAATTGTTGAAGGGTTTCAGAATGTGCTGACGTGAAATTTTGGCTAAATTTAAAGTATTAAAAGTAAATCTCGTTCACTTCAAGGTGAACATGAAGAGGATGCTGAAGATATTCAGTCATGGAGAGGCTTGTACTGCACTGTACCATACAGTATGTACTGTGTGTGGGTCGTCCATGATACACTGTACAGTCATCATGTTGCATCCGTCCGTCGCTGACATCTGTCAATCTCCTTCACTTCAAGGTGTACAGTGTACACTGTACAGTAATGAAGAGGGTACTGAAGATATTCAGCCTTGGTGAGTATTGTATTGCATTATATTGCACTGTACCATACAGTATGTACTGTGCGTAGGTCATCCATGATACACTGTACAATTATCCTCTCGCATCCGTCCGTCATTGACTTCTGTCAATCTCGTTCACTTCAAGGTAAACACTGTACACTAATGAAGAGGGTGCTGAAGATATTTAGCCATGGTGAGTCTTGTATTGCACTGTACTGCACCGTACCATACAGTGTGTACTGTGTGTGGGTCATCCATGATACACTGTACAGTCATCCTTTCGCGTCCGTCCGTCGTTGACTTCTGTCAATCTCCTTCACTTCAAAGGTGTACAGTAATGAAGAGGGTACTGAAGATATTCAGCCGTGGTGAGTCTTGTATTGCACTGTACTGCACTGTACCATACAGTACGTACAGTGTGTGGATCATCCATGATACACTGTACAGTCATCATCTCGTATCCGTCCGTCACTGACTTCTGTCAATCTCGTTCACTTCAAGGTGTACACTGTACTGTACAGTACAGTAATGAAGATAGATATTCAGTCATGGTGAGTCTTGTATTGCACTGTACTGCACTGAACCATACAGTATGTACTGTGCGTGGGTCGTCCATGATACACTGTACAGTCATCATCTCGCATCCGTCCGTCACTGACTTCTGTCAATCTCGTTCACTTCAAGGTGTACACTGTACACTGTACAGTCATCATTTCGCATCCGTCCGTCACTGACTTCTGTCAATCTCGTTCATTTCAAGGTGTACACTGTACAGTCATCATTTCGCATCCGTCCGTCACTGACTTCTGTCAATCTCGTTCATTTCAAGGTGTACACTGTACAGTCATCATTTCGCATCCGTCCGTCACTGACTTCTGTCAATCTCGTTCACTTCAAGGTAAACAGTAATGAAGAAGGTGCTGAAGATATTCAGCCATGGTGAGTCTTGTATTGCACTGTACTCCACTGTACCCTACAGTACGTACTGTGTGTGGGTCGTCCATGATACACTGTACAGTCATCAGCTTGCATCCGTCCGTCACTGACTTCTGTCAATCTTGGCTTGTTTTTGGATGGCGTTGACATTTGCCATCGGTACGATGACCTCCTCCGCACCGCATATGAAACGCCAAGCAACCCTTTCCATCCATAGAAATGAACTATCGCTCCACTGGTTGATTGAACACTATCCTACCGGATCGTGCCGTATTGCAGTGTGTACTTTACAAGGCCTAGGGCAAATGATTCAGGCCCGGTACGCATACAGGACTATACAGTCAGGATTGGCACCACCTCCATAGCCAGCAACAGCAAGGAGAAGCCATTTTTTTTTTTATCCATTTTAGCTCCAGTGTCAAGGATGAGAAATGGGTTCTAATTCTTCATTAATATTACGACCGGAAGAAATTGCTGCTATCCAAAAAGAAACTCATTGTAAGTACAAGTGGATGGGGCAATTATTGTCCGTAGTATCAATATAAATGAAGGGTTAGTCATGTCATTTTTTCAGTGGCTTTGCATAAATCAGTGTTGCAATGATGGATGGCTGGATTGAATAATGATCATCTCCAATGTTTGATTGATTCAACTTGGTGTTAAATTATCTTAGTTAGGGCTACTGTACTAGTAACTGATGCATTCAACTTGTTGTTTAACCTTCAAATGGATCTTATGGATTTATTCTAGTTTCTCCCAGTCAAATCCAGCGGTTGCACAGCAGATTTTCGACTTTGGATAAGCGCAATACTGGCAGTTTAACGTGAGTACACAGATGCTGTTTTGATACGATTTAATGCCTAGCGCAATCTTTTCTCGTACACTTGAATATGGAGAGTAAAATGCCTGATAAGTTGCAATAGGATTGACGGTAGTACTGGAGGATAGCCACGGCTGTGTCATATTCTACAGTGCCAATTCATGCCCATGTTGGCAGTACTCTTCAATTTCTATTCGTAGAGATGGACTGTGCAATCACTTAGAAATACCTTCACAAATTCATTCATGATTGCTCCGAACAGACGTAGAGTAGTAATCATATTATCCTTTGACTTATGATACAGATAGTATTCTGATACTCAGAGGTTATTATAGCGTATTCCAATTTCTCTTTTCAGTGACCTTCAATCGCAGTCATGGAACTATTTGAAATTACTGACGATTATAAATATATAATAATACTGGTAGAATAGTAGGATAACAATTGTCAATGCGGAAGAATGAAATATATCGTCGATATTGACCTTATTGCTGGACGTTACAAAATACTAATCAAGATCATCCAACGTTTCTAACTTAGGCGTGAAGAGTTTATGCGAATTCCTGAACTTGCTATCAATCCGCTCGGTGACCGCATTATTGAGTCTTTCTTCTGGGATTCGACGTAAGTTTTATCCTTCTAGCTTGTATACTTATTATAGACGATCATGTTTGTCCACTTAACATCGGCTTCTCGATCATATTCATCATGGATAAAATATAGAGTTATATTAACAGCATTCTTTCTGCTTGTCATTCCAGAAATAATGGTGCAGAACCAAGTATTAACTTTAGGCAATTTATGAGAACGTTGGCTTTATTTAGACCTTGTAAACCAAATGAAAAACCGCAAGCAATAGAGGAAATTCGAGAACAAAAATTAAAATGTAAGTGATGATGCAAGCTAAAATCGCCCATTTTCTCGTCTTAACTCGTCTTTGGCTAATGTTCGATGTGCATATAGCCAGAGACTGCTCAAAAAACGAAAGGGAGGTAAATCGGCCATTTATAACCTTGTGTAGTCCCTGGTATATAACATAACTCAATGATGTGCCATCGTTGAATTGGATTACCTTTCGCAATATTGTTTACATTACCAAATTTCCCTTGAACACTGTTTTTACACCTGATGGACATGATTGCATTACTTCAACTTACAATGTTTTCTTCCAATCGATTATTCTAATAGTAGTATTTACCGGCTCTTTTTCTATGCCAGATGCATTCAAGATGTATGATCTCGATCACGATGGCAAAATATCCAGACATGAATTACTCGACGTGAGTTAAGCTGTGATGCAATTTAGGGTGCTTACAATCATTCAATCTACTATTTTGAACCCTGTATATAAGGGTGTTTCGATAATCAAACATATTTATTGATAGAATTGCGCAACTTCAACTTCATTTTATGATATTAACCATCCATTTTGGCGCTCTTACTAAGATAACTTTATTCATCAATACAGTATTATTGTTGTACCCTACCAAAGTTTATTACCAATGTTCAGTTAAAAATATTGAAATATGACTGTTACCAGTTGCGTATATTGTATTAGTGTATAATATTTTATTTTACAAGTAGTAGCATACATATACCGACTATTTTCACACATACTAGACTTGCTTTAAGTGACTGATATAGCCTTCAGCTTTATTACATGCTAATATGGATAATTTCATTGACAGATTCTCCATATGATGGTCGGTACGAACATATCTGATGAGCAGGTAATTGCTATAAATGACAGTCGTGTATTGCGGAGGAAGTACAGCACGATTACACTCATTGTATTTACCATTGATTTAAATGTAATGTATTTTCTTATATAGTTGGGTTGCATCGCTGATCGTGCAATCGTTGAAGCTGACACCGATGAAGATGGTTGTATATCGTTTGATGAATTCAAAAAGGTAAAATGATATGTTTTACTGTAGGCGTAATAAATACTACAATAAATAGGTCTAGAAATCGAGAATCCTGCTATTGCTAAACTTCACTGTGCCCATTTACTAGGCATTAGAAAAAGTTGACGTCGAACAGAAAATGAGCATCCGATTCCTACATTAGTTATCAGTAGTTGTTATTTACAGTGTTTAAGGCCAAAATACCTGCACGAACAACACCTTCATAAAATAAGAATAGCTGTATTCGAAGTAGAATTATCGTTTTTTGTTTAATATTTGAAATTGTGAAAATACTATTTCAGTATCGCTTAATTTATAAAGGTTGCAGGATTATGACAGTAAAATTATTCGATGTTCGATGTTGGCAGATCAAGTATATTACTAAGCGTATCATAATCGTTACTATTTAAACTACTTGTCAATTTGACTATAACCTTCTCACCAATGTACGCTGCGATATTACTTACATTTAAAGTATTCTTCTTCAACACTTTGTTCAAAGTAATTTCTGTATTGATAATTTGTACGCGTATGATAAAAGCTGTGTGGTTTTGCATGATAAAGCGGAATGAAATCCATAGATCTGATCTAGGAATGTGCTTTTTTCTTTCAAAAAGATATTTTCGAATTGATCGATTATGTCTTAATGATTAAGTTATTAATCTTACTTGGAAAGTTTATGCTCTCTGTTCTAACCATTTATGAGCAGCAATAATGTAACCGTTACTGTTTGTGTAACTATGATGATAAGATATCCATTTAAGCGCTAAACTATCGTTGGATTGACTCTGTAATACCTATTGATGTAATTTCTCTGTATTCCCATGACGACAGTAGTTTGACTTACGGATAACGAATACGTCGTACTGAAACAACTATGTTATGAACTAGTATGAGATACCTACAGGAAGTTAGCGTAGTTTCGTAGCGTACTTCGATGACATTGGATGCAGGAGTATTTAAAAAAATGGGATTTAAATGCGTTTTATAAGATTTTGCGAACGAGATTTTGATAATTGTTAACGTATGAAATGCATTTTGGACGTTACTGAAGTGTTGTATACTTTAATATAGGAATATATTGATAACTTTTAGCAAGATAACAACATCATATAAAATATTTAATAAACTGATTGACTGCATAGATGAGAATTCATTAATAAAAAATTTAAAAAATAAATGGAAATGTTGCAATCTCGCGACAGCGCTATTTCGCTCCGTAACCTTTCCCATAAGCTCTGACTTAAACTATTCTAATGCCAAATCTTTTATCCTTTGGGGATAAAAGTCATGTTACTTTATAAAAATGTTAGTATATCATTTGATGCTATATAGTTAATTGCAAATTCAATTTGATGATCCAACAGCGATCCAGATGCCAACGGGTGATCAAATTGAAACCGTTACTACCGTCTGCTAAAAGTATTGATATTAACTATAAAAGATATAGAATTGCGAAGATGAAAATATAAATTAAAGAATTTTACCTATGATACGGGTATTCGGATGCCTAAATCAAAATTATCATCAACGCTAGGTAATCAAATGTGAGGCTATACAATTCGTGTAGTATTAAAATTATCAACATCGCTAATTTTAACCGAAATTATTCACAGTTACAAAACAAGTTGATTACATTTAATTCTAGCTACACCCACAATTAATAATAATTTAAATTTGCATTTTACCCTTGCGACTAAGTTGTTACTATTTTGTGGACTTTTAGAGAATAAAACGAATAATTTGAAGCTGTAAACTGTAAATATAATTAAAAGTAGTTACTATGATCCTATGTTCGTACATTGGAGAACGAGTTTAACAGTTTTATCTACATAAAGTATGTTACAATATTTATAAGTGAAGTAGTGACTATCGCGAAGTAGACTCTGTTCGAATTTCCAACTGGAGTTAGAAGCTAGTCAATTAATCTTTAGTATCCACATCAAAGATGTAGCATTTATATTTGTATATCATTTCGACAGTTTATTCCATTTCATTTGTTTAGTGCAATTTATGTAGAAAATAAAGCAACAGGGTCAAGCAAAAATTAAGCAGTTTATTTTTGTATTACGTTGCACAACTAAAAGAAAAAGGCAAAATTATCATTGAGCAGCATGACTTAAATAGATCATCTACGTATAAAGCCAAAATAAGCAAAAAATATCACCAGTTTTATATTATAATATTATGCATGCATTGTAAAATACTACCATTATAGTAATTGGTAATTTAGCAAATACTATTACAGTAATATCCTGTAATTTAACAGTATATCACAGCCATAGTGAGCAATATCTTAGCCCTATAACAGCATACCAAAAAGCACATTATCGCCTACAGTGCAGTAAAATATTTGAAAGCAAAATTCTTGAAGTAATGCATTAAAATTCAGGCTGAAAAACATTTTTAATGGTTTTTAGGTTATATAACGTGCTGCCCAATCTTCCTTTATAGAAGCAATACCATGTCAACTTCACTTGAACTTTTCTTTTTGACAGGTCAAATCCTATTTCAATTTTGATTAATAAAGTAATTAAAGTGTCAATCTTGATGTAGTTTTCCAAATTTAATGGAACTACAGTATAATTAAATCGTATATTGATTATACCTATTTTTCATCACCTGAGGACAGTGAATGTTTGCGTTAAGCATCTCTAGAACGGCCACTGCCGGTCACTTGTGCTTTGTTAATGCCACAGTCCTTTGGAGCATATCGGGCACAACGAGTGTGAACATTTCTTTTGCATTCTATAAAATTATCAATAATACTTTCGACGTTCAGTAATAGTGGATTGCGAATTATCTGTACTACTATCACATCTTCATTATTAAATATAGGACAGTAAAAAATCTGATGCGAGGCTAGAAAATTCGTTTTATGTTATAGGTGTATAGAGTTTATGGTTAGGAATAAAAATATAATCATAGACCATTATGATATAGTGTCACAAAATAACTTTTGTGAATAAATACTTCTCTTATTTTCCATAAACAAGATATTCTAGCATTTTTTGATAATGACTAGTTGCCTAATAAAGTTTGGATTTAGTTTTTGTCTAAGAGAGACTAGTGATTAACTGTAATCTCCTAACGATAAGGAGATCATCCATATTTAGAATCGTGCTGAAGGTAGATGTCGGGGAGGACAGACAAACTTGCCAATAGGCCAATAATAATATTAATTTTCTGAGAGCAATTTTAATTTTTTTCATCGGTCCAAAAATCGATTTTATAATAAATAGTTGTAATTTTACTAACTCACCTTTAAACGCAGGTAGTATAAGTTTAGTTTTAGAGCTTATTATATGAAAATTAATACGCACTGTAGATCGATAGTACGATGCTTTTAAAAGTATAGATTAATTCAATATCGAATCTTTGGAACATAAATTGCTGCCTTAACAGAAGTATTCACAATAGTTGTATAAAAGCTTCTGATGAAAGTTGATTGAGATATTTTAGAAGCATGATACAATTATTAAAATCATGCGGATATTTACTGCATGACTAGTTGAATAAGTTAAAACCCAGAAAACCGATTTTTGATATTATAGAGTGCCGTTATGTATTCAATATGATTGGAAATATAACGCTAACAGCTTTTGGTTGGTATAAACTTACAATTCGTAGAAAATATGAATCATGCATATTTATTTAACCTTAGCTTAATGGAAAGATAATGTTAGCACAAAGCTTTTGATATCAGCTTCTATCGAATCAAGTTGACTACAAGGTATAATATTTCTTTAATTTGGTCAGATAGTGTTGGATATCAGTTTAAATACTATTAAGTGAGAAGTACATAATATTAGGGTTCTGCGGTAACCATCTCAAGAATATATTACGTACTGTATACTGCTTTCATCCTATAGGACATACAGATCATTACTATCAGACTAGAATCTAGAAAAGCTTCCACTCAGTATCAAAATACTATTCGTCAAACATGAAATCATTTACCTTTGCATTTCTTTCCTTGATGATACAATCCGTACAGTAATGAGCCACAATGTGTACAAAATGCCGGTGACTTATAATTATGCGTTGTAAAGTTGTGCGAGATGTCGATATCAACAACTGCTGTAGAATCTTCAGCCTATTTAGGAAGTAAGAAGCGATAATAAAAAATATAGTTTAAAAGGAAAATTTGATTCTATACGGATATCTTAGATGATACCTAGGCTATATTTATTTATTACAAGTAAAGTTAATATTTAAGTAATACTCGATCTAGTTCAATATGACAATTTTTGAGATTATAATGAGATAGTTTTTAATCAAAAATGACTCTAACGACTAAAATTATGTCATAACGCATTGGCATTCCTTAAAATTCCGCTACTACATGCTTGCTGTGCTATACTTGTTGTAAACCTATGTTTTTATGGTAGTATTTACTTCAGCCGAATTCGAAGCGCACTTGGTAACTGTTTGCTGATGACATCGTTTATGGACGACAATCCGACAAGCTACAAGAAGATAGAAAAAGCATTTATAGATTATATACATACTTAAACTAAACTCCTACGCGTGAAGTTCTATACTATCAAATCAACCATCGTATTTCAAATTTATCAAAGCTCTTTGCCTATCTAAAGCACACCTCATCATACGGTATCTATTTCGAAAATTTTGCCTTACATTGACATTGGTATCCTTGTCTTTTTATGGCTCCCCTATGATATTGTAGAAATATTATGTAAAAATTATAAAACGCTAATAGTCAATTTTTGAAATAATTAGCAAGATGCCATTTAACATGAAAAGCACTTATAAATATTCCTTAATCATTCCTTCCCTATCTGTCATGAAAAATGAATAACTATTTCCTCACTTTAATAGATGTTGCGTTAAAGCTAAAAGAAATTACTGTAAACGATATAGGATAGAGACTGTTATTGTGACCACTAGATATGATCACTAAGTATTTAAATATCATCTCGCAATGTGAAGATGATTTCATTTAATACCACTAGCCTTGACGTATTAATTTCTACAAAATAATAACTTGACTTTAAGAAAACATCACTATAGTTTAAAATAAGCATCTAGGGGCCTGTATATTTTTTTATTAATCATACTTGATCAAATAACTGTATCTTTCGTGCTGTTCATTATTTTTCATAAAAATTTTAGTTATATCTAGGCGAGTGAAAATAGTACAGTACTGTAGCTCGTAGTGTCAATAATTGATTTTTGCCCAAACGGAATTCTATTTACGATTGAAATTAATGTATTATTTAGTCTTTCATTATGGTGATGACTATATAACTAACAGTCGGAATAATTCACATGATTGCCTATGCCAAGATTACTGCTTGTTTTTAAAATGTCAAGATACGGTACATTTTCTGCACTGCTTTGAAATATTTGTAATTATTATATTTAGTTTGAGTTTCAAATTATACCCTATTTATTTAGTTATAGGTTATTTTCTTCTCTTATTATGTAAATTTCCTATCATTTGAATCGAATAACCTGATTCGATTTTTCTGTGCACAGCATGTCAACAGGTAGGGACGAAATTATCGAAATGATTATACTAATCGATATTATTATACTACTTTTCAAGTATTGGCTTCAAGAGTGCGGGTATTATGCCCTAGAATGAATAATTTACTCAGTAATAATGTTTGACGTGCATATTCTATCTCTCCAAATGATAAAATTTCTTGCCAAACGAATTAAGTAATCAGTAAAGATGCCAATGAAATAGGCAAACATTCAGCCTTGATGGTGCCTTCAGTTCTGATTTGGCTAACGATAGTCTTAGGATATTCATTCAAATTATTTGTCACAGATAATATTGCAAGGACTAAAGTATGGAGCTAAAGTTATTAACCAAACTCTCCAAAATAAAGATTGGCAAATAGTAAGTTACTAGTATGGGAAACTGAGACGACAAATAAATGGTTTAATTGACGGCTAACTCTATAAATAAAGATGATGAACGTTGAAATTAAAAGACTATCAATTTACTAAATGAACTGCTCTCGACATCACTTACTTTTCTATACTACAGCTATAAGACTACTTTAACGACTTAATGGGAGAATTCACTAACCAGATAAATCCATCACAATGAGCGCAGAAGGTAGGCTGACGAAAAAAGGTCGCCACAAATTGATGGCCAGATATCTCGTGAATCCTTTTGGGCTTGCCTAGGCGTGTCCCGGAATGGTTGTTAGTTGATGAGGTACAGACCGCACAATTGTTCGACATGATGTTTTAATTCAAACCTTGAATCGAAACTTTTCTTTTTTCACTAAATAGCAAGAACGAGGATGATAGTAGGTTCTGATTAATAAGCTAGTCGTTGATCGCAATTAGAAATTCTGATGATACGCGTTAGTTATAGAAGACGTAGGAAATCAATTAGCAGCCAAAATGGAAATGATCTAAAAATTACGACTATGAAGACGTTCGTATACAGTGATATCAGTGAGGAAAGGACTTTTAATTTAAAAATCATACAACATTTAATGGAACAGTTTAAGTAGTCAGTAATCTTTTAAAAAATTAAACTGAAGAATTCAGGTTTATGCGTGCGTGTACACGGTGTAGTTTAGGGTCCATCAAATGTGAACACTTATTACACAATTGTCGCTAAAACAGTTCATTTAATTACTAATAGATTCGTCTACAATCAAATCAAATAAATGTAAACTTAAAAGCCTTGCACTAGGCTGACTAAAGACTACTGTGAAGCTACAGAATTTCTATTTAACATTACAGTACCACTAGTATAGCAACAAGCGTAAACCATATTATAAACAGGCATTGCTATAGCAAAATAAATCCTATTGGTACACCAGTGAAAATCATTTTATTGCCTTCATCTTTTGAATTAAAGGGTGGATAAAGATAAATATCCAAATTAAACGTTTCAGTGATTTCTCTTGCAACTTAAATACTAAATTACTGAACCCTAGTGTCCACTCATATGTATGCAGATAGCGATTTCTTAGCAACAAATTACAAAACTACTGGACCTTAGTGTACAGTCATTCACGTACGGGTAGGCAGACTGAGATTTTTTTGCAACGAAAATACAAAATTACCGAACCCTAGTATATAATGATATGTATGTAGATTGTGTATATATACATTACATAGAATGGTTAAAAAAATGAATAATTTCAAGGGTTAATTAGCAATGGTTTTATATGTTGTCTTCATAAAATATCAAAGGCAGCCATAATCAGTTACAATCGAGATTAAAGATAGGCGAAACTTGCTCAAGTTTACCAAATTAATGCGTGCATAATCTTGCCTTATCATTCTGATTAATAATCAATACTAGTTAGTAAATTTTATCTTATTGCTGTGCTAAAATGTTTGCCTTTTCTTTATCTTCTTATTATGTCAACTTAATTTCCTTGTACTTCTTTAAAATTCAAGTTAACACTCCAATTGGAGTTTATCATAGCAAACGTGAACCAGAAGAAAGTGAACAAATCATAAATAATAATAATAGGAAAAATTTTATGTACTCTAGTCAATTGATTGTATGAACCATAGCAAAAAAATGGTTTTAAGTATTCTAAAACTCTTACAAGAGAAATAATATTACGAGAATAATACTGCATCTCTGAAATGGAAGAGAAAAAAATGTTGAAACCTATTTTTTTATGTTGCGAGTAAAATCAATTAAATGCTGTCAAAAGACCGTTTTGCTTACCACTATTATAATAATTATACATTGATCTAATTTCAAAGGCAATGATGGGTTATATTACTTATCATGACTTCGTTATTACCTTGCAATTAATTAGGTGTAGCAAAATAAAGCGTTCAAATAACTTCATAGACAATTAAGAAAACGATACGCAGAATCTCAGCCGAGTTATGATTTTAAAACGAGGCGTTACCCAGAAAGAAAAAAATTATTGATCTCTATGGGGCGTTACCATTTTCTGGATGCAGCACTTCACGATACAAGCCTAACTCTGTAATGAAATAGTATAGCAGTAAATAATAATAATAGAAGTTTTTCTATTTTGTTTTAGTTTACTTTTTCCACGTAACATTAATGAATATTTTCAAGCAGATTGTAAGCTTGTTTTGTGGGTGTCGGTTAGGGGACATTTTATATTCTATGAGAACATTCCATGAATCGATTTTCGTTGACATAAGAGTCGGATGAGCATATCGATTACGAACTTATTAACTGTAGAAATGATTCAATTTCAGAAAGCTTGTAATAAATATGATAGTTTGGCCAATCTTATCACGATAGGCATATCGGATCGCCAAAAAAAAACTCATCCATGGCCGACCCCTGATTTAGACCATATGCCAGCCCACTGCATAATATATAGTACAAGTCGTGATTGCTTTGAAAATAATAAAGTAGTAAGAGTACTGTATGTTCGCAGCGCTAGGACACTTTAAAAAAGTTTTCGTCGCTATAATGTTAAGTTAACAAGTGTAAAACTCCTAATCGAGACTGACGAGTTAGTGATGCAATGCTGTTGCACCATTCTATGAGCTTTACACTTGTTAACTTAACATTTAAATAGGACGATACGTATATTCCCTAGCCGTAACAATCTGCTTAAAGGCACCTCAGTAATTCCGACAATATCAATACCAAATCGATCATTTGCTAATCTTGATAGTCGATAGTATAAGATAACATCGCTAATAAGATAATTTGATCACGATTTTTAATAACTTATATAACGAGTGCAACATAGAAACTGGCAACTCTACTTGATACACGTTCAGTCTTATGTCAGTACTGTAGTTAAATACTACTTGCAAACAACTTGACATCTGAGTAGTAATTTCAATACCTTTTATATAGATCTAATCATGTATCATTTTGTACCCTATTATAATTTACGCCTTAAGGCTGCTTTAATAGACGCAATGCAAATTAAATCGATCAATTCCATGAAAATAATATGGCTTAATTTATTCGGATCACATCTATGAAATACATACTGTAATTAGGCTAGTTTCATTGTACATTTCGCTACAATAGGATAATAAAATACGAATTTCTGAAGAGAAACTAAAATATGATATTAGAAGTTTGCTATGCAGCATTTGATAAAATCATGTGCCTTAAGGAGAAATACTTGATCTGTATTCTATTTCATAGAAGCATAAACGCAGAAATCGTACAAAATTTGGCTCGTATATCAAGTCATGACATGGACTAGCAGCTACATTCGTATCATAGTACATCGTGCTTGTTTAGCAATTTCGATCAATTTTATCACAATTTTCTACCACGTACAAATAGCAATACCCTTTTACCTATCTAATTTTATGAATTAATGAAAGATATATTTTTACGATGATTATTATTTTATCCCAATTTTCTATCATTTAAAAATGGCAATGTCTTTTCACCTATTTAATTTTATGAATTAATGAAAGACATATATTTACCATGTGTATTTTCTAATCATGAATTTGCAATATCATCGCCGGTTTCTATTCATAAATATGACTGTCAGCAGTCTTATCCGGATGAAATACGAAAGTAGTAAATTCGGATGGTATTGCCTCATAGTAATCGTCTTGTTTCAACCCATATATAGCCAACTGGACTTTACTTTCATCCTCTTTCATGAATTTCACTACAAAATAAATAATCATTGGAAAAAGAGTTCTGTCAATTTCAATTCTTTTCACCATCAAAGAGCATACGTATTTGCGTAATATCAATAATCCTGAAGCTCATAAGAAAATCACATTAATATTACTTATTCAAGTGTATCTTGTATTATAGGATGCACTACATCTAGAATCCATTTTTAAGCAGTTAGAGCTTATACTATACTTAGAGTTACTGTAGGAGAAAATTATCTATTTCCAAAACACCAGGATCTATTCAGACTGTTAGCATAACTAATATTGATAATTATACATATATTTATGATTAAAAATGCCATCTTTAAACTAAATTTTAAATATTACAGAGTATGAACGATGACTGTACTAATACTATCTTGTTAATTATTTCTAATCCGTTAATATCAGGATATGAGTAAGTACGCGTGTACGTACTAAATTTCAACATACATTTATTATTAGCGTCCACCAAACTCAAAACGTGGAAGTTGCAACTAAATGATGGTCCTAATAATTTTGTCGCAAATGATCTGCATTTTTTATCTGTCGATGATGAAATTTTGGTGATAAATGTGACAATAATTAATAGGATATTTTTTACCGTTCAAAAAACATTAATTGTACTTTTAACTTATAGCTTACATAAATCACTAATGGTTTCCTGAAGATCTAAAGCAACAACTTGACTAAATGGATAGCCCTTTAAGTTATAGAAATAAAATTAGCATAACAGCGTAAATAGCTTCTGCCCGTAGATTGTAGCTAACACAAAATATCTTATACTCACATTACATATATCTGGCATTAATATCACTCTAACAATTTCTTGATCTTTTTCAATTATTCTATACAAGTATTCCTTTCCTGACAAATCTAGCTTTTGTAAGAATAGTAAAGCATTTCTAAATGTCACGAAGGCCTTTTTGTTAGATTCTTCATTTAAAATTTCATGGTCGATTAAATTTTCAATATAATCGGCTTCGTAAACTAGCTTAGATAAGGAGGTTTTACTAATGCTGTATGCCATGGTCTTTAAATCTGCAGAAAAATGAAATGTTTAGATATTTGCTTTTTCTGTTAAGAGCAAATTAAGAAAAATTGATCATGTTTACCCTGGTACGATTCTGGTAGCATTTCGAATGTTTTAGTAACGTACTCTAGTTTCTTTTTAGGCACACTTGCTTTGATCATGCTCTCAAAATTTTGCCCTATTTTGGCCACATCGAAGGTGCTAGATTGCTCTGGTACTGGAAGATTGATAATTATCAATAATTATGCTATATTTCAAAACTTAAATAGCGAGAAATAGTCACTAGTCATCATGCTTTACAAAAACAAGGTTTATTTTCTAATTTTATTTGATTTAAAAGTTGATTTAAATAGCATGATGTTCTATGATTAATTTTGATAATAATATCCCTACCCCTTATGTTTACTTTTCAGATACTTGTAAATAAATCCATATGATGCAGAAAAAATAATTTTTACCAACACTGGCTCAAATTTCTTCACTCTAGCACTCATATCAGTAGTTGTACTATTGATAGCAAGTATACGCTGATTCTCTTTCGCTGACAAAGATTCTTTTATCAGTTTTTTCAATCGAATAAAGACCTGTTTAAAATTTAATTATTTCCTCATCATCCAATTCATCAACTTTATTTATAACAGTAACCTTTAACGGTATAGTCAGTGCTCTTTTTTAAACTAATTTGAGCAATACTATGATAAGTACAATTGATATGATATTTTCAATATTGTCTAAAGTATAATCTGACAATAGAATATATAGCATTACTGAATTTAGTTATGCCTCACAGATAAGTGGCTGAACTAATAGAGGAGAATAGTACCCCAAATCCGTTATATTAAAATCAATTTCTATTTTAAACCATATACTTTATTCCAAGATGTAGAAGTGAAACACATAATTAGCTTAATTTGTAATGTACAAGTTTAATGCTATGTTTTTAATGATATATGAGCTTCATGTTATTTTTAAGACCATATCGAACGTCCTTCTTATTTTCTGCTATATTTTAAAATCATAGAAATCTATTCTCTACTCAAAATTATCTTTCTGCCTTGCATAGACTTACCTCATGTAGATAAAGATCCCATGGCCCTAACAGGCATTTATTTAGTTCAATTTTGAATAATTTTTTAAGCATTTCTTTATTTCGTTCCTGAATATCTTTTCTAAAAGTAGAGTTACGTTTACCCAAAAGACCTGAAATTTTTTTTTTTCGCTGAGACTGATTTTTAAATTCATTTTGACGAATCTCATGATTGCTGATTCCACGAAAATCATAAATCCAATCTAAAATCCCTTTTTCGTGTAACGAATATATTGTAACTTAGCTTCAATGCGCCATACATTCAATATTAGCTTAATATATTTAAACATCTAATAGAAATCTATAGTATGATCTTTCATGTTCTTTGAATTTTAATAGGGTTGCAGTAAATGCTCTTAACTAATTCTTAATTCATTTTACTAGTAAATATTCATTATAAAACTAGAGTATCTGCTTACATTAAATACTCTTTACTACTTGTCATAAAGCAGCTTTGTGACAAGGTTTACGTGAAAACAAATCTCTAAATTTCGAAAGACTCCAGGATTTAGTAACATTTGACCACTCATAAAAACTTAAACGCCTTTGCTTCTACGCTGCATAATCGGAGAATTAGGTTTTTTAAACTATCTGCCGGACTTATGTACCCTTTTACAGCAGCTAACATTGAGGAATCATCTTACAACAATATTTGAAGATATGGACATCTACTAAGTGATTTATATAGTCGAACTACAGTCTATCCATTTACAGAATCATTTCAGTACACTTATGAACTACTATTTGTTAGTATTACAATCAAGAGCTTGCACTATAATCAATTACTATATGGGCTATACTGTTACAGTTCGACGTACAGTTTACTCTAGCACATTACAACTTCAAAGGCACCTGCTGTAAGGTAATTGTAATCACCATATTTAAATGCTAAATTCGGTAAATTTAGCTATTTAATTTACAGTAGTTACTACCGTGACACTACCATATAATATTATTTCTTAAAACTAGAATTTGATCTCTAATTGCTATATTATATAGTACATAATCTATGAAAAACTCAGAAACCGATGCGACTAAAATAGTACCACGAATAAAGCCCGTAAAATAGAGACTACTATGGAAATGATGTTTAATGTTAATAGCTCTATCAAATTTGTTATTATCTAAGGAAGAATACTAAGAAAATTTCTATCAATATATAGGGGAAATTAAAATTAAGGTACTCTTATATAAACGAAATGAATATAGTAAATTTTTACCAGGTAAATATAATGAACTTAAACTAGATGTTGAGATAGCGTAATTTTATAAGCCAATGATGAAAGTTTCGGAATTTTTCATATTTAATTTCCCGATTAAATATAGTAATTTGAATGGCATTGGTTGAAAAAAAAAAAATCCTTATAAGGGAAGCACACCTACCATCTTGGGCAGTTTGGAGTCTTTCTTGTCCTATTAAAGATGGATAATACAAGAAAGTAATTCATCATTCCCAGTTATGCGCTTGAAAGCAAATAAGAAGTAATAAGACTTGAAAACCTACCATTATCGAGATCATCTGGAACTACCGGTTCTGTAGGTAGCCGTTGGGGAAGATTATCAGTCAGGCCAATGTGTCTTAAAAATCTACCACTATCGAGACCATCTGGAGCTACCGGTTCTGTACGTAGCAGTTGGGGAAGGTTATCAGTCTGGCCAATGTCTTCATTAATAACGTCGTCGAGTTCGTCGTCTTTGGGTAGCGAATAGAACTTACGTTACTTATTCTATTACATTGGCTTTTAGAGACAATGTTTAGTCTTATGCAAAACTATTAAATTTTTCATTTCATATGGTATCATTTGCTGCATGAAGTGCCTGTATGGTAGCAAAAATAAAATAATGATATATCTGATATTGTCTTACCAATTACTTGTAATTGGAGTTTTAATTCTTTGTCACGAAAGCAAACATAACACCCAATCAAGTCATCAATTGTGTTAAAACTTTGATTGAAGCCATCAATTCGAACATCTAATAAAATTTTAATTACCCAAGAATGCCTTCAAATCAATACGATTTTAATTAAATATTGATATTAAAAAATTATATAGCGGATAGTTACCAAACTAAACTTATCTCCGTAAAAATTTATTGCAAATAAAGAATTCATTATCTAATCCACTGCTTAAATATTATTATCTTCGCGGTTACTAAGATTGAAGAATAAATAATTACACGAGTATGCACAAAGCATAAGAATCAGCGAATTCTTCAGATTATATCATTTCGCGAAGTGTTGCAAGGTGCAATGCAAATATAAATACGATTATGAAGTTAACTGAAGTTCTGATGGAATATTTTTTGCAGTTATCATATTCATTTATTTACCGCCTTTATAAGGTACTTTACTCAAATTTACGTAATAGGCTTATTTAAAATAGTTGATTCGATGATTGATGATTGTTTAGTTTTATCAAATCCAATATTTTGTTACTTTTAAATTATAACTCATAGAATACGAGGCTATTTGTTACCGGTAGCTATTTTATCCTAGTCGATCTAATATTCCGAATAGATATATTTATTCGTTGATCACTGTCCATCGAAGTACCACACAATGCAATTTTTACGCTTACATTATTCAGCTATAATCTCAAGCTAGATTTATAATTAAGTGAAGACGACTATATGTATCATCCCTGAGCTGAATTACTGTAGTACTTATGGCAAGTAAACACTTGTTCATCATTTCTGACATCAATAATAATTATGGTAAGTATAACCGACTATTATACGTTGTATACAGTAGTGCCTTACTTCATATCACTTTTGCACTTTCAAAAAACATTACCGTTACAGTTTGCTCAGATGACTACATAGAGAAAGTCTTAATACGAAGCAAGCGAGCTTGTATACTCAGAGATTTGTTACTGATAATGCATACAATTTTCTTCATGTATTGTACCGGTTAATTCTTCAACTGCCAAAATTGTTTAAATCATCAAGTATAAGCTTACCGCCCATTCGTGATAAAATTCTAAATTTGGCCACTACAGAACAGTCATTTTTCAATTTTACCAACAGCACAAATGCATGCGAAGTTTCGGTAGCTATCACCAGAAATGTCTACCAAAATATTAGAATTATGAGCGCAAAAAAGTACATTGCTGGCGTAAATAACTTTTGAGATCAGGTCGATTTGTAAAATAGATGAAGACCATATATCTAAGTCCTCATAAACTAAATATTCGGATATTTAATTCATAACAGTACGAGGTAATGCATAATAACTTACTCCTGCTGCCTTTTGCTGCAGCAACTCCTCAGCTGTTTATTCGCCAATATTTTAAATAATACAGCCAGAATGTTGATATTAATCAAATGATTATAATTATTAATTAAAATTAACGAATTTACAGTAAGTGCAGTATTTTCAATAAAACGGTAGATAGTTATATATAGCTATTTTCGTTTTTTTCGATCGAGATAACTAAAAATACGATAAAATATTTTAAATACCTGTACTTATATCAACATTTCTTTTCATCCAAAGCGATTTAGACGCCTTAACTCTTCTAATTGCTTTCTAAAAGACAAGATATGTACAGCTACAGCATAAAACGGAGCTACCAAATCATTTAGTAACTATTTCAGTAGAACACTCTAGAACTACTATATTTCTCCAACATTTAATAGCCAGAATTTTGATTAGTAAGTTAACTAAAATGCCGTAGAGCCGATTGAACAATTGATAGTTTAATCTCAAACTACGACATCGGCAAGCAAATATTTAACATTGATATACGCAACCATAGAAATAAAACTGCAATTATTTCGACTATAATTAAATTGATTTTTTTCGTTAACATGTATTTACAGTGTTATTATACTTAAATGAAAGTTATATAGTACGACCATCATAACTACAAAAATATTCTACTTCTGTTATAATTTTAACCATCAAACTTATATCCGATCTTTACAGTTCTCCCTTGACAGGGCACTTTATAGTTTCGAATAAGATTTTAATGTCTTCTTGTTACAATAAATCGTTTCAGGTTGCAGTTACAATCGTTAGCTTTAAAATGAGTCACAGTAAATGAAATCTAATATCTTAATGCCGCTTAAATCAATAGGCTTATATAGTTTCTCAGACTGCCTTATCATTTTAGTAAATAGGTTAAGACAGTTGCAACTTATTACGCCTATCATTAGTCCACTCCTATTCACCTTCAATCATAGGTATTGTATTTTTATCGTAGGTAATGAAACGTTGCTATATTTCTGAGATTAATCTAAATTACTGATAACTAAACCTGATCGCTAGATTATGCTGAAATACCATAATGTCAGTCAGATATAAAATTAATTCACTTTTAACTTAATATTGAAGCAACTGCCGATAATGCAAATTTTCTCGAAACATACTGTTAGTTTGTTACCTGTATATCATATACGGCTAATTGTTGATATTCAGAGGATGATATCGTTAATCAGAATGTATTAAATGAAATGAAATAAGAGTTATCATAAATAGGTTCATTAGATTTTTTAGGTCTTTGTTAATAACAAATGTTAATTGATTATATTTACACATTAATTTATCTCACAGTTTTCAATAGAGTTAATTCGATATTAAAAAGTTTCAGTAAGATATTAATAAAAACCTTTTCGTGATTTTAGCTGTTGATTTAAAATCTCTTCCTTAGACTCATTCGGAAATGATTTCATGTAAACGTATTCACCTTCATTTATTGCTTTAGTAGCGTTAGTAGATAGTAGTAGTCTTTTGGTAGCAGAATAGCAACTGATCTATTTCGAAATGATTAATGTAAACTGGTACCATAATTCAATTGATAAACCTGTATTTTCTTCTGAATCAGACAAGATATACTCGAATTTCTCAAGATTCGATACTTCATTATAGTCTTGAATGCTAACATGCTGCATGGTGCAGTCTAGAAAATTTTAATTTAAAATTTATTAATTACGACTAAGCTTATCGATTACTGATCTCAAATAACTTGCTAATCATCAATACAATTTTGCAACCAATTTTAATGGTAATAACTTATTCAAGATCATTCATCTGCTGTTTTAGTTAGTTTTTCTTCACAGACTTAGTTTAAATTAATGCATTAGCAAAGTAGGAGTAGCTAAGTAGGTAATATACCACAATCAATACAACATATAAGCTATTATAATTTGATGACTAGTTGATATTACAGGATGTTACTGCCGCTAACTAGACCTGACTATTTACAATGACCAATCACATATTCAGTAATTTCCGAGTAATTTTAGATGGCAGATTATTCAAAACTAGTTAATTACCTACGACAATTTTATTAATTTACGATATACTAACTATAACAAGTTTAGTTTTAATCTTAAATGTAACGGCTGAAAAGATATTAGACGTCTATTTTGGGGTTAAATAACTAAATTTGGGATTCTTAAGGAATTCAGAATAGTAATTTCGTCAGCTCAATCATAAATTACATTTCCTTACTCTAAAAGGAATGAAAACTTTTACTATTAAGAAGACATAGGTGTTTAATGAGCTTTGTTTCTGCTGGATATTACCATTTAAGGACATGTAATTTACATTGTTAAATACATTTCATATCCTCAACGCTCTCTTACATCATAGATATCTGAACGTAAAAATTAGTGACTTTATTTTAATGTAATCTATCCTGAAATATGTTTAAATCTTACAATTTTACTATCTCACCGGAAATCTCTCCAGGTAGCGATTGTGTCTCTGGTTCTACTTTTGCATTGCTATGAATTGGTCGTGGAAATCGTAATTTTACTTGTAACTCTTTGTCCTTATTATTAGTATAGTGGGTCAACAAATCTTCCAGTGATACAAACTTTCTTTCAAAGTCTGCAATAGACCATTCTGAAATATATCAATGATAATTATATTCTTAAAGTAAACAGTATCCATTTTTGACAGCTAAGACTTTTTTAATTAATTAATTAAAGCAGAAATTGAAACTGTTGAAATTTCAAGGCTCTCCTTTAGTTAATAAAAGTGTTTACAGTCAGGCTATAACTATCAGGATATTCACTATTTTAGTGATTGTTGATATCATTAGAAATATCTTTTAGCTTTCACTACTGAATATTATGCATCGAGTCATATACATGTATATCATTTGCAATATGAACGATATAAGACGGGTAGGGTAATAGGATTGTCATATTTGCAATATCTTCCATTAATGGATGAAATATAAAACTAGAATTCGTATTTTTGTAATAAGTTATTTTTCATGTCAATTTTGCTAGAAACATAATACTTAAATTTGTAGTACATTTTAGCAGAATAGCTTTTATAATCTTATTAATTCTAAAATTTATTTTTATAGTATAAAGTAGTGTCACGGTACGCCGTTACTAATTAAGTAACTGTAAATTAATGAATGCTTATGAATGGATAAGATAAGGTTATGTGCTATGTTTTAATGCGCTTGTAGCTGATAATAGGATGGTAGAAATGAGATAAAAATAGAAGTTGTTAGCAGTTAATTCACTGTAGGTTTATAAGGTATGTTAATCTCTAAAAATTGAGCTGTATATGGACGAAGGTTAAGCGTCTTAACACCTGATAGCTTGTAGCTATCTAAATCTGAGAATATCGACATGTATATTTAGTAATGGTATTATACTAATTAATGTAACTTGTAAAGCATGAATTCTCACTCGTTAATATTGGAATTCACTGTAGAAACCTATTTAAGCGCGCGTGTTTGTAGAATAAAGAGAGTAATTGCTCAAGAAACGGCAAGACTCATATCGTGAAGAATAGTGTAATAATTAGTCAGTTGTCTGTGGAGATCAGCCGAGAAATCGAGTTCTCAAATACTTCTCTCATAGAAACTGAAAGTACTGGGAGAAATAGCCCAAGTTTTTAAGTAACTACACTAGAGTTCTTTACTTTCCTTTGCCACAAGTGAGGGTTGTGACAAGTAGATGCTAAAAAATATCTTCAACATTTTTCGTGTATGTACAATATAATTGCTAATGAAAAACAACTACTGTTATCCTTATTCACGCATTGCAAGGAACAGAAAGTTTAACAACAGCCACACATTTTACTGTGCGGCTTTCATCTCGTAATCTCATCTTTAGTGATACGTAAAGTAAATAACACAAATCTTTCAAGCAAAATATTTGAGTAGAATGGAAAATATGTTCGTCTATCATCATTTAATCTTCTATATAGTGTCGTCTTTATATCGTTCCCAATACCGGACAATCTTCTACTGACATTGCAATTGAATCACATTCAAGCATACCTTACGATTAATTTACCAATAAATAAAGGTAGCAACTTTCAGTTAAACTTCTATTCTTCGAAAACTTACCATTTGAGTTGTTTTTGAAAAGAAAGTGTCCTATATTACCATCAACGGTTACTTTGACGCTAATTGCCTCACAATGATGGCGAGTACTTTTTCTAACCACAAACGTCTATTGGATATTAGATATATCATGGATAAAACTTTATCGACATAATTTTAATTAGTTTCTAATGCGTTACTTATATGTGTAAGTCTTGTCGGAAACTTGTATTCAGATAAAGGCATTAATAGCTATACTTTATCATGAATGTTAAATATAAAAGTACAAACATTGTATAATTACTATTAAATTTGTGCAATCGACTATTATAGTAATTAAAGTGTCTTAATATACGAGTATCATCAGATCAATGTATTTAAAAATTTTTAATAATTCGATGAAGATTATGCAGCATTCGCTAAAGCGATTAATTGAAGCATAGTAAAATTTTCGAAAGCTATGATTAGCATATATGTAGAAATATTGACAGAAATAGACTAGTAAATATACAGTGGTTCTATTCTTTAATTTGTAGACACCATCAAACCTAAATACTATTTATAAGCACATAATAAATATTGAATAGTTATTTCACGTACGCCGATAGGTTGATCTTGAAGGAATACTATGGCTATCCCGTACAAAGAATTTTTATTAGCATTAAGAATTATTAGAAAATCGGAAATTTTGCTAGATTTAAGCTCAACGCGATACTATTTATAGTACATATCAGACATTTAACATGGCAATTATTGCAAAACCGTGCTTTTTCATAGTAACTAACCGTTAACTTTAGTCATGTCTTCCTGATACCATAAGTGTCTGGTATCTTCTATAGAATCAATCAGAGATAGATTTTGCGATAGTTCCTTGATTAAACGATTGAAAAATTAATTTTTAAACCTATTTGATATCAACTCCATTTGATAAATGAAATTCAGAGCAGGCCATTAGCCATAATAGATAGACAAAATATCTTAGTGAATCGAATATCATAGTGTGCATTTATATTTTAATCTAGTGATATCACTATAGATCTGCCTATGGATAGTCGCAGCACAACCAGTGCAGTTTTTGATTACATTACTATTAATGGTAATACATCCTTTGGTACTTGGGTTTTACAACCCCTAAGGTTTGCAATCGTCTAACTCAAAATCTGAGTTATTAACATTGAGCAAATCTCTAATGTGAAACAAGATCAACTTATATTGATCAGTATCATCTTGGCAAAACGATACTGTCATTAATCAAATATTGTATGGCAACTTTGACATCGTTCATAGTAAAATTATTCCAGTTATAAATATGCTACGGAGTAGCTTTATTAGTTATCATTAAATAACCTATTTTAGAACTCCAAATGAAGTTTTCAGCTACGATGTCTCATATATTTGAATAGATAATTTCACATTTCTATAATATTATTCTACATACTGATAATTAATTTCTGTATGATGATGTGGTAAGTAAAATTGTTTGGTTGCTTAATAAAATTTAAATTTTGTAGTTTAGAAATAAATGAGATATGTAATTACTGCAGCCCCTCAATAATGAAGGTTCGTTAGCATTTTTACTTGTACAAATGGCTAATATCGACGAAGATAAGCCTAAAGGTAAGCATGAATTGTTTCATTCTACATTTTAAGTATTGGCCTGTAGATCGAGATTTGTATGTCTTTCAAAAATGATTTTAACACTAGCGTAAATGCGAAAATGTTTACGTACTCGTATAAATTCCCAGCACGGAAATGTGAAAAATATATAATATCGATATGAGATAAGAACTAATCGAAAACATTAATGAAAACAAGAATAAAGGTCACTGATATTTTCGAAATCTAAATTACTTAGATGTTACAGAACTAGAAATATACAATTTTAAATTAATATAACAGTAAAATAATTATTTACACTAATGTTAAGAATGTAATTAGACATAAACTGTCAAAAGGAAAGTAACATCAAGACCACTGCAATCCTGTATTTAAATTAGCTTTCTCTTAAACGTACCAGACTTACTTTTGAATTATGCATTGGAGTGTCTGTAAATGGATCGGGTTGTGGAGACCTATTTATTTACAATTCAAAAAGCATTGAGTCGAAAATTGTTAAATCGATTATTTTTCCAATACACGTTGTTCACGAATAAAAGTATCGCATAGATGGCTGAAAAATTTATAGAACATGAACTTTCTCGTATAAATTTTAACTTTAACTACATCAGAGACATAATTGGTGATAACTAAAGAATGATTAGGGCAGGAGTAATTTAATGATTACAGTAATGTTTAGCTTCCTAGGCATTATTTAGATTATATAATACTTTATTACACTCATAGGAAGATAGTTAGGGTGGAATTAAAACTGAATGCGATTGAGCTCAAACTGATCGTCAATCAAAGTTTTTCTTGCTACTGAGGTCAATTATTGCAGATATCGAGATATTTTTAAACAGTAATGTAGTTGTAAAAATAGCATAATCGATTGCAAGAAGTCGCTAAGCAATATGCAAAGTTGTAATATATATTTACTATATGTATAAAATTGTACGTATACAGGAGTCTTAAGATTGAATTAAGCGCATATCCGTTTTAAATAGTAACAATAGACATTGCAGCTTTAGTTAGGAAGGTCTTATTAAGATGGTTGGATACTAGAGATTAGTGAGAGTAATGTGATGTAATGTAGATCCATCAGAAATTTAGATCTAAATATAGTTGAGTCATATTGTATATAACAGTATGTATATAAGCAGAAGATCTTATCCATTAGGGTTAGTTAGACTTATTCTAGGTCGTGGAAGTAGTTTTATGTAATGAAGTAAGTACTGCAAGTTATCGAAAATTGATCATTGCTGATTTTGAGGCACTTTATCGCGTGTACAATGTAAATATCAGACACTTCCTCAATAGCATCGTCAATCCCGCGTATACTTCCATTTATAGTTGAGAATCAGTGCCAACAGCAGATCCGTATTTTTAAATCTGCTTCCAATATTGTAGATTATTTCATGGGTATTGTCCACTATTAACCCACTTAAACTTAGCTTATTAGGATATCACTGAGACTACATATAGAATATAAGAGATAGTCTACGAATCAATCTGCATCAGGTACGGTTTTACTGTCAACTAATTTTGCTAACCAATGTTTCGTAAATAAGAATAAATTTGAAAGATTCTTATAATTAATTTACTTTGTGGCATAAAATAAACTATATGGAGCCATCAGTTAGGAAATCTTAACTTTGACTATGTAAAGTATTGTCATTCTATTCTTTCAATATTTAGCATTACCCGTGATTCGAACTTGCACGTCAATAACCTTATAACTTTACCATCCTATTTTGTAGCACATCTCTCAATCTTAGAAGATTTCAACTATTAGTCATAAACTCTCTTTAGAATATTTATTTACCTTGCGTCGACTTTACCAGTCGTTTCAGGATCTGAAACATTCCCTCGGATTATGGAATATTTTCTTGTCATTTCATGATCTAAATAAGGACCGAACCATATAATAAATTTTCAATTGACATACAGCAATTGCATGTTACAATAACGCCATTTATAAGCCTCTCCTTATAATTTACTATCAAGGAAAGTTAAAAATAATTCCACAGTAACAAGTTCTTAATCAGATGTAAAATTTAATTTGGACTATTTTGAGATAATGTTTAGTATCAATATTTAAATTAGACACACTTATATAACCTATAGCATAGCTAAACTCAACAACAACGGATTCATTTTCGACATTATAGTCAGGGTTAGATGCATCTGGATGACAATTTGGGCCTGGATCGATATAACGAAATTCTACGGAACCTTTAGAGTAAATCCCATTATCGGCGTCAAAATGACCCATACAAGCAAATTGCGTAACCGAATACATTCCATCAAAGTAAGCAATTTTGTTTAATAGTTCTACCCAAATTAATCCGTTAAGAGGTTTAATATCTCCTGCAAGATTGATTTGTAGCCGACCACTACTGAGGAGTCTAGTTTCATCGCCACTTGAAGCAAGTAACTCTAATTCATCCCCTATGCGAGAGGGTAACGGACAACGTATATTCTTTACAAGGGCTATTAAAGTAAAATGTCCCGGTTTATCCTTCATTGGCTTAACGCCAACAAAGTATTGAACTGGATATCGAAAGTAGTCATAATAATACTTTGGCCCTAATCTTGCAGCATCGAGTAACCACTGCGGTATCTTCCAAAACCAATTAATAACAGATTGATAGCTGCAATTGCATTTTACTACAACGCCATCATCGGTTGCTTTATTTTCATCAATAGAAAATTTAGTACCTATTTCTGTAAATTTGGTGCTATCGCTGTTTATTCTACGAGCGACTATAATTTTATCATTTTGTTGCACAGATTTTTCTGACTTGCAAAACAGTTGCTTTATTTGCTTGTAGTGTGGAATCCAGCATGTTAATTGACAGTCTCTAATATTGCCTTGATCACTTGTAGAATCTGGTAATTGCAACCACGTCTTGATCACTAACGATGCACTTGCCATAGCTGTAAAGCGGGTTACTAGTGGAAATATGTCTATTTCTGTAGACATCGGACGATAATGAATAGGAAAAGGAACGCTAACATTCACTTTATGTTTTATATCCTCAGCATGGATAGGAACATCCACAGAATGATCCTTATTGATGGGAAAACTTTTGCGACTAATTGAATCTGTTAAAATCAAACAATTTAAATTATTATTTTGTTAACCATAATTAAAGAACGTAGTAACAATGTATCTTATGTGGCTCTCAGTCATCAAAATAACTTAGTTTTGGATGTGTAGTTTATGATGACATTTTTTTTTTAACTTTTTAGAGGTATGAACTACTACTTTAGGAATTGTTCTTGTCAGTAATAACCTAAGTTATTATGATATTATGATGATAGAGTAATATGTTACAAGTATCGAGAACATAGGAGCTTGACAGGGCTTGCAGTCGAAGTAGATTTACGCATGAAATTGTTTATTACCTCGAATGTTCGTATTTGATAATTCAATCTTAATAACATGTTTGTTATTGAAATATGTTAATAGCATAGTAAATATGTTTATAACCACTGAAAGAGTATATAAGAAGGACTGTGATCGATAAAATATGATTCAGGTTAAGGCTAAGTTGTGTGATAGTTTTATATCGTATATTGTGTTGAGCGAGTTAGTACTTCGCAAGGATTCAAATTACTGCACCCTAGCCTAGGGAATTAGTTCTGCGGATTAAGGTAAAGTTTACTATAAGGACTGTGTTGTTTTCTTATGTCGCAAGGGTAGTTGTGACAGTGGCACACAAAATCTTTAAAGTAAACATGACAAGTTGATTTTGCTAAATCGGTAAGTGTAAACTAACTATAGCCCGAACTGTAACAAAACCTATTCTACTAACTATAATATAATTGGAGTGTAGATCTCACAAATAATTTTATAATAGCAGATCTTATTGCTGATTCTCTATTGATTGAGATACTACGTAATAGTACAACAAGCTCTGACAGACAAGGAAAACTTCTTATAACAGCAGATCTTAGAAAAGAAGGGCTAAGAACAACAATAACAGAAAAGCGTAACTGCTTAAACACGTTATCTAACTTGTTTACATCATAACGATTTCGAACAGCTTCACCTAACACTTACAGAACTTAGTATAAGAATTAAATTCTATGATAAGTATTATATTCTACGAAGCTGAAATCAACATACTTGAATTATCCCAAACATTACTTGTATATATCTATTATTGGCAACAGCCCTAGGTTTGGTATTATTTTCAAGTTACATCTAGTTTACTCCTACATAGCATGTTGACAATAGCAGCTTATCTAACAGTTTCACTACATAACACTATCATCTTAAGTCAAAATAAAGATTTTATGCCACTACAGCTTGATACCAGTAGAATTGACGTTTAGCTAATGTCAAATAATTTTCTGATCGTTGGTGATGTACTCTTAAAGACTGTAGCTAAAATTTAATTAAAGCCGTAAAATGATTTTATAACTTACCTTGAACAATTATAACCGGTTCATCCACATCCATTTGCACTGAATCAAGCTTGGATACTAGCAAAAATTAGAATATCAAAAAGGATTATAAGGACCATGTGCAAGCATAATTAGTATACCCGCATAAGCTGAATCTGTTGTATATCAAGTACACCCAAACTATCGTAAATACGGTACATTCAAAATAGATTATTTTAATGATGATGAGGCTTTACTATTAAAAATATTCTAGTAAAATATATCAATTTTTGGAATCGTTAACACTTTTAGGATAAATTAATGTTCTAAATGATGAAACATATAATTATTGAAGATTGTTTATTCAAAATGGTAAAAATTTGTAAAATTTGATAATATTAGATAATTGCAATAGCTCAACAGGCAAGATCAATAAAATTCATCACTTTTACTTTTTATAGACTTAAGTTAGAATATCTATAGACTTTTATGTAAGCTATTTAAATTTTAATACGTTCTACTATCTTGTAGATCTTACCGCTAATAAGCTTGTCTGAAATCAAAATGTACCCTATAATAAAGGAAATCAATTAAATTTAAGATTAACAAAAGGAATATCAAGTATAGCATCAGATTCAGTTTCCTGTAAAGTACAAATCTACCGACATCTAAGTCATATAAGTCATATTAATGCGCGTATGAATAGTTTTAAAATTTGTCATCTATTTAGAACAAATCAACTGTGTACATGCAATAGTTATTTGGAACTATTATTATCAATTTTATTTCTCATTACAAATCAGTTTATTCTATTTACCAAGCACGTAAGTCGATATCAAATAGATTAATCTATCACGCAATATTGCTCCTGCTGTTTGAGAATTAGAAAATTCTTCGTAGCATTTAATGTAGCTACAGCCATGAGGATGATAACAATCGAAAGTACTGTTTAACAGCTTATCAACCAATCTTAGCCAAAATATTTTTAAGCAGGTCATAACTCTTATACTGCAAACATCTTATGATGGTGATACTGAGATATTAATTATCGTTTATTGCAAGTATAGTTTTTGTTTCAAGATTGACAAATTGCGTATATAGATAAAGTATGGAATTAAGGTATGATTGGTTATCAATTATAGTCAAGGAAGCAGTCAAGAAATGTGCAATCGCGCCTATTTCAATCGACAGGGCAAAAGCAACCGTGTTAGCTAGCCTTTAAAATCACACTTTTTCTGGTATCAGTTTGATCTCGAACATTGTGCTAGTTTAATGCATAATATATATATATATTAATTATTACAGATACAGATACCTCTAAATCACATAAAATCTACATTAGCTAACTTAGTTTCTATGTCTAACAAAGAAAAGAACTAGTTCATGGATTTGAAGCTATTTTTGATAATTTAGTCTAAGACAGATGTTGTAATTCTATAACTTTAGAGAATGAGCAAATCGTCTGCATTTCTAGTTGTAAAGTAAGCAAAAATAATATCGTGATAGATCGTGGACGTTTTGGCTTATTGCCGCTTTTACCCTTGGTTTAGGATGATAGCTTTCACGCACAATTAATAAATTGACTGCTAATTTGCTACTTTTAATATCATGATTAATATAGGCGTGACAATTTTCTCATTTTAGAATGGAAGTTGTCACAAAATTGAATCGTTTGTTTGATCTTTAATGATGCCTGACTACTGACAAGAATTTCATTTTCGGCCAATACTATAAATAATTATACGGTGAAACTGCAAACGAAAGATCCTTGACATAAAGTTCGTAGATCGAACACAAATGATAATGCTGACGTAGTTTATGACCCTTGGCACATCTTGTTAACTACAGCGCTCTACAAAGTAATAGGTTTAGCCTTTTACTGTTAAGCCGTTATAGGTTAATAAGTACTAAGATGTTTAGACATTGAAAGAATTAATACTGTGATAGAACAACGTGCGATCATGAAGATTAACGAAATACCAATATTGCGTATATGATCATGAGGTCTTTTCCTTAAAGACTATTAATGATCTCGTCTTATCAATTTATCGTAACGGAAATACTAATAAACTATTAATATAAACTTTATGAACATTAAAAAAACGCAGCAATGAGTATGGAAAGCATAGCTAGTTAACATGTCATCGTGACTTAGGATTAAAAGACACAAACGAAGTCATAAAGGCAGATTATGTTATGTACCGGAACCGATGCCTATTCTCCTATTCTTACCATCTTTTATGTTTATATTTTCTACAAGTTCTTCTAACTTCCATTCACTTAATTCGTTGATGAATTCATAAGCAATTGGACGGCATTTCTCATCATCAAACATAATTGATAGCCAATCTTTGATATCATCTAACTGTTCAGAATCGATATATTCCAATATTTTCCTATTAATATCCGGACTAATATGTTCATGAGACGCTGTCAGTACTTTATCGTAATCAATTATTCCAAGTTTGAAAGCTCCTTTACAAAAATTTTTCGTCGGTAGTTGTCTTTCTAACTTTGGAAGTATTCGATCATAGACTAGCTTGACTGAACTTTCCAGCATGCAGTCATAAATATCATCGTCACTGTCCATGATGTACAGAGAGGCAATAACTTTGAAAAACTACTTTTAGACATTTGCTTTTATAAGAAAAGACTACAGTGCAATCACAGTTCTTCTCCTTATTGTCAATCTAGACTAAAGTAGTCTCGTGATATGGCTACAACTGTGATTGCAAAGAATAAAATCAACGCATATTACTGCTTTAAACCAAATATAAATGGAAAACTTTTGTTTTTAACGTTCTTATAGCAAAAACCTTGCTGTGAATCATCGCCTTTCTTGTATCGTTAGTTATCTAGTAAAATAGCAATAACTTTTACGGTACCGAAACGAATACAAACAACGTACATTACTGCCTTAAGTTAATCATAAACAAAATACTTTTGTTTCTAATATTTTTATGGCACACAGCTTGTGGTAAATCATCGCCTTCATGTAGCGCCTAATTTATAATTAAACATTATTTATTTATGCTACCATAAGAGTAGAATAGAGCTTATTTCGGGTAGGCTGCTCATAAAACAATGAAAAAGTATTAAGAATTCTTCCGTTTTATTGTCGTAATCCTTAATCATATGCAATAATAAAATTAATTGTTTAATTGATATAATAGGATAGTTGAGAACCTTTCAAGATAATCCGCCTGGCTTCTTTTAATCCCTTTCGTTGGTGATATCCTGCTATAAGTTCAATTTAAATACATTTTCAATCATTCTCATCCGATAATATAACGTACCGCCATCATTCTATTAGCTTACAATATGATGCATAACTTACTGCTTGTACGCGTATACTGTTATATATATACACATTTTCTTTATTTCTGTCCTTTTAATAAGAAAAGAAATATAATGTCAGTAGCCAAGGACTCAATCTACGATTAAAGTAAAGAAGCTAAACAATTAATAATCACCACTCTATTAAGCATAGCTTAGTTTCTGTACTTTCGTAATATTCACCACTAATGCCTTTATTTCATATCTATTTTGCGAACTCACTGAAACTAAAACCAATTGACTAAATTTTATATTAGGCTATAAGAAAATCAAGAGCACTTACTGCACATAGTTCCAGCCACTGTATGACGCTAAAAAAGAATAAGTGATTTAATAGGCTTTTCATTAAGCCTATTTCGTCATCATTAAATTATTAGTTGTCCACATAATTGTTCTTTAATACTCAATTTTACCATTTTTCAGCTGCACATCTACAAAATATCACGGTTAATGCCTAAAAGTTATTTGAAATTATCGTTTTTAAATTAGTCAAAATAGAGATATCTGCAAGTAAATCACTACAACATCTCTAGAATTTGCTAACAAATGTCGTAGTAATGAACCGGCTATCAAGATTGATCGAAATTAGACCAAACGAGTATTTTACTGGTTTTTTGTTACAGTAAGTTTAACCTGTTTCTATTCCACTTGATGTATCTAAGAAATTTAAGAAGCAAACAGCTTTATCTACATTCTTGGAGAACTAAACGCGATTATAATAATACTGACTAATGCAGAATAATGTTATTAGGCTTAATTTAAAATCTAGAATCGTTATTCCTAGGTATAAAACCTCTTCTGTGACTCTGCTGCGTTTACTGTCATTTCCTTACGTTACTAAATCACTGTTCAGCCAATAATTCTTGAAATAATTGATAACAAGATATTGTTATCAATATGGCTGTTAGAAGAGATCAATATAGCTGTTAGAAGACTGACTCATTGTATTACAGTAATTTTATGATGTGAATGATTATTCGCCATTAAAGTATTTGAATACGCTAATTAGTGCTCTGAATACTGAATTTCTTGTTTTTCAACAAGACGGAAGCTGATCTCAAAAATACGGTCATCTTAAAATGAATTGTAAACGAAGTTATTCGGTTTCGGTAGAGGATTTTAGAAATATCGTTTATTAGTGTCTATACTGAGAAAGAGATAGTATACAATGCTATAGATCTCCGGATTCAGGACTAACTTTAGAAACTAGAGAATTATCTTTTATACTCTACTTGTTTAAATCGCGAGGATCGTAAACAACAACAATCGTAACAGATCATAATTCTAGAATATGGTTTCTATATAGCAAAGAAATCTATACGCTTTACTATAGTATCCGAAGTCAACTTGTTTATCTTATCTTAATATGAGTAATTATTTATCATAATTAAAGTCTCGCTTTTTAAACAACACTAAATTTAACAAAGGAGTAAATATAAGACCATATTAACTCTATTACATAAACAACTATAAAATGCATAGCCCGCATGCACTCTTTCATTTGCAAGATGCAAGGCTAGAGAACACTAAGCCACTTCTTTACATGAATCAATGCAAATATACTTGAATAATTTGGCTATTCATGATACTTTGTTTTCTAAGATTTAAAAAGTTTAAATTATTGATAATTGATTATAGTATGTAATTTATTCCAAGTAAATCATATTATTTGCATATTAAATCAAACAAGGACGTATAATATGAGCTTCAAGAATAATAGAGATCAAAATCAAGTACAAGATTAGCTTTAAAGTAATTTTATGACCTGATATTAATAAATAAGAATTAAGAACTTTGGTATAATAAGCAGAAGAGCCATAATGCTAAAGAACTTGCAATGATCACAAAAAAGTAAAATAATAAATCTACTGTTAGTTTTTTCAATGAATCAAACATTATAATAGATATCTTTCGCGTTAATAAAAGAGAGAAGTAATTTTTCTTCAACGCCTAAGGCTACGGTATCGTAGAATTTATATAGTTCTAAAAGAGTGACAAAAATATCGACTTTCTAAATACTGAAACTGTTTCTTCGGCACTTAATTAATAGTTATGTTACGACCAACTTCGGACATTGGCCGTAACCATTACATTGCAGTAAAATTCTTATCTGCGTAAGAAAAGAACAGCATTAATTGTACAAGTCTTATTTTCCTTTAAGCTTTGTATCCTTCATTTTAGTGGAATCAACAGATAAAAAATGGAGTATCACAACGCATTTAAATTAAGCCTTAATACCATCAACTCACGAAATAGAATTGAGTCAAGTCCAAAAATTCCGAGTTTATAGATAGCAGTAGGTAAGCTTATACATTGCGTGTTTCACAAATATAGGATATAATGTGCGGTGTTATAAAGTACTGTGACTTTTGCGTTGCTATCGCAATGTAGATTACACAGAATAACTTATCTTGGAATACTTAAGTAAATTGACCATAAATTGACTTTATTTTCGATAAATATTGGGTTCAGATTTGCCTAAAAGTTGCTGTCCTCATAACGATAGAAAATTCTGAGTATTTACTGTCGTGCTGTAAGTAGATGTCGGGGAGGACAGACCTGACAGTAGGCTCGTAGTTTAAATTTATATAATAGTCCTATTTTTCATCGTTGTAAATTTAGATTTGTAGCACGCAGATTCTTCAAGAGAGACTTAGCTATGATGTTAGCAGCTTGTTATACAGCTATAGATAAAATCGGATATCCTGAGAAATAAACAGTTTACTGCGTTCGGTAGGAATTGATAATACTAGAATAGATATTCACTATCTACTAATTATCTAGATATTATCCGCAAATTTAAAGGTGACCCAAGTACCAAAGTATGTAAGACACTGGGTGATATGTGATCATTATGGTTGATAGATCAAAATTTAATGTTTATAGAATGGCCTGATTATGATTTAAATATAAGTCTAATACTTTTATTATTTAATATCCAAATACGAATTGCTAATCAAAGTTATTAACGATGTAAGTTAAGTTTTTTTTAATTCTCTTTCTAGCGCAACAAAAGAACGTAATTTAAAAAATATTGCTAATTCATGAAATAAAGAAACGACTCGAAATAAGCAAAATCGTAAAGAAACCTTATAATTACTCACTACAATCATATCAAATTATAACATAAACAACCACTATATAGTGTTACTATCAATTACACTTTCACGTTCAAGCACAAGTTGAAACCACAAAAACCTTAGCCTAAATCGAATTTTAACTAAGCGTAAAATATAAATTTTATCCAATTTTACACCTACTATTACTTTACAGATTAGTTATAAAAGTAGTAAAATATACGTATTACTAGGCGTATTATCTAATTATGAATCAGCAGTGCTATGGCTAAGTATTTATTCGTAAACAAAGTTTTGAATTGCGTTATTCCGATGGTATATGAAATTAATGAAATCGGATGATATTGCCTCAGCATAGTCGCCTGACCCATGTATGGCTAACTGGACTTTATCTTCATTATCATCCAAAGAATTTACTATATAAATAGATTATTTAGAATTATATTATACCACTTCAAAATCTTTAAATTCTTAAATAATATTTTAATTAATAAAGCTTCAAAGTTAGTAAGAAATTAGATTAAGATTATGCATTAACTCATGTACGTTCTGCACTATAGATTGTAAGAAATCTATTCACAAGCAAATGTAGCAACTAAATACTTTAGCTACCAGTGAGAAATCCTACAATTATAATTGTACTATTATAATTTCCACAAATACCAGTATCTCTATACTGTATGAATAATTAACATAAATAATTCAGCTATCAACAGCACCGCTTTTAACGTAAGTTATTAATGTTAAGGCGCAGGAACAATTTGTTCCAGCAGTTAATCTCGTAAACAGACTTTGTGATCAATGCGCGATGTGTTATTTCAAATGATCCTTAATTTATTTGAACTTACATTCGTCATTACTATCCACGATACTTAATATGTATTCATCTTCTTTGCAAGGCAATTTTAAAATGCTTTCGGTGCACGACTTGCAAATTTTATCTATACAAAATGAAATTCAGCGATAATCATTAGTGACATATTTCTCGCAGTTCCTCGTAGCGTTGATCATTCTTTGTAGATGTAGCTTACATAAATCACGTATCGTTTTTTGAGGTTCGATAGCAATACTTTGAGCAACTGGACAGTCCTAAAGTTTACCGAAACAAAATTATTTATGAAAACTTGAATCATTTATTTCTGTAGTTAAATCAATTTAAAACATCTCAAAACTAACATTTTCATCTGCAAGAATGATCAGCCTAACAATTTTTTGCTTATCCTTGAGCAAATTAGATAGGTAATCTTCTCCTGATGAATTCAACTGCTGTAAGAACAATATTGTATTTCTAAATGTAACGAATGCCTTTTGGAAACTTTCATTATGTAACATTTTGGGATCAACCAAATTATCGATGTAATCGGCTTCATAAACCAACGTCTGCAAGGAAATTTTACTAATGCAGTATACCATAGTCTTTAAATCTAAAGAAAAACATAATAAGATATTTGTATTTTCTACCCTGCCAAGAAACAATTTAAAACTGATGCGTGTTGATTTAAAAATAATTATAATTTAGATATTTGAGACCTCGTTGCTCTTTCGGCAGCTTTCCAAATGCTTTAATTAAATAATGCAATTTACGTTCAGGTAAATTTTCTTTCTCCATCTTCTTAAATTCACTCCTAATTTTATCATAAGGCAGTTCCAGATTATAAGGTAGCCGTAGTACTTTTAAATTTTGTTTCGCTATTTCTTCCATATGGCTTGTAACAGTTTTGAGTGATCTAGTTTAAAATGCGTAACATGTCAAAAATATCAGTATTTTTTTGCAGTTATAATATTAAATAAATATTATAATATATCGTACGAATAGACGACATCAAATCTATGACTATCAGTAATATTACATTAAATTATTTACTTGCACATCACAAATGGCGCCGTAAAAGTGCCTGTTAAAATTATTGTACTTTTAATACATATTTTCAAAAATTTCTATCATCTGTTCGCAAAGTGTTTAAACACCGTATGTATAACTATTGTTGCCAATTATATGTTATAATTTCAATACTTGAAGAGCGATAAATAGCCAGCATCCTTAGCAAAAAACTTATTATAATAGCTTTCTAATTTCCGTATGAACAAGTATAACTTGATGCTTGAATTTAGATACAAATATCATTACCTAGAGTATTTTTTTTTCAGATACTTATATATAAATTCTCGAGATTCAGAATAAATTTTTGACTCCAATTCTGACTCAAACGCATTTAATTTAGTTCTATCGACTAAATGCTGATTTTCTTCATCCTTTAAAGAATTTTCTTTCAGCTTCTTTAATCGAATATAAACCTGTTTAAAATGGATTTTTCCATTAGAGTTTAAATTTTAATTTCTATTTTAAAAATAGCATTTTATGATAATTCAGTCCTCTTCTATAAATTCAATTTGGCAAATGTAGCCATGAGTATTATGGGAGCAATTTTAAGTACAATCTTAGGTACTTTTAGATTTAAACTAATATAGATTAAATGACTGAATTCACTTATATGGCATAGATTTATAGATCGGACTTATAGAAAGCACTTATATCCAAATCAACTATTCTTAACAAACAAGCGGAAAAAAGTTACGTTTTATGTAGCTAACATTTTTAGAAAAGATTAAAATTAAAATGATTGCAGGCGTCATATTCAAATATAGGAATCATTTTTGAGTTCAAGCCTTAATCTATGTCCATAAATGGAGCAGTAAAATATGTTATCGTAGTACTTTAATTCGCCATAGTATAATGCTATATTTGTGATAAAAAGAAATTTGTACTGCTTCTTAAATGCTGCATCATACTTACTTAACCCCTTTCATGGTTTTCTCTATACTTTATAACAAAATGACGAACCTTCTGCACCATGCAATGTAATCTTTTTATTCTATACAAACTAACCTCATGTAAGTAAGGATCCCAAGGTCCTAATTTACATTTTTTCGGGTCAATTTCGAATAATAATTTCAACGTGCTTTCATTTCTTTCTTGAGCGTCCCTACTTAAAGTTAGGGTACGTTTTGACGGAAAAAACGGCATTGCTCTCCTCAATGACCCCCTTCGGATCGAACTTTTATTTCCCTCAATATCGGAGATTCCACGAATATCGTAAATCAAATCTAAGATTTCCATTGTATTTCATAAATATTTCGAATAAGTATCGTACTAATAGTCTGACATTAGTCAGGGTATTTCAATTTGTTATAGTTCTTATCATATCTTAAGTAATTTCATATCGAATCAATTTTAACTTATATCACATAAAAGCTGCCGTAGCATACTCGAATTTATTCCATTTGTAATTAGCGCTAAATACAACTACTGTATATGAAATGATAATAGATATAATTATGAAAATGATACTTTTTATTACACCTAAATATTGATAATAGCTGATAAATGATATTAGCACTATCAACATGAAGCTAAACAATCACCGTAAATAAAGTACACTTTAAGTCATTGTTTCGAGCTCTTTATTTCATCACCAATTTACAAAACATTACCTTGGCGTTCGCAAGGAAAATCAGAAATGGAGTTTGAAGGCGACAATAGAGGCGACAATGGAGGTGATATCGGAGGTTCAGTTTGTCCAATTGATTCTGTTAATATATTATTTTCGATAGTATAGCATAAACAGCTTTAGCTTGAAGTTATCTAATTTTTGTTATCATTTTTGTTATCATATTAATGTTATATCCATGCTGTAAATTTCTATAGCGCTATTTTATGCTCTCTAAATTATAACATAATAGTGGATATGATATTTATATGAGCCAAATCGGAATTTATCCTATATACGCTAAGTCATATCGAAACCACGGTGTCTACTTGCAGTTCAATATTTTAATTTAACGTTAGCAAGATTAGCTTTCTTAAATAACTTAGTAGAATGTAGTGATATCTTACAGATATCTATCTTGGTGATAAAGATAACGTTATCGACTAAAAGTATATGAACAGTGTAATTAGTAGTTATTTATGCCTGATATAGAAAAATAGATATGGTATATACTTCTAAATACGGTATAACTTATTCTTAGTAAAGTTTTTTTTCAATGTACTGTAGCATAACTGATAACTTCATTTAAGTACAATCTATATTGAACAATTTACACTAAAAGAAACCTCTTATACTCTAGATGAATTTTATTGTTAAACTACCGCAACATATTATAAAAGATATTTCATTAGTTAGTGGCGTTAGTGATACAATACTATCAGTATCGTAAAGTAAAAATCTTATTATTTATAATCTATTATCAATCATTACGTACTAAACTAGGGGAATGCCATTTATGCCATTCATATCGGCATTTATACGTAGCAATTGTATAGTATATGTAATTCCTTATGTAGCTTGTTATTGATAAATTCAGTAGAAACTAATATTATTATGTTTTGATGATGTAGATGTAACTACAGGTCTGATGCTACGACCTAGAAATATTATTTAGGCAAGGGAAGTAGAAAAAAGTAGGATAATGTTGGAAAGCCAGTTTGTATGTTTACTAGACTTGTAAATTTTAAGTTAGGTATAGTAATAGCAGAAATAACATATTTTTGTAGACGATACTTCCTATATAACTGGGTAACTTCTGCTGAATAAAGAATAGCTAATATTATATAAGATTTCAGAATTTCTTTCTTATTATAATGCTAGATTGTACAGGCTGTAATCTTACAGGGTTTTCTCCTTACACATTTCTTTAAAGATTACTTTTTCACAAAGTTATTCCTCGTCATTTCTGCGATTATGATGGACACTACGGTCCTTTAACGTTAAACTCTCAAAAAATTGTAATAAAAGGTATCACTATCGGCTGATGTTTCACTGGATTTAAATCTTATTACATCTGTACTACTTTAAATTGACATAAGTCAAAGCTAGAATTGAATTTCTAGTACTCTATCGTACGTAATCGACGGAAGAAGCCAAAATTGATGGGTGTTACAGTGTTAAATACTGTATTACAGTAGAAATAACTATGTTAGGATAATTCTGTTAGACTATCCTTATTTAGTTAACTTCTAATTTGGATATACTGTATTTTAATATAGCACTGACTTTTTATGACAGTGACACTTATACATATACTGAAATTATAATAGTTATAATAGGGAATGCAAATCATCTGCTTACAGTTCGAATCATTGTGATTGTAATTTACTTATGGTAGACTGTAAATTATCATGGAAATGTTCCGTGATAGGACATATCGTAATCTGACTATTCTGTATTAGTCATTACATGTCTATGTTCGTAAATACTGTTGTCTGCATTAAGGGAGCAGTAGCTAAAATTAATATCTAATTCAGTAAATGATTCTAATGTTAATTGTATTAACTATGACTCATGAACTATTGAGGAATAGTATATAAATGCAGTATATCGTGAAATAAAGAAGAATTGTCCAACTTAGTGTTTAACGTAAAATACGAGGCGTTTAAGTCTTTGTGTAGTCTGCTAGTAGAGCAAAAGTGTTTGTGATAGTGCAGATATCGTTCCTTGATACGCGGTTCAAGGAATTGACTTATTGATCGTATATTGCGTTATCTTGTTGCAAAGCTGTTTTGTGACAATGGGATAAAGTAGTAAGATAAATTTACTTTGAAAACCGGATATCAAGCAAAATCGATTAATCATGGCTTTTATAAATGACATAATTATCATCGAAACTAAAGAATTAAACTAATACTACGCATAGCAGTACTGTAATGAAACAAGAGTTTTGAAATAAATAAACAAGCGGATTTTAACCGAATTTTTTATATATAACTAAAGCAGTTTTAATGGCCTTAGTGATACTTAAATTCAAAGCGAGGTAACATTAAGATATTTACACCTACCATCATAGGAGCTTTCTAAATCTATCGCAGATAAATAGTATGAAAGTACACTTTATTATTCCAAAATAATCGCATTTAAAATAAGTCTTAAATTCAATAACTTAAAACCTACCGCTAGAAGTATCTGGACCATCAAAGGATGGTCTTCGTGAAAGATCATCAATACGGGTATAATGTTCATCATCTTTAGATAGCAAACATAACCTTACATTATCCATCCCATCATATCAGTTTTTGAAAAAAGTATTTAGCCTTAAAGCAAGATTACACTTTGCCACTTCATATTGTATCATTCGCTGTATTAAGTGATAGAAAAGAAAATTTCTGTTGTCTTACCAAGTACTTTTAATTGGACTTTTAATTCTTTATCCTGATAGCAAACATAGCACCCGATTAATTCATCTATTGTTTTAAAACTTTGATTGAAGTCATCGATTCGAACGTCTGTAAAATTTTTAATTACCTCAAAACGCCTTCGAATTAAGAAATACTATCAAACTAGTAATGAATTATGAAAATTGATCAAGCCGATCACTACTACGCCTTTCGGGACGATTTCATAGAATTTACATCAAATAAATAATCCAATGATTAATTTGTTATTAATGACATTAATGCCATTGCCAATGATTACGAATTGATTTCCGATGGTGATAATATGTGATCTTAAAACCACCCTTATTTGTGAAGTAGTGAAATTATTTAGAATTTATTCTTTAACATACGATATTAAGATTCATTGAGTACAATTACAAGATTTGTGGAAGTTTTCGATTAATTTTTTTCTCGCAATTATCATCTTTCTTTTAATTTCAATTGTCTATTTTTATTTTATTGATGCTATATTTATAATATTTACTTGTCCATTGGCCTGTATCAAAGCAGTTATAGAGGAAGCTGTATATTCATCAAGAATTATAAAATAGTTTCTAACTTGTGGCCGAAAGTAACTTATAACTATAAGTTGCTACGTGGATCAAGTAAGGGGGTTACACTAAAGTATTTGAAGCTTTAGCAATACCTCTGACTCTGTCATAACGGGCAATTCCCCCTTGCTGAACAAATTTAAGTTAATAATAGTTCGTAAGAAATACGCAATATACGGTGCTAGCTGTTGCATTGTTCTACGATCAAATATTTACTACATGAGGTAATAAAAGTTAGGCTAACAAGTAGTGCTAATACTAGAATAGTTCGATGTTATGATCGTAAGTTGATAACAGCAAAAATTAAGGTATTAGCTACTTATATATCTAACTGGCTGCGAGTTGATTTGAATGACTTACTACGCGAATTAAAAATTAAATGTACATTAATTAAATTTGCAATTATTTCGTCAATCTTCTCATTTTTTATTTTCTTCTAGCCTGGTTATTGATTAAAGTATTAAGCCAACATAGCAGAGCTTATGGAGTAAGAAATGACTAGCTGACACTATATCAATTTCCCCTTTAATACTGATAAAACTTTCAACAGTTAAAATTATTTAAATTGTAAATTGCAATCATACCGTTCCCTTGTGATAAAATTCGAAATTTCGCCACTACGGAGCCTTCATCCTTTAGCTTTACCAATAGAACATGTTCAGTGGAATTTTGCGTATTTATCACGAAAAACGTCTACAAAAGTTCCAAGAAAAAATGTAAGATTGCTATTTTTGTCACATAAATTCTTCTTAAGGATTATTAAAATATTGTAAAGTAGTTGAAACGATTCAACATATTTTCATAACCACATGCTTTTTTATTCACGATAACGTTCTGCCATTTCCTATTACTTACCCCAGCCGCTTCGTATTGTAGCATTGTCTCAGCTATTTATTTGCCAGCGTATTGAATTAAATAATACAATTAGATCAATATCATTGCAAAAGAATTAGAAATCAATAGTTTACTGTTAACCCTTCGTTTAGTCTACTTACAGTAAGGAAATCACTGCGGTAACTTTGACACAGTCCATATATTTACCGAGCTAACAATACAGTAAAGTATATGCCTAAACTCACAAAATATAATTTAGACACTTCCACGTATTCAAAATTTACTACAGCGGCATAACTGATCTTCAAGGGTACTTTTTGGATATCATGGTTTTAATATGTATACGTATGGCATTACTAGCAACTACACACGTTCATTAGCATCTATTTTGAAAAGAAATTTAATTACTAAAGGTACAAAGGATCTTACCATCACTGAGGTCCATATTATGTTTCATCCATTTCGACTTTGCTTCTTTCACTCTCCTGATTGATTCCTAAACGATTTAGCAAACATAACAGCATATTTAAAGTGAAATTTCCAATAATTCAGCAACATTCATACCGAATATTCAAATATCTTTTCTCTCAATACGAAATATTTATAAATTTTCATCAGATAGCGTAATTTTTGCAACAATGTGCACATACTGATAGCATAATCTCAACCGTGATACTGATGAGCTAATATTGAAAACTGATGTACACTATTTTAAAAACAAAGCTGTGATCATATTTAGAAAATTTCCCCAAAATTTTGTGTCATGACCTCTGTAAGGTATTATTCTGATCAAATGAAGGATTTAATGTATGGGCCTTTAAAGACAGAAACAGTTCAATAATGCTATAACTTTCGAGCATCGAAATTATCTCAGATCTCCGTATTACATTGCTGTCATGACGCAGTAATTTACAGTTTCGAGTAAAATCTCCTGAATAATTTAGGTACGATTTATCTATATAGTAACAATTGTAATCGTTTATCTTAAAAATTGATGTTGTTACTACCTACTTATTACAAATCAAAATTTGTAACGTGAGAAAGAATGAGTATAAAAGCTTAATACTACAAGCCTATTGGCAGATTTGTCCTCCGATATATGCCTACAGTGTAACTCTAAATACTGACGATTAGAGAAGACAGTGATAGCACTAACCTATCTAAGATAAAACTGAATCCAAATTTTACTAAAAAACAAGTCAATTTACGTAAACATTAGTATTTAGTACTTATATAATATCATTAAACTATGCATTCATCAATAAAAGAATACATAACAGCAATGATAACGGTATTTTTAATAAATACCAAAAGTATGCTATTTGACGAAAATAAGATGAGCACTAGCCAGTGAAAGCCATTTCTCGACACTACTTAAACAGGTTTATACAACCTCTCATCTCATCTTGTTCATTTTGTGAATAATATACCATAGTAATAAACAAATAAGTTTACCAGTAGTCCTTCCTCATCTACTTTTAATATATTACTATTTTTACTTTTAAAGAACAACGATGCTATTTCATATCTTAAGACGGTATAAGATCTTGCAATTATTACAAGCATAAGATTGTTGCATTGAAAAACTAGATAATCACCATTACACAGATAGTAAACTAACATACCTATGTTTTTATAGTATATATGTCGTTTACCGTATAGATAATCGGTCATTTTGCAAAATGAAAGAAGCATGGAAATAAAGTATGGTGTGAACTGATATTGAATGATATTAAACCTGATAAGACACATATCTAATTATGGCTTAGACATGGACATTATTACTGACATTTATTAAATTTCTCTAATTACATGGCCAGCTTTTTACCTGCAATTTATAGATGGCTAATTGTTGGCATCCAGCGGACAGTGTTGGCCGTCAGGATATATGGAAGAACGTAAGTCAATAATTAATAATAAGTATGTTTATTTAATGTCTTTAGTCTATGATTCATAGCGAATTTGAGATGGCATTCACTCTAATCCATTCTCTATTTATTAGTAATTACTAGTGCAAACTCCCGTCGCTTTACTGACGGTTTACGATAATGTGCTCATTTAACAGAGGTTCAGTAACTTTATACCGTACCGTGTACGGTAGATATTATCCTAAGATATATTTGGTAGCTATAACTATAGACTGTAGTGGTATAGACTCTATTCTAGAGTACAGATGACTACATACAGTAAGGTGTTGAGTTACTAATAAGGCTATAGGTAAAAATAGAACTGTAAATCATATATTAGGATATGGTTAATTCATTGTACTTTGGCTGGTGTAAATAATGTCTACGTAAGTACTGCAGCTGTATCCATATTGGATTAATGATGGTCCGTAGTAGAATAGTCTTACTAAGAATAATTTAACTATGTGTAAAATAAGGTAAAAGGTTGCCATGCGGATTGTAGCTGCGAATGCTACGAAAAGTATAAAAGCATGCAACTTCAGATTATTCTGTTAGTTCGTCCTAGAAGTCTTTAGTAGTAGTATTCGTCTAGAGCAGAGCTGTGTGTAGTTAATCTTTGTATAAGATTCAATAAAGCCCTTATTCTATTAAAATTTGGAATTTCGTGATTGGTATATATCACAGTAGATAATAGATTTTTCAACAAAATATAAATTCAAACCTCTTCTAGATTCCTGTACTTGATTAAAAATATCTTTCTTAGAATCGCTTTTAACCGACTTCATGTATACATATTTGCTCTCTTCAACTAATACATCAACATCAAGCGATAGTCTTTAAGTAATCAAATAACAATTATGGCAACTTAAATTGGAAACTTATAATATAAATTGCTTAAAGACAGATAATGAACAAACCCCCATCTCTTTCAAGAGAAGTCGAGACATAATCGTATTCCTCCAATTCCGATTGCCCATTTTCTTTTTGCATTCCCTTATATGAGAATGTGCTGTCTAAATATAAAATTATCATTATATTAATCAATTAGACTTGAATTTATCGACTTGTCGATTTCAGTTAAATGACCAATGACAGAATCCATAATTTCTCTTTAACTGAAGTTAACTAATTTATGATCATTTTTTTCATTATCTCTAATAGTTTTTCCCCAAGCAATAGTTTAAATAGTTTCATCCACAAATACTTTGACTAGAATAGATTTCATCCTGATCTTCATGAAGTAATAGTTACAAAGATATCAATAGCCTAATTTACGGTAAATAACCTAATTTAAAATTGATCGGTAATACAATTAATCCATCTTCCTAAATTTATGATGTTTACCACCTGTTATCACGTGTGAACTGACAACACTAATTTCATTTTCTTATTTCCATTCATCTATGTACTCAGTAAATTATATTATACGATATGGCTCAAAAGGTTCTGATATTTCTAGTATTAAGCATACATAAAATATGTAATTACTTTATCTAAAAGTGATAACTATAATAATGATGATGATACTATTTATAGGCAATTGAGTTTCATATTTTTAATATCGCTAGCAACTTAAAGATCTGAAAGGTAAAAGCTTAATCCTAAGATGTAATCAATTATGAATTATTTTAGCACTTTTATAAAGTCTAACAATTATTAGAATCGTTACTTTGAACTTATTCATCTGTTCCATCGCCTTACCAGGAATCTCTTCAGGTGCTGACACTTTTATATTTGGATGTGCAGGTACAACGCTTTCATTGGATGGTGGAACACGTAATCTCATTTGCATTTCTTCATCTTTATAAGTATTGTAGTAGGTCAACAACTTTTCTAGTGATTCAAATTTTCTTTCAAAATCAGCAATAGAATATCCTAAAATATAACAATGATAAGTGCTGTCTGAAAACAAATAGTATTCAAATTTGATACATAAGACGTATATAACAATGACATTTAAAATTCTCCATTAATTTTTAAGTTCTTCTCTAGTATGTGAAATTACAGTTAAAGCTATATCGAACTTAGTTACTATGATAATTCGGAACATTCTCAGAAATTTTCATCCTTATCAAATACAGACAATTATCTATTATAATATAAACTGTTGTACTGTTTGGCTCCTCACCAATATTAGAAAAATGATAGATCGATTCTAATTTTCATTCCTCTCATTCATGTATACGAAATGTAAAACTGGAATTTTCATTTGCGATATGAAATGAATCACGAATCCCAAAGATTATAGTAAATTTCGAAAATTTATTAGAATCCTTACATTAACATAAACTAGGCACAACTCTGCTCCAACCGAACATAACAACTAGAAATATCTTAGAATTACTAGATCATTTACAGCTGCTAACTTATAGACATCCTGTCGCATTTAGTAGTAGCTGTCATACTTCTGCAAATCATTCACCAGCTAAATTAGCCTAGATGACCAAGACTAATATATATGTGTTATTCATCTATGTTTATCGTTACTATTAATATTAACTTAGCATCATAGAGTCTATGGTCAACGATACTCTAGCAGAGTATCTTCACATACTTAGATTTACAATCTAAAAAACACAATGCAAACCTTGGCTAATAATCTAGAATCCCATACTTAGCTAAGCTGCAATTAGTAAGTGGTAAATTTCCATATTGATCCGAGATAAAACAAAGGCGAATTTAACTAATTATAAAGGTCTCTGTCATCATGAAACCGTCAAAATTATCCGTATTTTGATTTTGCAGTGAGAGGTTAAGAAATCTCAATATTTTTCATTTCTTTAAATATGTTTATATTGTGGCTTATTGCATGCAGTATACAACCAGAGTTTAAAAAAAGTGTAATTTAACAGTCGAAAAGACCCGCTTTTGCGATACAGTTATCCATTGTAGAAATCAATTTCCACTACTCTAGAGTGCAATCCCATGTTTATATGATCTATCCTATCCATAGCCACCCTTTATGGAAGATAGAATAGATATAGTGCTGGTATTCAACACTTACTCATTAGAATTCTATTTATATTTTAGTCTGATTGCACCATAGAACTACCCTAATATACGTAGAAGCCACTTTGTATTACTTATTTGTCTTTATAAATAATTCTATCTTGCTGTTCCTTCTACACTATAAAAGCAACTATTCAACGCTATCTCATAAATTAACTATTAGTCTGCTAGTTATACGGTAAGCTTGTACCCTTTGCTTATTCTAATTTACTATATCTAGCTATTTGACTCATTTAGGTCGCAAGTTTACGTCGATTTTTTACGTATTAACCTTATACAGTTTTCCTCTAACGCTAGATTAAAATCAAAGCCCTGATTTCTCTATTTTATCTCTGATTATATAATTATATTTTTCAATTATGGCAGACTCAATTTTTCGAATATCACACTATTTACATTATGTTTTAGATTGTAATTCTATATTTTGCACTGCAACAGAGAATGGTATATGAAACAACAACGATCGTATTTGACGGAATAACTAAAATTTGTAAAGCTCGACAAATAGTATTCGAGTTCACCGTAAAATTCGGAGTCATATTTTCGTATCAATGCATAAAATGAGTAGCGACTTTAATAAAGTTTTGATCTTTTGTTTGAATTTATGACAGTCTAACTGAGCAACCTATTGAGTTTACCCTTGTTTAATAATTATAAGCAAATAGTAGTAGTGGTATTGCTTTGGTGCACATATTAACACACCTTAAAGTTCTCTATAGGTATAATTGCTAAGAGAAAATAACTGTCTATATTCTGTTTCCTCTTTATCAATAATGCACATTTATTTTAAATGCTGACAATGTCCAACCTCTTTAATTCTATGCAAACTTACCATCTGAGCCAGTTGAAATGATAAAATGGCCTACTTCGCCATCATTGGTAACTTTGATGCTAATTACCTCAGCAGAATGGTGTTTACTTTCCCTTACTATAAACGTCTATAAAATAGGAATAACAGCATGACTAAAATTCCGTTAACATTAATTGAGCAACATTATTCCGCATTTTCATTTATACTATGGCTTAAATAGTCCCATAGTAGCTAAGAAATATTTTTACTACTATGCTATAAGTACTCCTCTGCAGATAGGAATTAAAATATAGACATAATATGTTATGCTAACTGACTATAATAATTACAATATCTAAGATTATCAGAAGGTGATCATAATCATAAATTTAGAAATATTCTGCTAATCAACGCATTTTACTTACTAAAACGTTTTAAAGCATAAGAAAAAATGTAGACTATGGTTAACATGTTAAGAGAATTAATTTTATAAAATAGTTAATAGTAAAGATCCATTCTTTATCTAGTAAGTACTAACAAACTTAAATAATATTTAATATCACGTACACCGATGTGCTTATCGTGAAGGAATACCATGGCTGTTTCGTGTGAGTGAGAAATTTCGTGACCACAGGAGCATAGTAAAAAAATATTATGAACGAAATTAAATTTAAACTTAATATGACGCTATTTCTAGTAATTTTTTTATGACAAAATTCTGCATTTTAATATTATATTTAACCTTTAACTTTCGTCATATCTTTTCGATGCCATAAATTTTCTGTTTCAGTAATAGATTCGCACTTAGATGGTAGTCGCGATTGTCGTCTCTTGATAAGATGAAGAATCACTTTTTCAAAGAGGAATTTAGAGGGTGTTTCTTGACAAAAAAATTGAACTACGTTTACTAACCGGCACCGGAGGAACTATATCTGATGGACTTTTTTCAGGGCTACTTGAAGACCTGCACATGTTTACGCAATCATAGAAGCGAAAGGAGTAAATAATTATTTAGCCAATTGTACTTCCCTTCGTCACTTTACAGCTTAATGTATCAAAATCCTCTTCATTATTAAAAGTCATTACTTAACGTTCAAGAAATTGGAGTTAAAACTATTTTTAATCTGTCAATTGCAGTGATTCTATTATACTGTCCGTATAAATATACCGCATACTTAAGTGATTTTACAGGCTGCATTTACAAATAATGTAGAAGATCGTAAAAGTATCTAGAGTACTAATTATCACTTATGCAAATTTCAGTTTATTGGAACCGACAAGTAACTGTGTAAGTAACATGTAAATAATAATATGAACCAGCTAATTACTGTAATTACGTAATTTCTTTTACACAATTGTTTTACCACGTATTGAATTCATGAATAGGTGCTCAGACGCAAAGAAAGATCGAAAAATGAGTTTAATTCTAAAAGAAATCGAGTAATAACTAATCGCAAATTACCAATCTTCTCGTATCTAGGATTAAGCTTAAGTAAGAGCACATATTCCTATGCAACAGAACCTCGTTAAAATCTATACCAGTAGTAAAATAGTTTATTCGAATCTGTACTTTATCTTTAGACTACATCCTACTTATCATGTACTTTTGGTCATACTTTTAACCGTATCTTATCATATTTACAATATCAATCTATCAAACTGCAAATAGGATATAAAAAATAGTTCATGGCTATATTATTTGTGATCTATAGGCAGTTACTTCTCTCATCATGATATTTCGTTAGTGAAACAAGAACATAGTTAAAAATTCCCGTGATTAAATTTATTTTACGCATAGAAGCGAACTGTTGGCAATTATCAATTAATCACATCGTAGCCTTGATAATTGATTTAATAGTAATCAGATTTTCTAGCTATATGATAATGGCATTATACCACGATTTCAAATTTATTCCTCTTTTTAACATACATATTTATCGCATCGTTGATCATACTCAATTTTAGAAGGCATCAATAATTAGCTATAAGCTCTATTCTATATAATTTACTTACTCGATAACGTCATCAGCAGGTTGATCCGGTTCTGGAATATAGTTGAAGAGCGAAGAATATCTCCTAGTCATGTCAAGATCTAATAAAAAATTAAATATACTAGACTTTAATTTTAAAAAGAACTGTAGAATAATGTACTCTTAGTTTTGAATCGAATTGATACGATTGATTGGATTACATGGCATTTGACAGAGTCGATATAACGTATCATAGCGTATTTGCTGATAGAGATACTTGCTAAAAGGTAACTACGATATTTCAATTTAATGAGCGTCTTGGGACAAAACGAGACAATAATATTTCAATTTGAAAGAGCCGTAATGAAATACAGCTAGATTTGAATCCGTCTGATTACATGGTTGGCTTCTTGCTAGTTTGCTGAATTAATTGTTGAACTGACAGAATCTGCAGTAGAATTAGCTAATTCCATACAGTTAAAATGAAATCATTTATAATAAAAAACAGTCTTATTACACTTGAGATTTAACATTTAAGCTAATTCATAACGGCTTGCTATATGCCGTATTAACGATAATAGCAAAAGTTACTAAACTGTAGCATAGTGATTCAACTATATCTAGTCTATAAAAAGCATCTCAATTTCTATTTTCATTTTACAGAAGCATTAGAGCAAAATAGTTTTAATGTAATCTGATCTACAAAACAATACTAATAGAAACTTCATATTCCTTTCGCTAACTAATTATCTGACGATAATTTCTTACATTCTATTACATTAACAAAATCCTAAATATTTGGAGCACATAAAGCAATTACTAATACGAATACCATTAATTTTATCTCATTATGATATTATATGTGAGAGGCAAACTACCTAAATTTACCAAATAGAATCAGAATGGTTATCAAAGTGAAGATCAGATTAATAGCAGGATTGTCGTAGAAATATTAGTGCTCAAAGTGGATCAGTATCCAAAAATATACTGTACAGTAATTGATATTGATTATAAATTTCTGCTACCGTCAGCAAGAATAACTTTAACACTACAATAAAATATCATACTGAGATATGGTTGCTATCGGAATTTCAATTAAAACAATTATATTACCTGGGCTATAATTAAAATCAACACTGACGGGCTTATTTTCGGCCATGTAGTCAGGATTAGATGACATTTCTGGATGACAGTTTGGACCAGGATCAACATAACGAAATTCTATGGTACCTTTAGAATAAATTCGGTTATTTTTGTCGAGAAGGCCCGTACAAGCAAACTGCGTAACCGAATATACTCCATCGAAATAGACTGCTTTATTCAAACTTTCTGCCCAAATTACTCCATTGAGAGATTTAATGTCTCCCGTAACGCTGATTTGCAGCCTACCGCTACTGAGAATATTAGTTTCATCTTTATGTTTAGCAATCGATTTTAAGTCCTTCTCTATCCGAGATGGTAATGCATAATCTCGATGCTTGACGATAGCTACTAAAGTAAATTGTCCAGGTTTATCCTTGTTTGCTTTAATGCCAACCTTGTATTGAACTGGATATCGGAAGTAGTTATAATAGTATTTTGGTCCTAATCTTGCAGTATCAAGTAGCCACTGTGGTATATTCCAAAACCAGTTAATAACGGATTGATTAACATTTTCAACATCTGCTACGATCCTATTCTCTGTTACTTCAGTCTCATTAGTAGCTAATTTATAATTCATTTCCATAAACTTAGTGCCATCGCTATTGACTTGCTGAGCGGCAATAATTGTATTCCTTCTCTGCTTAAATAGTTGTGACGGACAAAAGAGCTGTTTTATTTGCTTATAATGTGGAATACAACATGTCATTTGGCAACCTTCAATGTTGCTCCGATGAGCTGTAGAATAGGAAAGCTGAAACGATGTCTTAAAAGCCAGTGATGCAGTTGCCATAGCAGTAAAACGTGTAGATACTAAAAATAATTCTAACGTTGTAGCTCTTGGTCGGCCATGAACAGGGTAAGGAATATTAAGATTCATGTTATGTTTCACGTCTTCAATAAGGATCGGAGTATCGACAGAATTATTTTTGGTGAAGGAATAATTTTTGTCTTCAACCAGATCTATTTAAGCAACCCCATTCAAATTAGTATTGTGTTCGCCGAGGTTGCAGAATTAAATAACGCACCGCTTATAGCCTCGCTTCAAACTTTTAAACTCAATCAATAGATAAAATGATGTTTGTCGCGAAAGCAATCTTCGAGACGTGTATTTTATTTCTATGTTATGTTTTATGTATGTTTATATCTTAGACATGTTTACGGTCTCCTTAACTATAACTTTAGTGGTTAACATTGCATGTGTTAACAATCTATAACTTAGGAACAGATAGACTATGATAGTAATTACCAACTAGTTTAACTGGGATTGTATCTATCAACTCCAAGGTTCTTAAGGTTGAAAGTATAATTTCTAAGTTTAGAGGAAATATCTTAGTAGTATAGCCTAATATGCGTTTATCAAACTCTTATTAAGAATTGATTAATTTAGATACAGTAAATTTGATAGGATTAAACTGTGTTCAATCTGTACAGATATCTGCCTAGGGATATCATTTGACTGGTATTCTAAATAACAGTAGTATAGGTTAGAAAGTACTCTATCAACCCTTGTAGCAAGTTAGGGCTATTTCTAGCTCTTAACAATGGTCTATATGTAAAATCATTAAAATATGAAGTAAATATTACGGAGTAACATTTGCATAGCTGTCGTAACACAGTTTTCAATATAAAAACTCATCTAGTAATGTGTTTATATTAACTTATCTATGATATATTACGTACCTTTAATAGATAAATGCAATACTTATATAATATAATCTATAAACTGATAATGAAATTTTTATGCAGATTTACTATAAATTAATTGACTTTTCAATAGAGCTTGGGTTTAGTTTGATCTAAGAAACTAGTGGATTACCATTCTTCGTAACGATAGGAGTCGTTCTTTCGAGTTGTTTTGTAGGTAGGTATCGGGAAGGACAAACCTTACAGTAGTCTCATAATATTAGTTTTCGCAAATAGTTACACTTTGTCGCGTTTCAAATTTAGATTTGTTGTAATAATTATGTATTTTAGAAGTTGATAGGAATATAGATAGAATATTCATTAGGTTGAAAGTGATCAACATGAGAAGTGCTTGTAAGGACACTCTACAAATTTTGCGTGACCTGGATGAACTGAAATCCCTGTTTATTATTATAGCAATAGGAAGTTGTATTTACAGTAAGCATCATGGCCCGAATTTTTTACCATAATATTGGCAAAGTCTAGTACTTTTAATAGTTAATTAGTGTGTGTTTAGCTACGCAATTGTTCATGAACTTTTCGATTTTTATCTGCCAATAGCGTGATAAAAAATGTGAATATTCAATGGACATAATAACTCCTTAACAACCTTACCTTTAATAATGATAACTGGCTCATCTGCATCGACTTGGACTGATTTAAATGAGGATCCTGGTAAATATTTAAAGCAACGGCTAAGATGGATCCAAGAACTGTATGGTGCATGTTAATCAAATATGATTCATAATGTAGGCTATAGACTAATCAACATCATATCACAATGAAGATGAATTAGATTACAAGTTTGTCTAAAGGGAATTAGCCTTCAAATAACTTTGACTATCTCGCTTCAAGAAGATTAAATAAAAGATGAAAGTGTTTTATTAATGGCAGTATAGCCTAATAAACTATGCATAGTTCTACAAGACTAGTATTAGCAAGCTTTGCAATATGATGATTCTAATAGAAGTAAGATCGTTCAATCAATCATCCCAAACATTGAAACGATATTATCTATTGAATCAGTTTAACAACTACAGCCAGTAAAATGTATCTTTATTACTTGTAAATTCTAAATTAGAAAATTTTACGTACTTATAAATGAACTACTTTACTTGTTAACATGATACAAGATAGCTCTTACCTCCTTCAACTTCGTTTGAAATGACAAAGAATCCTGCAATGACAGAATATTGAAGATCGTAAAATGTAAAAAGAATTGTCGAAAAAAGGGCTAAAAATGCCCTTTGATATTAATTACAGGTCTATTAACTAGAAATGATGTTTAAATGAAAATTATATTTAGTCTATACAGTAAGTATCCTGTAATGATAGAATAACGACGAAAAGTGAATGATAGTATCAAGAAATTATAGAAGTAAATATCAGAGAAATAATTACTAAAAATGCCTTTGATAGCAAGTATAGGCATATTAACTTTGAAATTATGTTAAAATGAAAACTATGACTAATCTCAATGCAAATAAAAGTATTTTTACTAATGACATCAATTTAGTAATTATCTTTAGTATAGAGCAACCTATTATTCTACTGAAAGCGATATTAGAGTATAATTCAGGTATATAGAAGCTACTGCTTTGAGGTATGCGGCTTGGAATAGAAGCCAATGTAAACTAGGACTTTGAGGTCTGCACATTCACACATACCTATACCGTGTTACTATACTAATCAAATGTCATAATGTAAATTATAAGTTGGTACCAGGAAAAACAAGAATTTAAATAAACATTTCTTGGGCACTGTACAATTAACTAATAAAGTACATTGAACTGTCAAAGAAATATTCCGATTTGTTCCTCGTTTAGATATCCGTCCACGTCATTTGCAATTCAAGTTTTTGTGTTGCGGCGATAAAGAAATTTATGATCAAAAATATTGTATATTGACTTAGCTACAACTAATAATTTGTAAATGCTTCCAATTATAAACTATAAGATTTGTAGTAATGATATTTAAGTGTTACGATAACTTTATTACTATAAAAATGAATTAGCATCTTATAGTATGTAAATGTAATAGTGACGAAGTTTTAATTACCTTGCGAATATGTAAATGATGCGTAAGTAATTTAGATTAATATCATGCTAAAGTATTGTCTTTCGTGGGATATGAAACGTAATATGGACGATGTTTCAATTTACTCTAAACTTTTATTCATCTTAACTTCCACTCTTACATTCATGCATCGGCATTATTAATTCTATGATTAGTCTAATCAATATTTTATCTGTTTAGTTCATCATTACAGGATAACATTATCTTTGAGAATGTAGAACTAACATTCAACTTCAATCACGGAAGTTGTATATTAGCGATAATTCTGTGCTAATATTCATTAATATGCTCTAAACTTTCATTCATCTTAGCTTCCACCCTTGCATACATGTATAGGCATTATTTATTAGTGCAACTTATATTTGATCTGTTAATAAGATACCGTGAGATGAGCATGCCAAGCTGAAGTTTATTTTTTTACTGCGGTCATAATCGCTGGTTTATGACGATGCCTTTTAGCTATAATTAAGGTATGACATTTCCACCTAAGCATTAATTTTTATTTTTAATCTGTCAAAGCAATCTATTTCTACGATATTTTCCTTGTTCAAGAATCAACTTTCAATGGCGATCAGTATTAGTTATTCTAAGAGCGAAATACCTTCCGTAAAATTTGATATTTTGGTTAATATAGGCAATGTAATGCACTAGATGTATTCTATAGCAGTAGAATATTTAAATTTTAAGTATACGATCAATTCCACATAAAGGGCCGGCTATTGGGTAGATAGTAAGATCCCATGTAGAGCAGTGCATTTATGCATGAGCACAGATGCTAGGTACGTTATAAGTATAGAAATGATCATTAAATTGAACTTTCGGACATATGAGTATATCAGGGTAATTTCGGCCTTAGGAGACTACATTGCCGCACTTCTGGTAAAAACTCTAGATTTTTTCTCCTCTAATTCACTGATGGAAACTGTAAAACTATCAATATTTTATGCAAGTTCCGGTAGATTAAGGACGCAACAAGTTAGTATAGCTAGTTAATATATTCTTATTATATAACCTAAAATCTAAAAGAATACTTGGAAACTAACGTAGGTACTTTGCATCAAGCAGCATATTCTTTTATTCAGTTCTTACCATCTTTTATATATACGTTTTCTAACAGTTGTTCCAGGCTTGATTCACCTAATTCTTTACTTAATTCTTCGATGAATTCACGAGCAAATGGACGGCATTGATCATCATCAAACATCATCGATAGCCAATCTTTGATATCATCGAACTGCTCAGGATCGATAGCACCCAAAATTTTTTCATTGATATCAATTTGCTTACATGCAACTTGATGATGATCAATAATACCGAACTGGAAAGCTCCTTTGTAAAAAGATTTGGTCGGTAATTTTTTGGCTAATTTTGATACAAATTGATCGTAAGCATTCTTGATACAAAGTAAATTTTTTCTGATGGGTACATATTCGTCGTAAATGTCATCTTCGTCACTCATGACTGTGAAATAGATCAATGAAGCTAGAAAAACAGTATTCAATCAATAGAATTAAAAGACAAGACATACGCTCGTATAGCTGCAGTTCTCCAGCAACGCCGATTAATCTCGATTTAAACCAAATTGATCTACTGGATCAATTACTTTCGTCTGTAAAACAATCAAAACTACCTAAAACCGCACCTAGATGTAATGTTAACGAAAAATCACTACCGCTTAGGTTCTTGCAGTAATACAATTGTAAGTCTTCATGGCATTCTAATTATTATTTATTTATATTAAAGCATCATTATTATGATGATATAACGATAAGATAATGGAATTTATTCAGTATATATCTCATGTAGGATAAAATAAATTACTAAACTTACTTTCCATTTATTGATGTGGCGCCTTAAGGATATATTAAGTAACAATGGTCTTAATTATTCTACTGATATTCAAAGCACTTAGCCAATGGCTGGTTAATGATTTCATTAATTAGCGTAATAATAGTGGATAAACTAGTTCAAAATGGCTACAGGAACTATCAGCTTTCGTCGATGAATTATATAAAGAAGATGTAATAAATGTAATCGTCATTTTCTAATAGATTATTCTTCTTTTCTTCACTCCAAAATGATCGCTTTTAAACTTCTCCTTTCATAGTGATGAAAAACGTGAATTAGTACAAGGAAATCTATTTTATTGTTCTTCCTGAATCTATTAAGATACAGCTATCACGATCAATTCTAGAATAGCATCTTTTACTTTTTGGATATATTAAATTATATCCTATCACCCTGTTGTCCCTAATATATCTTAGCTATTCAAAAAATAAACAGCTATATATTTTATCTTCTTTGAAAAACCACTATGGCAACTGCAATAATCTTGATTTACTTAATGAAGCAATTTGGATTTAATTTAAAATATAAAGATTGGCATTTCGAGCTGTAAAGGCCACTAAATTCCTGCCTTCATTTCACTTCCTATCCTTTCCTTGCACTACTAAATCACTTTACTAATATTACTTTTTAGATCGTCAATAATAAGATATTAACGTAGTTGATTAAAAATTGAGTCACTGCAATACATTGTAGATTTAAATTCGAGGATAAATAATCACTATAATAGCTTAATAGCCTAATTAGTACGGCAGATATTGAGTAACTTCCTTCAATTAAATAGAAACCATGGAATGAATCTTTAAGATATCACGATCTTAATTAAAAATTAATAAGCTTGAATAATTAGTGTACTCATGAAATAGACTCTTTTTTATGATGTATGCTCACTGTCAGCGAAGTGAAATGATATTTTATAAGTAGCAAATTAGGGCAATACGATTTTTAATAGTATATTTGATTTTCTAATCGTTCTTTTGAGCGGAGAGTTTACCGGTAATAATTTAACACAACAAATCTTAATCATTTCGATGATAATGTATCAATTAACATAAGAATGTGTAATAATTGTTACTCCTAAATTATTCCGAACTACTGGTTCACAATAATGCTGAGACTAAGTGCCTTAGGATAAGAATAACTTTAATACATACACATATACATAATAGGTTACAGAATATTAACAATAAAAAGGCTATAGCTAATAGTAGAACGTTAGTCTAGTAATCGCGACTTAGCAAATCTGAGAGGCTACTTTAGCTCTCCCTCTAAGACCCTTTTATACGATCCGGGCCCATCTTATTTGACAACCAATTTTGAACAAAACTCTAACACAAATATTCCTATGCTGGGACCATCACTTATTAATATTTTACTGTAAACTTTGGCCATCGCTAGCGGCGCTTTGTTTTCTTCCTCTTGACTCTTGTTTTGCCTTTCGGAGCCAATCAGGTTACCTACGGGGGGGGGGGGAGGGCTCACAACTTCACTTTCCGCTAAGTAAGTAAATCTCGGCCTGCGATTAATTAATCGTAATGACTATTAACGTATTCATAATCAGTTAGAGAGCGTCAATTTTTTTCCTCATGCCTAAGGCTATACTAACAAATTAATACGTATAAGCACATCTTGCGTTAATAAGTAACAAAAGTTAGCATACATTAAAGGATTAATTCCGCCTCTTCCGTACATTGTATTTAAATTGTGCCACCCAACCGGCATCGAAAATCAATTTGGAGAATCATGCAATGGTCTTTCTTCTTTACGTGCAGTACTTCTTCAATAAATAAAATTAGCAAGCAGCGAGTTGAACATCGCAAGGCTACCAACTGTTTTGAATCATTTTAATGACCTTCTACAGTATTAAACTCTATTCCTCCTCCTCCCTTAAGCTATTAAAGAAATATGCTCAAATGTATCAAGTTCAAAGAACTATTAACGCTTAAGCAGTGTAAATCGTGACAAAATTCTATTGTGACTATCGCGATATAGTATTGAAACTAAATTAGCAAACATAGCAAATATGCATACCACTACGAGCTTACAGTCGAGCTTTTCCTCTCTGACATATGCCAACAATTTCCCATTATAGAAGTTATATTACGGCGGCTACTGTATAAAAGAATTTATAACAGTAGACAAGCATATTTACTCGCTTAGACTTAACTTTATCGCTAATATTAAACTATTTATTTAATTCTCGTAATATGAAAGGGTAGTAAAAGATCAACTTAATAAAGAAGATATAATGACGTGTGAGTCGTAGTAAAATAAATGATCATCATTCTCAATTTTTCAAGTTTTTAGAAATGATTGGGGTACAAAATTTAGCTAATGCTCGATTGCCTAGACTTTCAATGCATCTTTTGCAAAGCAGAAAGTTTGCAAGTTGGACTGTGACAAGCAATTATTGTAATTGTCTAGATTACTGCTAGATATTCCGTTGCAGATTTTTATAATTCAAATTTACAACACAGTATTTATGATTCAGTCGTAAAGACACTTGAGCAACCCTAATAGTATGTGAAATAGGGTTACTAAATAAGATCGTCAGAATTAGAACTATTTCCTCTATTTAGGACCCTAATCAATTCTACTCTATGTACTCAAGGATGGATAAGTTTACGAGACTGTAATAGGATTTGAGATTACTGCTAATTGTCAATAATATTGTTACGCACTAAAGTTATAGCACATAGATCCCAAAGTAAATATATAGTATTTAACTATCATCGATAAGTTACGATAGTGCAATTCAATAGACACCAACTCTATAAATACGAGACTAGAATTTAAGATATCTGAAACACAAAGTATAGATTGGCATTCACTATATCAACTTGGAACTATAGAGAAGAATGGCAGGAGAAACAATATCTAATTACTAGCTGCCAGAGTAATGATAACGAAAAAGTAGATGGTGTTCAATAGCTAATTAGTGCTGTAGCTAGTTTGTTGTAGTAAAAGCGAATAGATAAAGCATGCAGGCGTACAGTGTCACTGAAAGAATTACAAGTACGCCAACTTTTGCTTGTCATTTCTAGTTTCATTAGCCTCATACATTCATAAAATGCTCTATTTAAAAACTGGAATGAGATAGCTTCTCCTTTATATTTTTTTATTTTTTCCTATAGATAAAGCCTGTTCCTGCAAACATACGTTCATGAAATCCCATACTAAAGGACTGGAATAAGATAGTTTCACATTTTTTGATTATTTTGCAGATAACACCTGTCCTTTTCACCATATTTTGCGCAGATGATGTTATAAACCATGTTGACTTCAAAACTGGAATGAGATAGCTTATCCGTTATATTCTTTATTGTTTTCCAGTAGATAAAGCCTTTCTTGGATTATACGTTCTGGAAATGCCCTATTAAAGGATGAAAATAGGATAGTTTCTCCTTCATATTCTTTAACATTTTCTACGGCTAAAGCCTTAGGTCGCACCTTACGTTAAGGAAATGCCCTAGTGAAGTACTGGAATGAGATAACTTCTCTTTCGTATTCATTGATTATTTTTTTTTTAGCATATAAAGCCTCTTCTTTTGCCTGGTTTCTTACAGACTATGTTATAAACCATATTGATTTTCTGTCATTAGCTTGCGCATTATTCAACGATATCATTATGAAACATAAGTATCATACATCAAGATCGTCTTTAATTCTTTCTGCACGTACAGCCATTCTAAATTATAGCACCTTATAGTTATCAGCTATTTATACGGTTTTAGACTAGTAGAGTAGCAATGAGAATCTAAAGTAGAACATTCTAAGCTTCAAATGAATTAGATGCTTCTATCTGCAACGCAAATAGCATTTGATCAATTTAGTGACGCAAAAAAACTGCCTACAATCAGATTTGAGTTGTCAATTGAATACTTATCCTCTAAAAAATAATCAACTCATTCTAAGAGCCGAATCTGCTTACTTAAGATACCATCATTCTTCTATTAATACCCGACACCGTAAGATATCAGACATCTTCAAATCTCAGCACATCGATTGAATGATGTAACAAACTTAACTGATCTACTATCATTAGTAATTATTATATCTAGCAATGACCAATATTTACAATCAACACTTTATCGGGTATTAACAATAGCATAATAGACTAATCCAATTGACTTAAGTATAGCTATCACTATAATCAACTACCGACCGGTATGGGGTGCATTACTGCTGGTAAACATGCTGATTGTTGCGATCACCACTTCGATGATTTTTATCTTGAATATAAGAAAATATGGAATTAACGTCGTCATATGGTACAACTGCAGAGTAGGCATTCTCGTCCATTCCACTCATTGCGAATTCAATTTTTGTTTTCCTATTTGCCGTTGGCTTTACTGTACAAATAGTTTGAATTATAAAGATTTCAGCCTACGTTCATATAACTGAAAGTCCATAAGCACTTTTATGATGAGAACATAAATAAATTTGATAGAGATGCAATGTTGGTGCTCGATAAATATTTATATCTACTGTATAATCTGCTAATAGAAATATTAAACCTAGCCATAAGTGATACAAAAATATATCTTAACTTAAATAGAAGCTCTTCTATACTGATCAAAATAATAACTCTGGCTAAGGGTAATCATTTACCTAATTCTAAATCATACAATTAACCCAGATTCCACGTTCATATTTCTACAACTGTAGTTTCTATATACACCTGCGGTCGGCAATTCAACAAACCAATGAAACACTATTGTAAAAATTCTTGACAAGACCCAATTATACTATTGAAAGGACAAATGCAAACCCTAAATTAATCTAACTAATGATTCATACTTGCAAAAGTCTCCTACCAGACTCTTTCAATCATCGGTTGACTAACCTATGACCTATTTCCTAGTACAAGATTTACTAAATCTAGGAAGCCTCATAATTGTTCTTGTTATAAGATACGCATTTAGAGTGTCTTAATAGCTTTTCATAATTTTGATCAAATTGAAATCTAGAAAATGCAAATGGATAATTTGACTTCGATTTCATAATTTCATAGCAAACATGAAACATAAATCCTCTATTATCTTCGTATTAAACAACAGTCATCGAGAAAATCTTATCAATACCATAACCTGCGGTTGAAAATCTAACGGCAGACTTTATCAGCTTGTAAATTGCTTCTAAATAGCTTAGTTTTTTTTGAAGTGAATCTGAGGCAGAAATTATGAGTACACATGTAGAGGACAATATTGTAGAATTCGACACAACAAGTTGCAAGAGTCACAGAATTAATTATTTTCACTTTACTCTAACATGCCTTATACGCTGCTCTACCGTAACTACTCCGCACTTTTATTCTATAATAAAGAACCGATTTTCTTACTTAACGCATTCGTGTTCATCTCTAAATACCTGCTAAATCTACTATCGCTGAATTATCGAACTCTTCATCACATAAGTTTAGATTACTTTTCCAGTCCTTCTTCATTTGTGCTTGTATCCACCGTACAAATACTTGATTGTACTAACTGGATATAAGCTGTCAGTTCTGTTGTGGTAAGTTAGATAATTTTAGCTCGATAGGGATAGAGATAGTCCCTAATAATTTAGTCATCAAATCGATTAACGAGTGGTAGTAAGCAGTCTCATATAAATTATACTAACTCAATTTGTGATAAGAAAATAAGTTAGTAAATAAATGAGGTGATAGAAGACGAAAAGTTCGCATAGGTTAAAATGAGACTCTCACCTGTAGAAATCGGGATTTGTGTTGGAAGATTGAGAGAAAAACGAAGAATTGCGGCCCCTGTGTACACTATATGGAATTTAACATACTAAAAATATACTAAATGTATCAGTATATAACGAATAGTATAAAAGTAAAATATAAGATAATGACTAGGAGCAGGGACGCCTACAGATAAAATTTCACCTTAAAAGCAAAAGTCGTTACGTAGAAGTTATCTACAAATATCTTTACAAAATGTAATGGACTAACGAGAGGTATAAAAGAAGAAGATTTGGAGCCTAAGGATAGTTTTAAGGTAAATGATTAGATAACATATGTATACAATATTCAAAAGGCTAGCAAGAAATAGTTACTGGAGTAAGTAAAAGATACTGCCAAGGAAATATAGAGCCCAGGGTTGCAGGAACCAATTTTTGTTGCGCCATGCTGATGGATTGTATGATACTATTGACTTATTTAATTTGTCTTCCACAGCATTTACTTCGTAAAATTTTAAATCCAAGCTTTTACAGTATTATTATGACTCTACATTGTAGAGATCACAATACTGTAGTAATGTCTATTTTAGAGCAATTTTGTTGCCTAAACCTAAAAATATATTACGTTTTAAGATATCACCATGTTACAAATCGAAATTTGTAAGGTGGAAAAAGTTAACTATTACAGAAATTGCACACTATGAGTTTATTGTCAGGTTTGTACTTCCTGACATTAACCTATTGTACAACTCTAATTCCTGACGATCTCCTATCGTCAGGAGGGACAGTAACAAAACACTAGTCTCTTTTAGACAGAACTGAACACAAACTTGATTGAAAAAGTCCGTCAATTTATAATAAATCAACATAAACATTAATTATCAGTTTATAGATAATATTGAGCAAAATTATGCAGTTATCTATTAAAAGTATGTCTAGCGTCATAGATAAGCTAATATAAATACATTTCTAGATAAATTGTTTTATGAAAACTATATTACGATAGCTATGCATAAATTATCCCGTAGCACACCATCATTACGTGAAACAGCGGCACCAAAACTACAATAAATAAATAGACAACAACCAACTGTGCAATCGCGTGCAAATCACAGTAGTTACTGTAATTTTCATCATGCTGGTCACTAGTAGTTTACACTGCCGTGTAAAAACTTCGTGCTGTAGTAGATATTACATCAGGTTCTGCACGTGATTATACTTTGGCAGCACTACATTACGAGCGCGATTGCAAGTAAAATAACATTTACTCGCTGATGCCCTAAAAACTATTGCAACATTTTATCACGTTACGGTAGAATAACATCAAAAAAAGTAAGTCTTAAGTGATGATAAATTTGAAATTTTGAAAGTAAAGGAAGCTACTTGCAATAGTTATATTATCACAATTTTCGTTTTACTCGAATATACAGTTACAAGGTTGAATTGTATAGTACACTCGTTAATATAGGTAGCTTGGTACGAAATCTATTTAATTTTCATCAGATTTTTTGAATTGATTCATGAATTATCGATCCTTCAATTACAAGGAATAAACTCATTATAGGTAAAAGCAGTACTATTCCATCAATCTGGTAATTTTAATCTGGCGATATTTTATTTATTATACACGAATTTTCAATAAAATTCAAGCAATGTCTACATGTACTATTGATCCTGATCGACTTCAATATCATGTCTGCCTTCTTCTTAGTGGCATATATTTACAGCAAAGCGAACGTATAAAGGCTAAACAATTAACAGAAAAAGCGCGAGAAATAGCTGAGAAGCTAAAAGATGAAATGATGATTGCGGAAAGCTTACATAGATATGGTGATATTAAGCAAGTGGAACGAGACTGGAATGAGGCACTGAATAGTTATATGAAGTCGGTTGATATAAAATTAAGGTGTATAGTAGAATATAATCCGAGCATCGCTAATTCATATAACGAGATAGGAATCATTTACTATGATCAGGGTAATTATAAAGAGGCTATTTCTATGCTTGAAAAGTCACTCAACATTAGATTATCAATCCTTGATCGCCATCATCCTGATATTACTAGATCATATAACAACGTAGGAAACGCATATTTTAATCAAGGCAAGCATGATGAGGCTATTTCTATATATGACAAGTCCCTCAAAATTACATTATCAATCTTTGGCCATAATCATTCTGATGTTGCCAAATTATATAACAATTTAGGAAATGTGTATGATAAACAAGGCAAGCATGAAGAGGCTATTTCTATGTATGAAAAGTCTCTCAAAATTCAATTGTCAGTCTTTGGTCATAATCATCCCAATATTGTCAAATCATATAACAGCATGGGAAAGATATATTCTAATCAAGGCAATCATGAAGAGGCTGTTTCTATGTATGAGAAATCTCTCAAAATTAGATTGTCGCTCTTTGGCCATAATCATCCCGATGTTTCTGGATCATATAACAATCTAGGAAATGTGTATTGCAAGCAAGGCAAGTATGAAGAGGCTATTTCTATGTATGAAAAGTCTCTCAAAATTACACTGTCAGTCTTTAGTCTCGATCATTCCAATGTTGCCAAATCATATAACAATCTAGGAAATGCGTATTTAGTTCAAGGCAAGCATAAAGAGGCTATTTCTATGTATCAGAAATCTATTAAAATTGCATCGTTAGTCTTTCGCCATAATCATCCCGATCTTGCAAAATCATATAACAATCTAGGAAATGTGTATTGTAATCAAAGCAAGTATGAAGAGGCTATTTCTAGTTATGAGAAGTCTCTCAAAATTCAATTGTCAGTCTTTGGCCATAATCATCCGGATCTTGCCAAATTATATAACAATATGGGAGAGGCATATAGACATCAAGGCAAACACGAAATGGCTATTTGTATGTATGAGAAGTCTCTCAAAATTACATCATCAGTCTTTGGCCATAATCATCCCGATGTTTCTGCGTCATATAACAACATAGGATCTACATATTCCAATCAAGGCAAGCATGATGAGGCTATTTTTTTGTTTGAGAAGTCTCTCAAAATTACATTATTAGTCTTTGGTTATAATCATCCCGATATTGCTACAACATATAACAACATGGGAGCTACATATCATTATCAAGGCAAGCATGAAGAAGCTATTTCTATGTATGAGAAGTCTCTCAAAATTCAATTATCAGTCTTTGGTCATAATCATCCCCATGTTGCCAAATCATACAGCAACATGGGAGAGGCATATAGACACCAAGGCAAGCATAAAGAGGCTATTTCTATGTATGATAAATCTCTCAAAATTCAATTATCAGTCTTTGGCCACAATCATCCCGATGTTGCCAAATCATATAACAACATGGGAGCTGCATATTATGATCAAAGCAAGCATGCAGAGGCTATTTCTATGTATGAGAAGTCTCTCAAAATTACATTGTCAGTCTTTAGTCATAATCATCCCGATGTTTCAGCATCGTATAACAATCTAGGAAATGTGTATGGTAATCTAGGCAAACATCAAGAGGCTATTTCTATGTATGAGAAGTCTCTCAAAATTACATTGTCAGCCTCTGGTCATAATTATCCTGATATTGCCAAATCATATAACAATCTAGGAAATGTGTATTATAATCAAGGAAAGCATGAAGAAGCTATTTCTATGTATGACAAATCTCTTAAAATTAAATTATCAGTCTTTGGTCATAATCATCCCCTTGTTGCCAAATCATATAACAATCTAGGAAATGTGTATGATAATCAAGGCAGGCATGAAGAGGCTATTTCTATGTATAAGAAATCTCTCAAAATTCAATTGTCAGTCTTTGGTCATAATCATTCCGATGTTTCTGTGTCATATAACAATCTAGGAAATGTGTATTTACATCAAAGCAAGCATGAAGAGGCTATTTTTATGTATGAGAAGTCTCTCAAAGTTAGATTGTCAGTCTTTGGCCATAATCATTCCGATGTTGCTACATCATATAACAACTTGGGAACTGCATATTCTGATCAAGGCAAGCATGAAGAAGCTATTTCTATGTATGAGAAGTCTCTCAAAATTAGATTATCAGTCTTTGGCCATAATCATTTCGATATTGCTGCATCATATAGCAACATAGGAACTGCATATAGATATCAAGGCAAGCATAAAGAGGCTTGTTCTATGTATGAGAAGTCTCTCAAAATTACATTATCAGTCTTTGGCCATAATCATCCCGATGTTGCCAAATTATATAACAACATGGGAGCTGCATATTATAATCAAAGCAAGCATGAAGAGGCTTGTTCTATGTATGAGAAGTCTCTCAAAATTACATTATCATTTTTGGTCATAATCATCCCGATGTTGCTGCATCATATAACAATCTAGGAAATGTGTACAATAATCAAGGCAAGCATGAAGAGGCTGTTTCTATGTACAAGAAGTCTGTTAAAATTAGACTGTCAGTCTTTGGTCATAATCATGCCCATGTTGCTACATCATATAACGACTTAGGAACTGTATATAGATGTCAAGGCAAACATGAAGAGGCTATTTCTATGTATAAGATGTCTCTCAAAATTACATCGTCAGTCTTTGGTCATAATCATCCCGATATTGCCAAATCATATAACAACATAGGATCTACATATTCTAATCAAGGCAAGCATGAAGAGGCTATTTTTATGTATGAAAAGTCTCTTAAAATCACATTGTCAGTCTTTGGTCATAATCATCCCGATATTGCTAAATTATATAACAATCTGGGAAATGTATATTCACGTAAAAGCAAATATGAAGAGGCTATTTCTATGTATGAGAAGTCTCTCAAAATTACATTGCGAATCTTTGATCATAATCATCCCGATATTACTACGCTATATAACAATCTAGGAAATGTGTATGGTAATCAAGGCAGACATGAAGAGGCTATATCTATGCATGAGAAGTCTCTCAAAATTACATCGTCAGTGTTTGGTCCTAATCATCCCCATGTTGCCAAATCACTTAATAATCTAGGAAATGTGTATTCTAATCAAAACAAGCATGAAGAGGCTATTTCTATGTATGAGAAATCTCTCGAAATTCAATTGTCAGTCTTTGATCACAATCATCCCGATATTTCTGTATCATATAACAATCTAGGAAATGTGTACTTACATCAAAGCAAGCATGAAGAGGCTATTTCTATGTATGCGAAATCTCTCAAAATTAGACTATCAATCTTTACTCATAATCATCCCAAAGTTGCCAAATCATATAGCAATCTAGGAAATGTGTACAATAATCAAGGCAAGCATGAAGAAGCTATTTCTATGTATGAGAAATCTCTCAAAATTATATTGTCAGTCTTTGATCATAATCAACCCGATGTTGCAACATTATATAACAATCTGGGAGCCTCATATTATAATCAAGGCAAGCATAAAGAGGCTATTTCGATGTATGAGAAGTCTCTTAAAATTCAATTTTCACTTATTGGTCATAATCATCCCGATATAACCAAATCATATAACAACCTAGAATATATATGTAATAGTCAAGGTAAGCATGAAAAGGCTATTTTTATGTATAAGAAATAACTTAAAATTACATTCTCAATCTTTGGTCATCATCATCCCAATATTTTTACATCATATAGCAACATGGAAACTGCATATTGTAATCAAGGCAAGCATGAAGAGACTATTTCTATGTATAAGAAGTCTCTCAAATTCATTGTCAGTCTTTAGTCATAACCATTCCGATATTGATAAATCATATAACAATCTAGGTAATGCGTATAATAATCAAGGTAAGTATGAAGACGCTATTTCTATGTATGAGAAGTCACTCAAAATAAATTATCAATCCTTGATCACTATCATCCCGAGATAGCAATTTATGAAATGTGTATTTAGATCAAGGCAAATATGAAGAGACTTATTCAATGTAAGAAAAGTCACTCAAATTCAATTGCAAGTCATGCATCACAATTATCCCGATCTTGTCAAATCATATATCATGAGAGTTAAATATAACAATGTGATCAGTTATCAACGCTATAAGTATTGGATGTTATGCAACAATTTGCCAATGTGTTAGGAAATATTTTTACGCCAGAGGCAGTTTGGAAATGACATAAGCTGTTATATTAAATCAAAAGCATGCTATAGATCCTACCTATGAAGATGAAGTTAGTGGGACATTCCCTATTTAATTTAGCGAATCTTGGAACTGGAAAGAATTGGCAGGAACGATGCAAAAGACCGGTTCTAACGCTACAGTTTCTTGGGTTGCAGCCACATTTATAAGAAAGAATGAAGCTAATCCAGCAAAATCGTTTTTGAGTGATGTAACTGGACAGAAAATATCTATATTTTACGCGTGTATTCGGTATATATCAGCTGTGAGATTTAGAAGTATCCCAGCAGATCGAAGATTTTAGGTGAATTGAAAGATCGTATTAAGGATGTTCGTGAGTTTACCGAGCTAGGAGAATAAACAGCAAAAGAAGTGATAAAAATCGCGCGGGGAGCAAGAAAATTAAAGACATTAATTTTTATCAATAAAAATGGAAAACAAGAATTAAAACTCAGGTATAGGCGATAAGAATATTCGTCAAGTTTTAATTTTGATACTATCTAAAATAGACTAATTGTTTAATTTCTTGCCGTTATAAAAGAGGTATAATTTTATTACAAGTCAGTGATGATCAATACAAGTTGTCATTACTATTCGTACGTACATATTAGTATAATTTGATCTTGATACTCATCATCTAAAATACACTAATTGCTCAATCTCTTGCTGTTATAATGCGGGTATAATTTTATTTTATCCTTTATTTCGGTTGAGTTATTTTGTGATTCGGCTGATAAAATTGTCTAGCGAAAAGTAAGTAATATCTCTATGCCTGATATAAGATGCAGCCTCACTATCGTACAGTTATTTTAACCGCATTCGGCTGATTTATTTTGTGATACTATGTTAAATCCAAAACTTCGAGAAGCAAACATATTTTATACTATGATTACTTGATTTTATGGCATTTAATCGGAATAACATAGTTCAAATATTATCGCTGTATTAGACTATGTATTTATATGTATTTTATTACATCATCACATCACATGAGTACATTTGTTTTAAACATATAGTACAGTATACGCTTATTACTAGAGTCGTCATCAAAATAAAGACACGTGAATAACTTTATTATGATTGATATAAGTATGGAAAGGCCAATGTACACTTATACTGTCGTATACATTAACTCTACAAAATAAATATTTATTCAATTTCCTATTTATACGAATAAAATCAAAATTGAATGTCTTGCATTGAATCAGCGATATTTTCAATTAAATTATAGGATCAACTCTCAAATATTAACCATGCGTTCGATTTGAAGTTTAATTCACGTTCATTCAAATGGGCAGTTCACTAGATAATAATTAACTACTGTAACGAATTTTTGCAATCATTTTTCCAATATGAACGATCGCTATCACCTCTAAAAGTAAAATAGACAACTTCTACAGTATTGTGTTGAAACTGGTTAGAAAGTGATAAAGAATAACACGCTAGTAACTCCACTTTTTATTATTCTACCTATCGCATAACTACTGTGATTGGCTTCAATCGTTACAATTTCACTCTCCAGTACGCCAAGAAAAATGGTTACGGCACCGAAATTAATTACAATAACAAAATTATTAGCATTTAATTTTCCAACATGAGCGATCGTTATCACCTCAAAAATAAAGTAGACAACTTCTATCTTGTTTAAACTAGTCAGAAAGCGATGGAGAACAATACTCTAGCGATTTTAATTGTTATTATTCTAATAATACAATTAACACTTACGAGTAATTTTATCTCACATTTGTTTAAATAGATCGGATACTTTAAAATAAAATATGCCCAAACTATTCTTAAACGTATTGTAATAGCAGACTTCAACGTATTTCTCGTCATCTGGCTAGGATATATCAATATCATCTTTCTAAGCTTGAGGGAATACTTGCTTGACCAATTTAGAGAGCCTAGAGAGTTAAGTAAACTCAACGGTAATCTACATTTTAATCGAAAACTTCTCCTCTCTTTGTTATTCGTATACGGACTTTTTACCATATAAAGAAAGATAGTCGTTCTTTATCAAAATGTTTTACCTCAAAATGGTACTATATCTACGTGTGCCGAAATTTTTTTATTTCCGTTCCTATATAAATACAGTAAGTTCAATAATTAAATTATACTATAACACACATTTGACAAATTTTAAATCTATTTACATTATTCTGCCAAGAAGTTCACGAATCACATTTGTCGGATACCAAGGCAAATTATACTGATCGTATTACCCAACTATATTGATTGAATATGAGACATTGAAATTGCCATTTAAATAGAATAGTAAAATGTAATTATAGCTAAATAATTTAACAATTAAGCTGATACTTGCGCAATAGATACAAGTAAGTACATCGTCATGCGGTACACATAATCTAAGTTCGGTCAAGCTAGCAGTTTCATTGCTATAGCATGCTATGTGCGTTCCAAGCTCATGGCGAGAAGGAGGATTATTAGATATGGTTCGTGAAAATCTTGTGTACGGTGTATGATTAACCCACGAAGAGGACAAGAAATTTTTGTCGTTAATGCAAAATACAAGAATCTGGCAAGTTTATATAGTGGCATAGCAATTCTTTTTATTTCTGGCCTGTTGCAATGATTACTGTAATATTTATTATTCTTATATTCCGCAATAGTACCATAATGCATGATTATAAGCCAGCTAGTAGCAAAATACTTAATTCATTGATTCGTAAAAAGAACTGCTGTTAATTTTATCAACAGTGTCGTTAGCAAATAACTTACAGTGTTCAAGTGATAACCGTTCCGGCTAGAATTGGCAAGATAAACGAATTACATTATTACAGCATAAGTAACAAAATGTATGAAAATTTAAATTCATTTCAATATACATCCAAAAAAATTAAAAACGATCTCATCGTCATTACGTATGTAATCAGATGAAATTTAGAATGTCAGACGACGACATAAGCATATTCATCAAAATAGCGATATCATACTTGTGACACTTATATATTGTCATGGCTGTACTGTATGCTTCAAATGCATATTGGAGAATATTGTATGAACAACTACCAATGTATCATTAATATCGATTTACAGGTACATAGAACCACTCTAATATACATCACTGATTTGATTCATAACATATATTACATAAAAATTATTCCTGTGGTACCAGACGCCAACAACGTCTGTAGTCAGCATTCTGACCTGACACGCGTATACATATGAGTACATACATATACCAATTCAATAACGATCTATCGAACATCTAACGCAACGATTGTATTGGTAAGAGTTATCGATTCACATTATCTTATTACTAAATAAATTGTATAAAATTTGGCAAATAATAGTATTATATGAGTTATTGTAAAATAATGAAGCATGCTAACTGAAATTCCTTTTCATATGCAAGCTTTCATTTATGCATAAACCTTAGAAGATTTGCTAATGAATTTGTTTACAAATTGATTTATACTATAACATAATGTATCAATATATTGTACCGTAGTATGGCGTACCGCAGCGTTGAAAACCTTTTCTAAGGCTAATTTTATTTTAAACACAGAGATAAATTATGCCTTAGCAGGCCGTGGTGGTAATGGTGGTGGTGGTTCATCAGTTTTTGATGTGCTTCGATTAAGCAATCGTGGTGGTGGAAGTGGAGCCTTATCTACATCATTTCCATCAACATCACCATTATCCATGAAATGAACATTAAAAAATGTGTTAGCGCATGGTGTAGATGAAAAATCTCTCGGCGGTAAAGGTGGTGGTACTCCAGTATCATCGGCTTTCTGTGGATTAGTCGATTCAATAAATAGTTGTCGCGGTTTAGGTGGCAACGGAGGCGGTTTGTCCTGCTGATCATTTTCATCAAATATTACCTCTTCTTGAATTGGGAGCGGCAGTCTTGAATCACCACTTGGGTGGCCACGGAAAGATAAATGGCGAGTCAGTACTTCATGCTTATCTTCGACAACTTCTAATCTATGGATGTCACTTGATGAAGCTGATCGACTTTTCCGCGGCGGAACTGGCGGAATAATTTCATTGCTAGACTCGTATTCATTTTCAAACAACGTAATTGGTTCTGTTGACGCTATTGATGAGTTCGAAACGGTTCTGATTCTATTTCCCTTCAGTAACTTTATGTTTGGATCAATAGGCAATGATAATGATCGAACCGCCCCTCTTCCTAAGAAAGCGTCTGGTTGAGAAGTGCTTGTAAGAAATTCGAAATTTGAACCTCTACTACGGCTAAGAGTACGCTTTTTTGAAGCTAAAGAGCCTTGATTGACAGCTTCCGAAAATGATCTGATAGAATCTCTGCCGCCACTACCGCTTGTTCTTCTGGTAGCTATTGGGTTGGATGTCATAATACCCATACCAGTTAAAGAGTTTGATCGAATCTTAATACCAGGAGACTTTAAAGGTACATCAGTTCGACGACTCTGCAAAGGCAAATAATTGTAAGAGGTCTAACTAATTTACACAGTAACACATAACAGAAGCAGCAAAAAAACATTAAAATAACCTATTAACTTTCTAAGATTATACAAAGCAAATAAATTTTATATACCATGACATAATTAGTGTTACTAATTAAATATAAAAAAGCTAACTACAGTATATGAAAGTAAAATCATAATACTAGTTCTATACTATCACTCACAAATTTCGGAGGATCGGTCTTATCACGAGGTTCAACTTTCAAAGACTGTTCGTATAAATAATCCTCAAATTGGCTTTTACTTTTTGTTTCGGTCGGATCCAAGGATGTCAAAAATCGCTAATAGCGCATAAACGATAAAATGAATAAACCACAAATGCAGTATTTATAAATGCGAACAGATTTACCTAATATAAAGAACTTTAGTACTGATCATGCTAGACCTACTTTGATACTGGGTTCTTCTCTCAGACAATATGGAACATTCTGAAATTGCTGAATTTCACCAACAATATCTGCGACTTTACGCCTAAGATTGTCAATGATTACAGATTCCAGATTAATATTATATTGGACCTTACAATTATTTATGCGATAGACAAGCGCTGAAAGTGCTACCTTTTATGAAAATTAATTATAGTTTCCGATGAGCTAGTCGGTAAAAAATCAGGATTTCCTTCTTCGGTATGAAGAATTTCTGTTAAATATTTTCCTAAGTAAAAAAAAGTAGCATAGTATCCCTGAAATTAATTTTGAGTCAACAAAGTACTATTCTATAATTTATCTTTGTACCCATAAACGGAATACATGGCGGATTTACGGAGCGCAATTTCTCATTATACTTTCGGAAATGATCAGCTGTAAGTCCAAGCATTTCCTTTAAATAAGAAAGTCGCTTAGGCGGAATTTCCTATATAGAAATTAAATGCAATAATTTTAATGTAAGCATTTCATACTCTATTCCCTATATATTCTTATCCAGCACTGTATATTACATTGTAAAATATTACTACCTTCCTTTAATAATTTAATAACTACATAAATTACCTTGAAAGTATGCTCTAATCTGTGAACAGGCGACGAACCTATTGCGCTAGCAATCTCAAGTATCCCATTTAAATTATTCAACTCCTCGAAAACCTATTTATTTTATTACGTATTTCACAAAGGAAAGATCAATTATGACAGCAGATATGAGGTTTAATAATTTTCTCGTTGTTCTATTGTCTCTAAACTCACCATTAGTACTTCAATGAATCTCAAAACTACTGCTGTTCTCTCTTCTAAATTTTCATGCTTTAAAATTTCATTTTCGCACCAATGCGTAATCTGAAAATTCAATATTCAGAAATCTAGTAAGAGGCAATCTAACAATTCAACTGGCGGGTACGAAATGTGATACCAATGTCGAGTGCTGAATGAGTTGCAAAACGTTTGGAGCTAATTTGTCCTTATCAGGCTTTGTCCACATAACACCAACCAATTCAGAGGGTTTAACAGCCCTATCATAAAAGCATGATTTCATTTAGTCTTTTAGTTTAGTACCACCAAAATGTTATCCACTTAGTAATTTACTAATAAACCGTATAGTAAGTACAGACCTAAATAATTCCGACTCTATAAGTGTCAGTTGACGAGCTATTTCTACCGGATGAAGCTACAGGTCGTGAAAAAAGTTAGAGTAGCGTAAATTAAAAAGTATGTAATTTTATTAACCGTAACATTACGGCTAGATAAATAAGGTAATAACAATTTTACTCTACTCTTACCGTAAGAATGGAGTATTGATCCGATTTTCGAGCAATATACCATTCTATCGGTGGAGGCGAAAAATCAAATGTTGGAGAAGTATCGGACGCAATACTGAAGTAGATTTCCTGTTCCTAATTAAAATGAGAATTTTACATTAACAGTATACAAATAGAAACCATACAATATATTATATTGCTCTTGTATTAATTCTAATTCAAAAAATTTCAAATGAACCTTAGAGCATACCTTACGATTTATGATCTTTACTATCGATTCGATCCATTTTCGCATTGATTTACCTTTCTTTGACTCAACCATTTCTTTCAATCTATCTAAAAGTATCTCATCTTTGGCAAAGTCGTAAAAATGATGGTCGACCCATTGACGTAAAACATTCAGTACTCTACGAATATGTAAAATCAGCAATTATGCGCCAATAAAATCATAAATTTTAGAGATTTTCAATGTTAATAAATCTTACGTTACCGTAGTTGTACTGGTTCTAGGTATTCCTTTTTAAACTTTTTATATTCATCCCTAACGGTAGCACTAAAGTCTTGGTAATTCAATCCTATAAATTCCACCGGTTCTGGTATGTTACATGTAGGTACAGTTAAGGGAAGAGATATCATCATAATGATCTACATAATTATGTGGAACCTTTTAAGTATGTTATAGACCGTACTAGACAGGAACGTAACATGTACTTAAATGACGATGTTTTGTACAATGTTGTAAGTAGAACGCATACTCTGCTGAGTACGCTATCAAAAGCTTGCTTTAAAATTTGTTTAAGAAGGATATCTTTCTATTAAGAGTTCCAGTAAATGTCTTGCTTTCATGAAAGATCTGTACGTGATTAAAAATATCCGCGCATACGAAGGATCTAAAACATTGTGACATATGCCAAAAAATAAGTGCGTACAAGGTACTCCATTTAAAATCCTAAAATGGATATCTTCATGATATATCGAATAAAAATTAATCTTCAAAGCTTCCTTACCTGAATATTTATGATATGTTAGCCTTTCAACTAATTTTAAAATAGTTCCACCCTTTACTAATGGCACACCGGATGGATTCTACAGCATTAACAGAAATTCAGTTTTAAAAACGGTAACCCATCATACGAATAATTGCAGAAATAGCCATTTTAAATCTCACATATAGCACTAACATATTTATTCTCCTCCAATACAATATTGCCATCAGTTCCAACTTTGTCGGGTATAGCAAATCTGACGAAATTCAGTGATTTCAATAAAATATCTTACATAGCATATAAATCTAAAAGTTCGACACAATGCACTACTTTATAGGGCATAATACATACCTGTAATGCTTAGGATCCGGAAGTCTAAGTATGGTTGCATTTTCTTGTTCTTGTAATAAGCCATCCAGAGTCCGATCCATGGCACTAAAAAATACAAACAGAAATTCTATGTAATAATAACTTAAGCCTAGCACAGCCCTATAAGAGTTGGATCAGTTATCCCTATAAAGTTGAAAGTTGCGAGAACTTATAAAGTTCGAAGACATGCTGTAAGCATTATCAAGAACTACTCTACGAAAGATTACGACTAGGAAAAATAATATGTTTTAATAAGATATGGTACCTTTTACAGTGTAAGAGACATAAAACTGACATCCATTCAAGTTTGTCTTTTGAATCTCTCGCAGTAAGCGTTATAGAGCGGTGATCTCGATCTACGATCTCAAAGCTTGTATCTGTAAATGGAAAATATGCACTATAGATTCTAACATTATCACGCTCTTTGCGGAATTTGTACATTTCTTAATCAACCATACCACTCTCATGATCGATAATCTCAGTCTTTCTAACACTGAAGAGTTCTTTTAGCCTAAAGCTAGCCGCAGATGAAGACGGCTTCGTATTCTTTTTACAGCAAATTAATAAGCCGTCTAGGAGGAACACTTGACGCTCTGAAAGCTATTTTAAATAGATCGTAAGTGGGTTATAATTTGGTAGTATCTAAACTGTTAGATAATATTACGTAGAACAATTTAAAAGTGAACCAACCTTTTTTCCAGATGACATTTTATACAGTATACCCTCTGAAAATTAAATAAAGATCGAAAAAAACTTTAGTCTATTTGCAATCACAAGTATTATACTAATACTTATTATAATGTGCTATCATCTTAGTCACAAAGTATCGAGATATGATTATTATTTACCCATAAGCATGTTCGTGCAGCAAGAAGCTATACTCGATCCCTATCAGAAGAGAGATACTTCCATACTAAGTATCAATATAATACACTTCTAGGCAACAAATCGCTAATAATACAAGCAACCAACCTCCCACGCATCTATTGCTTCCTCGAGCTCGTAAAGCATATGCATTGGCGTTCTCCGTCTGCTAGGACGCAACAAACACTCAAATGCATCCCCACTACATGATTTCCAAAAAACCATTTGAATACATTGCATTTAGAAACCAAAAAAATTTAATGAATCATTCTGATACCAATATTATAGAGTAACAAAAATCGCATACTAATGTCTCCTTTTTCCGATTAACGTATCACATGTTTTTTTAATTTGGATCTGCAGAGTTCTTAGAATTCCCAAAGCCTACAAGAAGTTATATAAAAACAACATTAAAGTTATTATAATAAACGATAACGGTTATATCTTTGCAAGAGCAAATCGCTAATAAGCATATTAACTTTATTACCTGTTCAAGATTATCATGATCTTCTTGATGGACTGTTACTCCTGCTAAGAGCTATAGCATCGATCATATGAAGAAACATAAATCAATTAATTTACCAGTATAGATTCATTATCAATGACCTAATCTGGTATTAGCAATCGTCAGCACTAATCTGTTAAGAAATGAAGTGTAGGTAAACTTAGCCAAATCACATCACTTACATCAATGAAGTCAAAGTACTTTAAGCAGTGCTGAATAGGTACTATTAACAATTTCGGCAGTATGTATTGTACTCCTTCCTTAAATTTAAATTTATATTTGGCTCCAATATACTACACCAGAAACAATCAATGTAATAAAATGTTACATTAACAGTATCAGCTAGAAAATCCCTCCATTTTTATAGCATTCCCCGATAGATGCATATTCCGAAACATATATTTACACGCAAAGACAAAGAAAAATATATGCGACGTACGAATGCACTATATGAAATACAGTATACTCTATTCTTAAGTATCAGACATTAAAATGATACGCGTTATAAAGATTTAAGGTTACATAAAATAATTGCATGTACATAAATCAGCAAAATATACATTAACAACTGATCATTATTTTATGCCAGCATAAAATGAATAGATTTCAAATAAGACATACTACCATATGACTGTCATCGAATAATAACTGTAGCTATTACATTCGTGCATAATCATATCGAAGTAATGTCATTAATAGAATGAATGCAATACAGTTCATAATTAATAGAAAAGAATTTCTTGTAAATACGGTACACCATAACATACACTTTAAGTAATATAAGTATACAAGTATATTTGGCTTGCATACCTATGTAATGTGGTAGTAAACATAGAAATATTATAAGAAGAAAGACATTGTCGATCAGCTTACTAACTACGCAATGCAGTTATCATGTTAGTTACAAACTGATTAGGCAATAAAAAGGTACCATCTGTTTAAAGTGATGCGACGTGTAATAATATCAAAAGAGAAATAAGAGTACAGAATAGAATACTATTAATATTTCAATGACATCGCCGAAAGCAAATGCAAAGCAGTACCTGACAATAAGTTAATACTTCCGGTTTCTGTAATATATTTGACCAAACTTTTGAAGATTCCCTTAAGGATGTACAATAAGTATCATACACGCTAAACTCTTCAGCCTAAATATCATTATGACAAAATTAATAGTCAAACGAGAACATTCTTGCATTGCATCGCAGACATACCTAGGTATATCTACGGTTCGATCTAAATATATAGTTATAAAACTAGCGTACCGAAAAGTAAGTAATACTGTACCTCAGCCATTTCTAAAAAGCAATCACCAACTTGAGTATATTGTTCCGTATCATTGTCCGCCATTTCAATCGTATCTTCCAATAATCCAAGGAAGCTTACGGAAAATTCGTAAATGTCATCAACGTTGGAAAATAACCGCTGTACCTCCTAAAGTAAAGAAATACATTAACATGATGATTATTGTTTATACAGAATAAAAGGAATGGAGGGAGGATTGAACTTACCCTTTCAGAAAACAGATGAGCCGCGGTAATAAATGGTTCTCTAAATATCTAATCGATTAATAGTAGTTGAGTAATTAACGTTATTTGCAAATATCAATTTGAAGAATCTATTAGAAAAAATTTAAATTCATGGTGTTTCATAATCCATTGATTAGTAAAGTACCTTTGTAATAAGGTTTAAATCCCGAATAAACTGTTGCTCCTCTAAAAGTAACTCTTTTACCAATGTTTCGTAAGGAATAAAGGTGTCTCGACCCATTTCCTTTGTATACAGAGAAAGTATTAAATATCACCGATGTAACAAAAAATTGCACAGTCTCTAATAAAATATGATTATAATTAATTGACGAAACAAATAATATAGCTTAATGCTGAAAAATCTAGTAGGCGAGTATATTGCATATACCTCATGTATTTGGTCAACGTCACGGTTAAATAATTCTTGCAACGGATTATTAGCAAACATCGCGATTTTAATATCTTGACTGCCAATTTCTGTATGTTTTATATTTCTGATGTACGTACCAGTCAGCTACCATTTGTGACATTTTGATCAACAAGTTGTTACATAAAGTATAAAATAAGTGATAATGTAATATTTTTCAATAATTATTATTGGGAACCATCAATTAATATTAGAAAATCCAAATTCAAAGCATGCATATATACCTTCAATATATTACATATTAAGTAATCCGCTACGGTTATAACATATAAGGATAATTGCTGATCTATCTTATAGCAAAGGATATCCTACAAACCGAAATGCAAACGTATAAAATTCTTCACACAATATGAAAGTAATTACACAATGTAAAGCACTTTAATAATGCTACATAACGCAGAAATTACCTTTTGAAGGACTGAATGGAACTTATCAACGCAGGCCGATAGATGACTTCTTTTCTTTCCTTTTTCTAACATCCCTCTAGCTTCACTAATTACTGATTCATCGATTGGGTTAGGAAAAGTGTCCAATATATACTCTTCCACATCGGCTACGGTATGCGGTAAACAAGCGCATATTATAACAAGCAATCGTATCATTAGTTTGTCTAAATGCTCTAATCCTTCGTCGGCAATCGTTAAGTCAGGGATTGCATTTTCCAACGCCTATATTTATGTAAACATTTAATAATTCAAATTTATCAGTATAATACTTGTAGTATCGTCTACAACATACAGTCAGTAAAAACTAATTAATCAGGCTGAATTTTAATACACTAATGAGTATTTAAAGTGCTAAAGATAGGAAAACGAATAATCTGTATTCTTTAAAACTTTATCTTAGTAATTTTGCAACAGATTAACTCTTTTATGATCTAAGTATTGCAGGGAATTGTCCTAAGGACAAATCAAATCATTGTAATGAAGTATAGACGGGAATTAAACTGATCCGAAATACGAATATTGAATAATTATTTCTCAATATTCACAAACAGGATTATACAAACTAATAGGAAGACGAAGTATCTTTATTTTCATAACAGTAGTTTACAAGACTATGACAAGGTTTAAAGAACTGATTTATATAAAATGAAATGATTGCAAATAATACGATTACAAAATAAAACAGATTTAACGACTGGTTGTCAAAAAGTGATTCCATACATAATAAATCAGTTCACTTGCGATAAATCTTAAAATGTTGTCATCGGATTATCTTTCAGTTTTAAAGCGCTATAAGTGCATACTATCTACGTACAGTACCATGACTGATATTATATTGCACAGATAATTTTAGTTTTAATATTAAAACGACAGCATTTAATTTTTAATCTTTAAGAAAGAATCCTACTATACCACTGTAAAGAATGAGCGATTATAATTACACGAATATAGTTTGATATATGATCAAAAATGTACTTTGTGCATATGAATAGAGGCATTTTAATCCGTTAAGATCGTATTGAGTGAGTATATCTTATCTAATGATATCTAATGACATGATAGTTAATTATTTACTAGTATGTTAATAAGTTCCATTTGAGTTCATGCCAGGTTACTAAAATATACATGAGACCAATGAATTGAGAATTCAATTAAAAGGGAAGCGTGAAAAATTTTTTTATCGCTTCAGGACATTTGTTTAATTAATCGACTACATCTGCTTTTACAATTGCAAGAAACTGTCCACGTGGTGTGAGAATTGCATTAATTATACCTAAGAAATGCTTTTTAAATTTTGTTGCTACTTGTTTTTTATATATAATTTTAAGGTTAATATTATTTCTACGTTACTAAGTCTATGGTTTTTTATAATTTTGCCACCTTACCACCATTACATATTAGTGCAACGAATAAAACTTTCAATTCAATCTACAATTTGATCATTGGTGTAAAAATACTAAATTCTACAACTAACCATTTATCATAAAATTCATAGGTCATAAGATAATGAGTTTTAAGTAAATATACCGCATATACTGTACCATTCTAATTACAAATAAATAATACTATTACCATCATCATAGCGATTTCTAGACTATTACAGTAATTTATTATCAACTAATTTACTCCAATTATCTGTCCTTTGCTTCATTGAATTACGGGAATTGATAACTGATAAATAATTATAATAGATTATAGTCTAACAAGAAAATCATACAGCTATGGCTAATAACGATTCCATCTAAAACTAGCCTATCACAGACAAATTTCACCAGATTTAATTCGTTAAATGCGTTGTCAATTTAATATGTACTATCGTGTTCCAATACAGTACCAGCAAGGGTAAAGTTATAATGATCTCTAATTAAATTAGCATCGGTATTGTAGTAGCAGAAAATATTTATTCAACTCTACTGTATCTTCTGTTTCCTGTATTTCTAAACACCGTAATACAGTAGTTTTTTTTTATGCTTCATACTCGTTTACAATTAATATTATAATAGAAAAAATGAAATACAGTAATAAATTACTATTTCGGAGAAATATCCATTTATTCGCTAAATAATGAATTAGTCAAGGACAATCAACTAATTTTAGGTACAACGCAGTGACTTAGGAATTTTCGGACTGCGAATTCAAATTTTCTACAAAGGTCAATCTCGACAGCAATATAGTTCAAGTGTAAAATCAATCCCAGAAGTTGTCGGAAAATACTACAATAAGCACAAAGATACTATATCACTAATGCTAAGGTAACAGGATATTAGCCTAGAGAAGTACGGCTTATATGCATCCACTGCTTGTAAATGCATGTAAACTGTATTTGCATTGTCTTTTCACGGATATTCTTTCAACAATGGTTGGTACGGTCAATATGGAATATTCTTATGTACGTTGATCATCCTTCCTTTAAACGCTGTTTAGTCCGCTTCTTTATAAAGTCAACTGTAGCAGGATTTGCTTTATTATAGCAAATAGTTGAAATCTGATGAAACCGGGTAAACTAATACTTAAAAAAAATGTAGACCATATTGATAGGGATTTGCCAAGAACGAGAGAAAAATTTGTCTTTGTTTGGCATGAAGGCGCTAAGTTAAATTTATCAATTCAGTAGCTTAAGGAGACTGATAGTATACTTATTGTGCAGGGATATCATACCCATACAATTTATAGTCACCCAGACTAGCTAATAAAATAGATCAAGATAATGAAGAGACTATTACAGAGGCTTTAAAAGTTGCTCTATTACAATAACAACAATTGACTTTAAATTGCAAACATGGCACCATTTAGGCAGATTTAAATTATTAGAGAGAAAAGAGGTTAAAATTTAATGCGCTACATTACTATTGTGATAAAAAATGTCCTAAGAAGTATATCGAAATCTAAAACTGGGTAGGCTACGCATTTATGGGGTAGTAAGCAAGTAAGATGGTAATATCCCCCCAAAATACATACTATTAGTTAGGATCGCAGTCATTATCTTACTTATTTAATAGTAAGAAATATACAATATCATATTGACATGGTAGAAATGCTTATATTGAGCAAATAAGTGTACATATTGTATCAGAAAGATACTGCAACAAATTAACTAAATGATGGCAACAGTAGCAACTATTATTAATGATGCCAGGATACTGTAGGATCATGAATACAGATAATTAGTTATCTATTTATTTGACTACATCTGTTGGGGTTTTTGAGAGAATTGACTCATTCCTTAATTTTATTAAAAGTAAACTATACTTTAGACTTTTAGACTAGATCTGGGCTGTCCAATGGAAGTACTTCCCCAAAATCTAGCCTACATTGTGACTGATTATTTATATGATGATGATGCGAAAGAAAGTTCAACGCGTTACTTTTTTGTCAAGAAAATGGACCGGTAGCTATTACAATACTAGAATTTGATATTAAGTGGTAATAGTTTCAATCCTCAAGAGAGACATCGAAATGCACTGAGATCAAGTTAGATTTATCTTACTTATCATATGTCAAGTAGTTAATTAAAAAATGGAGATATAGGTATCGTTTGAGAAAATAAATAAGTGGTCTAGTTCTTTATAAATTAAATGTCGTGTCAACATATACAGTACGTATCGATGGAGGACTGTTATGCCAATTGTACAAAGCGATTTTTATTTTATTTTATATAATATAAGCAATCAATGGAAGCGATTCTCCTAATCGAATCGTGACGTCAAGATTTCGATGCTTGGAATCACGTCGTGAATACGTAGCACTATCAAGTTGTTTACATAATTTAACGTGGGTTATTACAGTACTGTACATACTTTACTGTACTGTATCATAGATTAAGAAATGAAGTCCTTTAGATTACCTTGCGATACAGCGTTCGAAAGCAACCTTTCAATCTGGCTAAGGTATCGTCCTGTTCATACCACTCCATATCGCTTTACCACCGTCAACAAAATTCATCAACACCGATAAATTAAAAATAGAGCAACAACATCATACACCTTGTTAGTCAATAATAATTATTATAATAAGCAGTAAGAATTCAAGCATCAGTTAGCGATACATATACTGTACTGTATACAGTATATATCACGGAGGAGCAAAATGCATCCCCAAATTTTGAAGACATTTCTCTTAATTGAAAGAACACTTGCAGTTTTGTATGCAATGTTATATTACATGGTACTGTATTAAGGAAATAGATCATTTTTTTGTGTGTCAATTAAGTGGGAAGCCGATAAGAATTGCTTCTAGACGACCTAGCAAAAACTTTGTAAACGCTTAAACAATCACACTGTACGCGTACATATACTTATACGTGGTTCTCTAGTGCAGCCGTGTTTCAGAATATAAAATACACGTATACAGTATTATAATTCTTACAAATCTAATGGATACGTTCGAAAAAATAAGTAATTAAATAAGATATTGTTAATCTTAAGCTTGTTATGTTATGATTCACCGATCATAGAATGGTCATTAATAGTAAAAAGCAGATATTATAATAGTTGCAATTATTCTATGCAAACGAAGACAAGAAAACTAAATTACTGACTGGAGGTTAAATTATATCGATCATAGTCGTATAGGTAGTTACGTGTATGTCGACGACATTGAAGACTTTTAATTTACTGACGGTAACAGCTAAAGAGTCTAGTACAACAACAAGATCAATAAGATTACATATCATCATTAATAAAACGATTTCAAGTCAGAAAGGTTCAATTGTAAAATTCAATTTTATTGCAATAAAGAAAAGTCTAGATTTTACGAACGGACTTGATTATCGAGGTAAAAAAATCTTTCACCTCTATGGGATTGACTATATTGTATTTCTTGATTACTAGCACATTTGAACTAATACCCTGTTACTGATACGCAAGTAAAATAAGATAAAAACTTGAATAATTATTCAATTCTTACCGTGCTACGCTGATATGTACAGTATGCGTCAGAGTCCTACAAAATCAGACTATGCGTGTAACAACTTCATCATGTCCAATTGCTTGCTATCATGGCTTCATATGAAGGAGACAGGGAGGACTTATGTTGATTTAAGCATAACTACCAGTCGCTTTGATTAAAACATTAACGTAAAGAATTGAATTTTATAGCATTTCTTTCTTATTATGTTGTCTATATATATGCAGGCCCATATGTAAGCGAAAAATATCACTCGTAGTCAGGAAGCGTAGAAGAAAATAGTGGCAATCGATAATGTATACGAGTATCCATCTCGTCCTACTAAAACTAGTTTATAGATGTTTACGTTGTGAATGGACATACGGTAAATCATAATACAGAACTTGACCAATCATTCCGTCTACTCGCCTATCCAAGCATTAGAAATAGGTAGGCATGCAATAAGAATTCAATGAGTAGTATACATTGGATAAAATGTGTCGATCAACAAGTTCAACTTTAAATAATTGACTTGTTCATTATCAGAGCAATTGTAATCGTTTACAGTACAAGCGTTGCACTCAAACTTGGCCATTCGGATGAAAAGCGATCTGCCTTTGAAAGATGGCTTCTGAATATATGCAATTGGTATTATGGCTGATAGAAATGAAATTCAGTATACCCTTTTATCAATGTAGGCCTATTTTTTTGTCATACTTTATCGATGATGGTCTATTAAGTCATAGCAATCATCTCCTATTTCCCTTATGAATGGTTTCTTTACTATGCTATCGTCAATATAATGATACCTTCCTAGGGGGGATAGCAAGCTGTCCAATTATAGCTCGTACACTACTTCAAGTCATTCTTAGTATGGTACCGAATTATTATGAGGCAATATGAATTTTACAAAGAGTCCCACCTGCAATCGTCGAAGAAGGCGTTGGGTTATGCTCTTCTCTACGTTGAAGTAGACTCATACTATTGATAGATAGTATCAGGCCACATAAGTGAGTCCCTATGTGTTAGCAGTGGTATTGATTGATTTACTAGTTAGTTAAAATCGCTGACTACTCGACTACAGAGTGGACTGGTAGAAAGTTGACTGAATACAGGTCTGTTACCCTTACTGGACGAGGAAATTTGCACTCTTCAAGAAAGTGATAGAGTCGTCATTTTTTTTTTATCAAGAAACTTTTCCTTACTCAAGTAGCGTTCAATCTATTCTTCCACAGAATGGAAAAATGAACAACGTCATGGGATATCCATAGACAAGATATTACGTTGAAAGTGCAATTTTATGCCATGATGGACTAATGTCAAAAGAATTCATTCGTTCAGTGAACAAAAATTCAATTTTTGCAATGTTTTCCAAACTAACCTGTCAGGGAAATGTCGGCGAAAAACTAGCCAACTGTACCAATCTTAGCTACATGTAAGCCTTTCTAACAGCATCAAGAATCAACATAATCAGCCAATTTAATTCCTTTTCCTTTTAATGGCTAGCAATAGCGCAGCACTACTGCAATCCAATTTTATGAATCCAGCTACAGAAAATTCTTCCCTTTCAAACTTGCATTGACTGCCAAGTGAATTTCAGTGAATTTCAGTATCGTACGATTGTACGGACAAACGTTTTGCCGTCGCGACACGTCAGTCAGTCAGTCAGTCAGTTACCGTGGAACTGCTATCGTGTATTGTACTGTACAGTACACTATAGTACTGTACTCAGGAACAAGTCCAGTCAAAGTCCTCTTTACCCCAGAGTGAATTGTTGAGCGACACCGTAGGCTTTAAGGTACTGTACACTGTACAGTATGGCTGAAGTCCAGGATCAGCTGACCGTTGAGTGTACAGTACAGTGTACTGTGCACTGTACACTGTGTAGTCGTAACAGTACAGTACTGTACAGTATGGAACATTTTGCACATTCTGGAACCCTGTACTGTACACTGTACACTGTACTGCACAGTGCACAATGGACAATCAATACTGTTTACTGGAGTGAAAAAGGCAAACAAACAACCAAGTCAACCAACTGGGATAAACAACCACGTATCAAAAAGTGAAGTGAGTGAAACAACACTTCAAACATCAACATGGCAGTACCAGGAATGGCTAAAGAGAGAAGAGAGTCTCTTTAGCAGCCCCTGGTTCCTGGCAGCACCATGGATTATTCCATGTAATTTAGTAATTACATGGACTAGTCTACAACAAACCTTGCTGGTTATGCTTGGCGTGCTCAACGCAACTCTCAACTCAATTCGCTAAGGTTAATCTAAATAATATTTCAGTTGACATGTTAGCTTTGGATCTAAGGTTGCGTAGGTATTCAAGTATATGTGCATATGTTCTTGTAGTACCTAAAAAGAACGTTGCATTTTATAGCTTCGATCCTTCATGATCCAAGCCAAGCAGAAATATCGCCAGTCCTTTATAGCATATGGTAGTAGCTACGGCTAATTTCCGTATACTGTAGTAGTATAAGTGCATTGTGCCCAATAAAAACGTGCAAACTGCAAACATGCAAGCTGCTAACAGGATGAATTACTAGTAAACAAGAACCAATTGAACTCCAGCTCACGATTTTGAACTGTCAATACTATAGTTACCCTTCAACCTATCTAGCGATACATGGTTGCCATAACCATACTGGATGCCAGTGCCAGTCTCAACTACGCCATCGGAATAATTTTTTTTCAGGCTGTAGCATCTACTGTGCTCTCATCTAGATATTGTGCCCAATAAAAGCGTGCAAACTGCAAACATGCAAGCTGCTAATAGGGTGAATTACTAGTAAAATAAGCACCAATTGAACTCCAGCTTACAATTTCGAACTGGCAATACTGTAGTTATCCCTTCAACGAATATATTAACGCACAGTATGAAATGAACTGCGCTATGTAACCATTACTGTATATGGTGATACATAGTTGCCATTACCATACTGGGCGCCAGTGCCAGTCTCAACTAAGTCTCAACTACGCCTTCGGAATAATAATTTTTTCAGCCTGTAGCATACTGTGCTCTCATCGATACGATGTGCCCAATAAAAGCGTGCAAACTGCAAACATGCAAGCTGCTAACAGGATGAATTACTAGTAAAATAAGAACCAATTGAACTCCAGCTCACGATTTCGAACTGTCAATCCTGTAGTTTTACTCCTTCAACCCATATAGCGTATACATAGTTGCCATTACCATACTGGACGCCAGTGCCAGTCTCAACTACGCCATCGAAACAATCAATTTTATTTTATTAGCCTGTAGCATACTGTGCTCTCATCGAGACGAGACAATGTACGCAATAAAAGCGTGCAAGCTGCAAACATGCAAGCTGCTAACATGATGAATTACTAGTAAAATAAGAACCAACTAATTGAACTCCAACTCACGATTTTGAACTGTCAATACTGTAGTTTTACCCCTTCAACCCCCATATAGCGTATACGTAGTTGCCATTACCACACTGGACGCCAGTGCCAGTCTCAACGATGCCATCAGAATAGTTTTTCATCCGGTAGCATACTGTGCTCTTATATAGACGATGCCGTATGCGCTTCCCAGGCGTAGCTAGTCTACAATCAAGTTGCTATAGTACAGTCCAGTGGTAACGCCCAATAAAATCGGGGCTAATCGATCAACACATCTCTATGCAGTAGCTGTATTCGTACAAATAAGATATCAAGTAACACTTAGTAAGGGCAAATCTATACGTGAAACTGATGTTGAATGGCATTCTCAAAAGTAAACTAGCCTGAAATTGACAAGTGATCAACATGTTGGCAAATAAAGTCATGCCTGGTACACGCATTTTATCATCACTTACTCAAGCCTTTCGTAATTATACCAGGTACTGAATTTATGTACTGTATCTATATAGTATACGCCTATAAAGTATATAGTCCGTAACATATACATATACGCAAATAACACAATCATTAATGAATGGGCAAAATTTTACAATTCCTTTTCATCATCATCATCATAAACATTAACTGATTATAGCTCTGAAAGACTGAGGGTTTATTGATGAACAGCATCTAGTTGCGATGATGATCCACTACATCCTTTAAATCCCTTCAGTTGATTAATATGCTGCTGTATTAAGTATATAACGGTATATATAGGTGCAAAACTGCAGATGCACAAATTATAATTATCTATGCGAGTGTTATCATCAAGGTATATTATCATATGTTGTACATAAATCTTACTTTCAAATATTAATCTTATCCAACTTTAAACGTATATGCAAGAACTCTGAGATGTTTATACATTATTGTAGAAAGAAAATTTCTCTTCAGAATAACGCCAAATACGGTTTAATGTAAGATAGAGCAACAATTAGTAATGCTGCTCTTTTACATCAGAGTATCTCAGTCTGCCACATTGTCTTCTTTACAATAGCAACTGAAATATCATCACTACTATGCTATTTATTTCATCAAGCGAACATGCATGGGCATTGGGTAATTGAGCATATTAATTAATCAAGTTAATATACTAACAGAATATCATACTCTTCACAACTGTGTAAGATATGCATGCTTGTTCTATCGACTAACCGATTCATATTAGCCATGCTGATAGACAATATGATATGGTTGTTGTGGGTGGTGGAATTATTGGCTTAGCCACTGCTAGAGAGTTGTTAATAAGACAACCAACATTAAAGTTGGCAGTTCTGGAAAAGGAATCTCTCTTAGGTAATGGATTATAGTATTCTATACCGATAGCCAATTTAAGCTACTATGAAAAATTATATCAGTTTCGGTCTTCCATTGACGATAGCAACGCTATTCTAAAATAGAGGTGTAAAATTTTACCTTAAATATGTTCGGTTATGATATGTACATCATATGATAAATAGGAGATACTGAATTCAGTAATTGCCTTAGATATTATGCACTATAACACAGTCTTAAAGGATTCTTGCCTGAATTAATAACTTGCCTATACAGCTCAGCATCAATCCACTCATAATAGTGGTGTTATCCATAGTGGCGTCTATTATGTGCCTGGCTCATTAAAAGCCAAGTTATGCGTCGAAGGAGCTAATTTAATGTATGAATATTGCGATAAGAGTAAAGTCCAATACAAAAAGTGTGGAAAGGTAAGTGCAGCATTGTTACTATGATTGTAAAATAGAAGTCCAATTACGTCTTTCCATCTTTCTTATTTTGCATCGATGAGGCTATAATTAATTTACCTGCATTAGCTCATTACGAGTACAATGGTAGTTTTTTGAGAAGGAGTACTATTGTTGCACAACTTGATTAATTATATAACAATTATTAAATTTTATATATGCAGCATTAGATTACTAAGCTTTTAAAGTCTATTATCTAGGTTATAGTTGCTGTGGAAAAAAATGAAATGACCAGATTAAAGAATCTTTATGAAAGAGGATTGCAAAATGGCGTTCGCGATATCAGATTGATTTCCAAAGAAGAACTGAAAACATTAGAACCAAACTGTGAGGTAAATTTAAATAGAAGCTCTTTCAATATCGTAAAACTAAGATACGTACACGTTAAGATAATATAATTGATTACAAAAAATGCTCACCTTTTCGATATAGCGTAGTATATAAAAGTAGCCATTTTCTCCTCAGACTTAGAAATTCTCGCAAATTTTATAATACAAAATCACCTTTTCGATGCTTTATTAAACTTCTCATAGAAGTAAATTATAAAATACTTATGCATTAAGATAGCAGTCGGTGCTTTTTCTGACATAATTGCAGGGTATTGCTGCTATATACGTTCCTCATACCGGTATTGTAGACTATGGACAAGTAGCGAAGTCTTATTCTGAGGATATTCGTAACTTTGGTGGTGATATCATTTTAGATTACGAGGTCATAAACATTTATTTTCAATTATTATTAATTTGGATATCTCTTTTAGTTATCTATGCCAAAGAAACACGAACCAATAGCGCTAGTTAATCTAAGAATTAATAGTAAAACAAATTATCCGTGCCTAACTAAAGTATCTTCTTATATTTTTTTATAGGTTACCAAGTTTGATTACACAGAAAGTTCTAAATCTTCCACAGGTAGCGTAAAGCTTATTTTTTTAACAAAATAAATACCAAATAGTCACTATTGCTTCATGATACCGCTGTATTCGTATGATGTAAATATACGTGATTGATAGATGTTTAACCGTTTTTGCAAATAGAGATACGTCCTCAGATTGTTATTCACGCCAAGGACAAAGTAGGAAATGAATATTATAGTCTATTGTTGTCAAGATATTACTGTATGCATCAGTAATCGTAGATTAACGCCGGTGTTGTTACCTCCAGCATAAGGAAAATATCAAAAGTAGGTTTGTCATTACATGTTGCGGATTGTATTCCGATCGCCTTGCGTCCAAATCAGGATGCGAATCCGAACCGAAAATTGTACCATTTCGCGGAAACTATTTAGTTTTACGAAAAAACAAAAGTAATCTTATCAACGGTAATATCTATCCGGTAAGTGCACTAGTTAACTATAGATAAAATTTTTAAATTTCAGTATCGCGATATTAGCGATTTTATAAAAATTCTGCACACTTGAAAGAAAATATTTTTTTCATTTATTACCTACGATAGGTTCCTAATCCTGATTTGCCATTTCTAGGAGTACATTTTACTCCTAAAATAAATGGGGAAGTATGGCTCGGCCCAAATGCAATACTGGCTTTATCGCGTGAAGGTTATCGCTTCACTGATATTAATCCTCAACAACTAATGGAATCTATCAGTAATAAAGGATTAATAAAGTTACTTTGCAAACATTGGCAATTTGGTATTCAAGAAACAATCAGAAATGCCTTTTTGCCGGCACAGATACAGCAATTGCAGCGTTATGTCCCAAAGCTTCAAATTGACGACGTTGTCAGGTAGTAAAAATAAAGTACTGTCTACTTTAATGAAAGTCGCAAAAAAATACTTACCTTTCTTTTAATTTTGTAATTCTAATTTATTGCTAAATTAGGGGACCAGCAGGTGTTAGAGCTCAAGCCTTGGATACTGATGGCAACCTAGTCGATGACTTCATATTCGATAGCCCTCCCGGCAATATCGGTCAATTAATTCTACATGTTCGAAATGCTCCATCGCCGGGGGCAACTTCGTCGCTGGCTATTGCCAAAGTTATTGCATCAGAAATTAATCATAAGCTCAATGGTAAAAAATCTTAAAAAAGAAAGTTAATGTATTATATATAAAACTATTTGTAGACGGAAACAAATTTAATTATTTTTGTGTGCTTTTAACTTATCGTTTTATAAATGTACCTATTTATGGAATTAGCCATATTTTGAAAATATACATCTTTATTGTACAATAAGCAGTAAAATTTTAAATTTGCTCATTTCTATTGCACCGATCATACTAGAATGCCTTGCTATAACCAGCTTATGTAAAATGGGTATAAATATGTTCTCAGATATTTCTATCAGTGTATAAACCGTATCAAAGTAAAAATGTTATAGTATTGTTTAGTCATATAGCTTGTTGTAAATGATAATGTAAATGCTGCAAACGACTGATCATGTCGTCAAGGATAGATACCAAATAGTAGCCGGACTGATGTAGTAGCTACACATTATAGATGTTTTGTAATTTAATTACTTTATTACAACACAATAAAAACTAACGTCCGCAGATAGTTATTATCATATATGCTTGTATAATTTCGTCCATAATCTTACTATTAAATCAAAAGAAAATTTCTAATCCTTCATCGACAGGTTAGCAATTTTCATACAATGGATATTTTAAAAAGCGCCACGTACATTATACAAATATATAATATCTATATACATATACTCGTATGAGTGATATTATTTTATATATCAACAGCAACCAACTCAAGACATTTCCACCTTAGCATAATTTAAAAAATTTAGAAGATAAAGAATAATATAATACAAACGCCAACATCAGTAGTGGATGCAACGATTTAGTACCATCACCTCTCATAATATTATATAGGTGTGCTGTGGTCATTTTATAACCCGAACACAGCTACTATCACACATTTTTTGAAAATTTAATCAAAGCATAGCATAACACGCTTCATATACGATTATCTTATTGACTAATCACTAAAATCAACAATACATACGTACTTATATACAGTATAATAATAAAAAGCCACCATTCAAACGGCAACTAGAAATTTTAGTAACATCAATATTTTAAGGAAATATCTAAAAATTAGAATCATCGTAACTTTCATCGAATTCAGAAAATGATCTTGCAGAAAAATCTTATAAATACAGATTCATTTTGTAGTATTAATAATTGCACGATATCGTTATAATGGGTTCATTCCATTAAATTCTAATATTGGCTAATATTAATGATATCTCAAATAATGCTAAAGTTGTCCCTGTTTTTGTATAGCAAATGGATCCTCATCAATAGTACGTGTTGAAGCTACATATACTATCATAATGAAGATGAATATCACTAAAAATGCCATACAGTATTTTCTAATTTTGCGAACATCGCCAGGCAATAAGGTTACTTGAGATCGTTGTGTCCTATGAATAATTATAATAACGTCAACGATTGTTGAAAGATCCTTAGGAAATACATCACTACACCTAATAAAATCTTTACAGCAAGAATTCTGATTACACTAACTTTATTAGCCTTGATAGCCAAACAAATGGGCTTCGCCTCTTATACTTATGTTCATCTGGATCATCTGGATCATCTGCAGGCATATCTACCTTATAAGAATCCCTACTTTTTTGATCTCGACTAAATTTTCTAGATGTTTGAACTGAAAAGTATTCCGAGCACATACAGGTATCAAAAACAAAAAATAGCCATAATTTATCTCCGTAAACTCGTTAGCATTTTAATAACATGTAATCGCACCTGAAGCAACATCAACGGCCATCGGAAAAAATTGAGGCAATGATTGATGAATTTCATTTAGAGAATCAGTCTCAGGATTGTTCCGTAACTTCTCAACAGTCGAAGTCACCAATTTCGTTCGTGCGTCGTCAGGTTCCATTTGCGCTACTGATGAAAACTGCAGCGGATTCGGTGGCAGATTTGATGACAAATTTGGTGAAGAAAATTGTACTTGATTCGAATTTGAATTAGAGGCATCAGATGGTTCTTCAATTTTCATCGCTTGTGCAGAATAAGCTAGTAAATTGCAGTAAAAGACATTATTTCTAGCTTAAGCTTGAGTAACCATGTTTCTTCTAGACAAGTCTATATAGTGGAACATTAATTTACCGATAGGATTTGCAACTGGACTGTGGTTACCAGTTGTTTGTACAATCATGCTTTTCGATACATCCTTCGGTTCCCCCTCTTCTTTATTCATTTTCTGTACCTCTAATACCTTACTATCAGAAGCCTATAAAATTAATATTATAATATAAGAACACATGCAAAATAACAAATCTAACACTACTAAAATAAATTACAACTTTTGTGTCGAAAATCAGAACGAACATTTAAATTTACTGTTTCTTTTTTTGATGTGCCATTGTCACCAAAAATGCCAATTAATTTGCCCCAAGAAGATTTCGCAATTTTTTCCGTTAATTTTTGTCCAAGTATTGAATTTAACCGATCATTTTGGATGATTTTGGCCTAAATTTGTAAATGATGACATATAATATTTGTACAAGGACAGTGTGTCTATTACCATTGGGATAATCCTCATAATATTATTAAATCTTACTTATAGGATAATCAACTTGGAAACAATCTATTATAATAATTGATTCAAACCAACAATTTAAATGTACAAGCAATAGGCAAAAAATGATAAACAATGATGATTACTAGTATATTAATGTATATCGTCAATCGTCCGATCCGATGGTGAATACATTATAAGAACAGTACCCAGTCGTTTGAAACTACTGAATGCTATAATCAAAGTGTATAACAGGTAGTGCATAGTTTTAATCTCACAACGATCATACTTAGGTCTAAGATTTAAATTAAATTCAGTTCGTTATATTCATAACAAAAGATAAAAATTTTTAATTTTCTACTTTGTATTCGAAAGCTACGGTTTGATCAATGCATTCGAGTTATACTTATTAATTATATACGTTCCCAGTATACTGTATCAGGTAAGGTTTATAGAGAGTTAGACTATATTTTACTTTGCAAAGTAAAAGTGTTGATGTTACCAACAACCGCTACACATTTGCCTTCTATTAATTATTCCAAGATACTATATAAAGCATGCTTAATAGCAATTCAAAACGATACTACAGGTACATAGCGTTATGCTATACCTACTTACATCGCACTGTGGGCATTTAAAATCTTGTAAATTATTTTGATCAAAATGGCCATTAATGCCATAGTTACTCAAACATTCTAAATGAAAGATATCTGAAATAGACAAGAATTTCATTAATATTAATCATCATTGAATAAGATATGTAGCATCTGCAGTCTACATTATGCAGTATATCAAAAATAAGCATTATGTAATGCAAAATATGATCAAGATTTGCTACTAGCAAATTACTGAATAAGAATGTAGGCGTCTATTAAGGTCAATCAAGCCTACATTGCTTTTACTCTGTCAATTCTACAAAGCAGTATAACCAAATGCAGTAATTCAACGAGTTGTAGCGGAGATGAAAACAGTTACCTAAGCATAGTAATCTCACAACTTCACCATTCCCATGTAGATTCTTCTTGCAATATCCACAGTTGGTATCATAGTCGCTATCTTGCAACCAGTTGAGATACGATTTAACCGCACACTAATATTAAAAAAATTGTCCATGGACGAAAATGATTAGTTATCTTTGATAGTACATAGGCATATTATGTATCACGCAAGCGAGTCTTTGCTACCTTCAATGCATACTACATAGGCAATATTATGTATCACGCAAGCGAATCTTTGCTACCTTCAATGCATATGTAAAACCATCGTTCATAATGAAATAATGAGATTGATACCGGTAATCCACTTCGAAGTAATTTTGTAGCAAATATGCATTAATAAACGTAGTAAACACGTAACGTAATAACTAGAAGACTGATTGATTCGTGCATTGCTTAGATTGTTGGCCTGATTGCAACTGATCGTTAGCTATAAGAAGGGCAGGTACTTTTACTTTTGAACGTCATATAAAAGGGTAAGTAGATGCGATGCAACATTTCATGATATTGCTAACCAGATCCATCAGTATACTGGAAAGTATGAAGCGATCAAGATACTATTTGTAATGGCTACTGTACGGCCGTATTTTGCGATCGTATCGAGTCGGATTGGGAGAGTTGACTTGATTTTGGATCTGGGAGTGAATAAGAAGGAAGACGGAAAACACTGCTGTACGGGTATTTTACCAATCGACTGCCAATGGATCGATCATCATCCGATGATTGCCCATAATGGCGATGAATGTTATTGTTTGTGCAATCTTGACGACTGCATAAATTGAATAGCCGTAGAATGTCAATAAGTTGTAAGTGTAGTATTTATTTTATCATCGATAGTCAGTACTGTAGTGCTTTGTAGCCTTTCCAGTATTGACTTCTTCTGATGTATATCGAGTTCATTGAAATACGTCTACTGTACGCTATACCATTCTGCTCCTATCGCTCACTCTACGACTTTTTGCTGCTACAGTCGAAGAGAAATTGGGGAGGGATTGAGTTCAATAATGAGGAATTGGTGGATCATGATACGCATGTAGTTGTACACAAGTACTGACTACTGACTGCCTATGCAAGATTATTCAACGTCTTTTAGAAAGACTCCAGAAATATCTTGGTATATAATGTAAGAATATTAATCCATCAACGCCAATATTCACCCAAATCTACTGTACTGGACGCTATGGTATTCACTATCGTCGACTATCCATGAAACTCGATTGTACTCGTCTTTTAACGATGGAAAGAGGAGGAAGGAGATACAGTAGTCAAAATGGGTAGACCAAGCAATTCATTGCCAATTATCAAGGACAAGCTTGTCTACCCTTGGTCATCAAGGCTAATGATAACACAATGTATAAAGTCCTCCTCGATTTGGATCGCTTCTTGTCTGGCATTGCACAGACAATCTGCTATTGGCTCTATTTTACTCTACATCAAGGATAGCAAAATGGAGTATTTGATTACAATAGAGCTATCAAAGGTCTAATCATAACTTACAGCGTAGTGATCTATAGCTAAGCAATGATCACAAACGTTGACACGATGTTCGAAACAAAATAAATTGGTGACTTTCCTCTTCGGACATTTGCATAAGCCCATGATAGCAAAATTTTCGAATTAGCTACTACGTGGAAGTGTTTGGACTTTTTGAGTGAACTATCCAGTCAGCGTGTAGTCCAGTACAGTCCAGTATGCCTATCGCACACTGTAGAGTACAGTATACCAATCTGTAGAAGTCTATGTGACATCCTGTACTGTACTGCGCAGTGCAGATCATCGACGATGGTCAGCAAGAGAAAGAGAGCGACCGGAAACGCTAATTTACGATTCTAAAAGCGTGGAGGCTGATGATTTTACTGGTCATTTCAATGATGGTCCATGTCTGCAGCGGGGTGTACTATACTGTACTGTGTAGACTGCTACTCGTATCCTAATAGAACCAACTTAGCTGCTAGTATGCTGCTCCATTTTGTGCCATCAACATCCTGTCATCATCATTTTTTATGCTGGTCCACAGATCAGACCATCCATCGCATGGACGGATGGACGTGTACAATGCGCCATTGTTCAACTATGGACTGCTAGAAGAAAACCAGACAGACGGACTTTTCTTCCTCAATGAGGCTGTGGTGGAAATCATTGGCATGATGACTTCGTATACAGCTTCCGTGTCTATTTTCCTAATCACTGGTACTAATTGAAGTAATATCGACGATCTTACAGAACTGTTGTTGAAATTTATTTGCGCCATATATGATTATCATTTTCTAAGCTGGTCCACAGATCAGACCATCCATCGCGCATGGACGGATGGACGTGTACAATGCGGATTCTGGAGATCCATGGTTAAACCATGGACTGTTAGAAGAACACCAGACAGACGGACTTTTCTTCCTCAATGAGGTTGTGGAAATCATTCACATGATGACTTCGTATGCAGCTTCCGTGCCTATTTTCCAAATCACGGGTACTAATTGAAGTAATATCGACGATCTTACAGAACTGTTGTTGAAATGTATTTGCGCCATATATGATTATCATTTTCTAAGCTGGTCCACAGATCAGACCATCCATCGCGCATGGACGGATGGACGTGTACAATGCGGATTCTGGAGATCCATGGTTCAACTATGGACCGCTAGAAGAAGACCAGACAGACGGACTTTTCTTCCCCAAGCATCACCATTCACCAATCAAACCATCAATCGCGTGGACGGACGGACTTGTACAACGCGGATTCTAGAGGTCCATGGTTAACCCAGACAGACGGATGCGTATAATGAGGCTGTGGAAATCATTGGCATGATGACTTTGTATGCAGCTTCCGTGTCTATTTTCCAAATCATTGGTACTAATTGAAATAATATCGGCGATCTTACAGAACTGTTGTTGAAATGCATTTGCGCCATATATCCGATAGGATGCCTGTTCCCAAGCAGAACTTAGTAACCGATAATAAGATTCAATGTAATAGGATCACTTAATTGACCCCAAAAATGAGTCCATTTGAAATGGATCGTCTCCATACTAAAGTACTGTCAAAATCAGGTGTTTGGCAGCATATTAGCACGAGATGAGAGTGATCAAGTCAGTCAGTCACGTACACAGTACAGTAGACTAGAGTGACTCGACAGTTCGGGTTATCCGCTAACGTGACACTGCTGTCCATCCTGTCCGTCTGTACTATGCTGTCCAGCCAGTGTTGAGTATAGAAATTTCGAGTAGTGCGTGACCTGAGGGGTCAGTCTACATTAAAACAGAGCGTACAAGGAGGTTCCCTTTGCCATCATTGGGCTGTTTCTTGACTCTATTAGTTGAATCTGGGACAGTTTTATTCTGATTAAGAAAGTGAAAACGGTTTATAAGACATCATTGGACATAGCAGTCTACTGTACTCGCTATCGTATTGCTTCCTTCAACTTTTCTTTCTTCACCTTAACGAGGTAAAAAAGAGAAGATCGTTTCCATGTATTTTTTCGCCAACAACAACAACAACAACAATAGGCGCATCGAAAAAGCATTTGGTCGGTAGAAATCGATACGTGACCGCAAAAGCGATTAAGTTGGCTGATCGTGGAGAAAGTAGATCGGTAAGAACAGAACTTAGTTTTCCTTTTCCTGTCATAGGATAACAGATAGCCTTAAAAGTACATTCGCCGACAATGACAACCGCTCTTTTGGACACCATTTTCACCTTATCGCGCACCCAAATCCTACTCCAATGCATTATCTGCAAGGACGTAAACATCCCTACTGTTTACTTAATGTCCCATCTTGCAGTATGTCCCTAAACCACCCATACTCAATATCAATTTGCAGCTTTTATACTCTAGATGTAGCCTGCAACATAGTGTTCAATCAATCAAGGCCAACAGGAGCATGAGTATCTTTATCGTGGAATCTTTTTGTTTTTTTCCTTTTTTTGGGGGGGGGGGGTCGCGATTAGTCTAACTAATTTATCTCCAAGATTACAGTAGTCCAAGAAGGAAGACCGAGTTATAACACTCCCTAATGCGCTCGTTAACGATACTACTGTATGACAATAACCACCCAGAAAATGGCTTCCAGCATGCCGACATATTTTGCCATACGTGATGGAGATCCTATTTAAACGCGCCCATACCGCAGGGTGATGTCGTTTCCACTGCCGCTGTTGTGCTCGGTGACCTTGATAGTTTATCTTAGACCGTTACGGCAATGGATCGACTGTGAAGAACCTTTCCATCATCGATCAAGGAAATGTGCCAAAATGATCGATCACAAGGATATCAAGCACTGATCATTACTTTAACATGATGTGCACTAAACTGCTGTAGAATAGTAACTCCATGGATCGGCAAACGATGGAATGTCAATAACCCTTCTACGATAGATAAAGGAAATGTGCTAAAATAGTCGATAACATGGATATCAAGCACTGATCATTAATGACGTTAATGTTATGTGCACTAAAGTACAATAGTAGTAACTTCATGTATCGCCAATCGACTACATCTGAATTTGGATAATCTTAGGCTTGTGCGCGATGAATAAACTGTTAATCAATAACCTTCTACGATAGATAAAAGGAAATGTGCTAAAATAGTCGATAACATGGATATCAAGCACTGATCATTAATGACGTTAATGTTATGTGCACTAAAGTACAATAGTAGTAACTTCATGTATCGCCAATCGACTACATCTGAATTTAGATAATCTTAGGCCCGTACGCGATGAATAAACTGTTAATCAATAACCTTCTACGATAGATAAAGGAAATGTGCTAAAATAGTCGATAACACGGATATCAAGCTCTGATAATTACAGATCATCGTTGTCAAAATTCTTGAAGTTGTTCCTTCCTACAACGCTAGATGCTACTAACTGTTACCTTTCATCCGTAAGCATGTACGATAAAATAGTCATATTCTCCTGTCATAACAATTTGTATCTCATTTCTACCTACAGTATTTCATGATTAAAGTCGCTTCCTTGTTGATAGTAATGAATCTTTAACGGCATAATTATACAGTACAGTAATAATTAACTTGACCGCGAAATAGCAAAACAAAAAAAAAGTGCATCGGTAATGTTATCATACTAAACGAACATCAATAACTATTTTCTAGTCATGATCCGATCTTAGCTATGACTCCACTCACTTGGGAAATGGATAAAATTGTTCCGCTCAGTAGTAATTTATTTTGATAAACAGAAGTCAATAAGATAAGCCCTAATCAAAGCATTCTCGATGGATAATGTGTTCATCGATCCAAATTGTCTACTCTACGGACTTCCATCGTAATGAGGGACATGTTCATCAATCTCCACTATGCATACTGTAGGTATAATACGACACTACTCTAGTGGCAACATTACTTACTATATCAACTGGCCTAAATTCCTTTTAAAAGAACAGCGTCGCTTGAAACCTGGAACAACATCATCTACACCAAGTATTGTAAAGCACTCGCAACTCCAATAAATAGAACTAACTTTAGTCCCTGTCTACGATATCAATAACTTAACACTATAAACACCAAGTTATAAATTACATGATCGAATTAACCAGCCAATAGCTTCTATTTAGATACATTCATAATGCTCAATCATTGGAGCATGATCGAAATTGATTGATACGGTAATAATAATAATAGTTAATAAATTCTAGATAACAACACTGAATAAATACGATTACTCTTTGATCCCTTTATGTTTTTTCTTGCAGCACTGATCCATTACGATAGTTTAAACCGGGAGTACTTGTAATTTATCCATCCAAAATAATCCACTACAATATCTGGATAAATAGTTTAATAATAAGAAGAAGAATTTGTACGCTACAATATTTCTTAACGAAAGAAAATTCCGATACAATTTGGTTGCAATTGTACTTGTAGTATCTTTTTCTTGATGACCCACTGTATCTCGCGTCCCGTCATTAGGCAAACAAATTGATTTATTAATCTACATAAAATGTACCATCAAATCCTTTGAACTACAAAGATTTGTTTATGTGCGCAAAATGTACCGTCAAAACCCTTTCAACTACAAATGGACGACAATACACTTTCATCTTAATCATCCCTTTAGTAACATTTGTTAACGAATAACAATTTATATAATTTAAGGCAAAAATGACCCACTCCATATACCGTAGGGCAATGCCAATCTTATCATAATTTAAAATTTTATAACGCACCGATTAAACAGTATTTCACGTAACATGATAATAACATTGATCCACCAATAAAGACTGTTGATATGTTGTTGATGTAGATAGTTCAACACCCAACGAAGATTACCCATGATGATTGTTCTTCTCTGATTCATGGCGAAAATGAACAATTTTAAAATTCCCCACCCTAACTTCTAATAAATTATTGTTATTTTAGCCAACGATATAGTCATTCCGTATTACTTATTCCGCTAAAATGCACGGTCTTATAACTATCTACAAGAAGCATAAAGACGTCTAAGCATATTCACGCCTTTAAAAACTCTTTTTAAGAAGCGTAATCTTCGCCCTGATCTTAAATTACATCCGTGACGTTTTACTTCCCCTTTATCTTAAATATGCCAATTAATTTATTTATTTATAACGTATGTACCCTCCAATAATACTAATGATACATAACAATCTTTGCTTTATGATAAAGTTCCGTGATGCTATAACATTACAATAATTTGATCATCACTCGATGAAAGTTAGAGATCGCAGTATATGGCATTTTATTATTCCTTAACAAATTGACCTGCAACATATTGCTTAGGATAAAAGTGCACAGACAGCAATGACACCACGGTCAAGATTTCAGCATACTAGAATATCGAACCTTGACTAACAGAACTGTACCATTTTACTTGTAAATCGAACGTTTCTTCTGTATCTGTTCTCACATTGTCTGTATACGTATAAGAACTCTGATTTAGCAATGTTTCGTGCGTGCTACAGATCCAGATCTAGTGCGATGCTGGCGATGCTAATGTTTTAAATGATTATTGTATCATGGAATGCTAAACTAAGAAAAGATAAAGCAACAAAATAGTATATTTTGATCCTACAGTAAGTTCATTATTATTTATCTATCATTGACGACAGCATCACTGTATTTTGGCCAACAAACTTCTTCGTCAACAAATTTCTACTAATAACATTGAGATGAAGATAAAAGTAACAGTATCTATGCTACTTGTACATGTTAATGTTTATGCGATACGAGCACTATCATATGCAGTAAACATCACCTTTTATCATGCTGTCATGAATCAATTCATAATTGCAGTGTATGTTTATGCTTTGAAGCCATACAGACAATAACAAATCTAATTCCTATACTGCTGGAAGAATACAACTGTAATGTAAACACGGTATATTTCACATAGAAAGTAAAGCTTCCAAGAATTGAAGGAAATGATCATGAAATAATTTTAAACTGTAACAAATAATAATATAATTGTTTTATGATGATATCATTATTCCAAAGGATATTTTACCTTCAGCTGCTAATTAGTATTATTTTACTTTCGTATAGATCATTGCAAGAACCTTCTGAATAATTGAAAAGAAGAGTTTGATAATATCAAAACACCATGGATCCTTGTGAAATGTTTCGCAACCTGAATCAACGTCAGCGTTCTTCGCAGTCGTTTTCAGAATCCAAAGAAGAGGGACAACAAAAGGATTGCGGATTGTCCGCCTCAAAGTTAAATTTGGTCAGATGTAACAGCCTTGACACGGATAAAGCAATGGTAAAAAGCATTTTGAAATCTTCCTGCTTGAGAAAGAAAGCTTGCCTCGAAGCATGCGGAGAAAAAATGACTGAAAAGAAAAGTGTCTGTTTCGCTAGGCAAGCATCAGTGACAGATACTTATAGCCCTGATCATTACGATGAGGAAGGACAGCTGAAAGAATGTCCTATCGAAACTGTTGATGTTAAGGAATCATACTTACTTTGCAAAAAGCCGTCCAAAATTTGTAGACAAATAAATGGAGGTGGTGAATACTGTAAAAACGGAGAGATCTACGTTAGAGGATATGATGACGATAGTGATGACGAAAACGAGAATGGGGCAGAAAAGAAAAAGAAAGCTTTTAAGAAAATTGTAAGATAGTACATCCAGTAGATGATTATCCTATTTTGTCATGCAAACTTATTAATACAAGAAACTAGCGTTACCTTATAGTATCCACAAAATAGAAGTGCCTTAAGCATAATGTCATCTATAACACTGTTATACAAGATAGAGAATGAAGTTTGCCACTTGCAATTTATAATAATATTATGATTAATATAAAGATTACAATACTTGATATTCGTATCTTAAAGAGATTCCTGTAGTGCATAGTTCGAAAACTACCATCCCAGTTATACATGAAATTACCAATTTACTTACTATTGCATATCGAATTATTTATTAAGCCCTGTCGAAAATATATTCATATGATTCTCTTCTTCTTCTACGTAGTTGTGGGAAAGACTGGTTAAAGTCTGCTCACCGGAAGAATATAAAAAGATGAAAGCTAAATGCAAATCAGTCCATGCCAAGAAAATTAGCATCTCATCGGCGATTGGCATACCGGACAAAGGTTGCCCATCCTATTACAATCAGTGCCCAAGCCTTTTTGGTTCCTTCACATAATGTCAATGCCTATCAACATTTGCGTTTTGTGGCTAGCGCGATAGGATTAATTTATCGTACATTGTTTGTAAAAGTAAATTGTAAAATCAAACAGTGCCATTTACGATAACATGGGAGTGTTTGCGTCAATGCGTAAAAGAAATTAAGCGGCATCTTAATGCTAGGTCATGACTTCATCTATTTCTTTTCATTCGGGTACGTTACGCTTTGCTTAGCCTAGCATTTGCCATTTAGCATTTCATACATACATTGTTCATTAATACCTACATAATAAGCTGACAGATTTAATCAGTAAATTTTTGGTAATTTTAAGTATCAAAAAATACTCATGACAACATGATTGATTAGTAGTGATAGTTTATCAGATGGACTTGCCATTTAACAATAATATTTAGCTTATACGATCTTGAATTCGCTGTTTATCTCTTAAGTTTAGTTGATGATATAAATAGATTGAATGGCTACCCTTTTGACCTGATGCAGAGTGTCTTTGCTTTCCAAAAAACTGCATCATAGCCGATTACTACATTTTTAAGCAGCCCTTTAATGTCTCTACTTGCAAAGCATAAGTTTTGAGCGCGTCTTTATGCTATTAATTGTTACTTTATAAAGTAATGTTAGTAAATTTGTCTAATATGGTTAAAAATGAAATTTATACTGTATATTTCAGTCATTACGAAACCACCAATCGAATTTTCGAGGGTGTTTGAATTTACTATAATATCCAGAATTGTTACTGATTTTTACATTGAAGTTTAACAGTACGTTTAGATATTCTTTAATGTCGAATTACTGTAAATTATTGAATATATAAATATCGCTACGAAATACATGTACTAGCATAGACTCTTTCGAATACAAAAGTTAATCGCGTACGTTATTGTAACATTTTTGCTATTCATCATTCATATTGATAAGATTTTTTTCTTACTCGAAAATATTTGCTAAACTAAAGTTGTATTGGCATTACTTACTACCTTGTTTCTACTTACGGTCAATAACATTTGCAAAGAAAATGTGAGGACCTATAGTGAAATTTTTATTCTTTATATTATGACAATCGTAATTGATGCCTTGTTAGCTGTAATAACGATAGTTCTATCTAAAAATGATTGCCTACTGCGGTTGATAGAATCTTTTACAGAAAATCGCTAATACGCGCTGAAACAAATTTAAAATTAGTAATTGTAAAATTTTTACGTATTTGACATTTCGTGTATCATACTTGTACCAGGAAGGTAATCTTACATATGCGAATATATCTCCTTAATAAATTAATTGAAATATTATCCTTCTGTGATCTCCAAGTATGCTGTAGATATGCAATACTCAATAGGGGTATGCAGATATGTACAGTAAAGTGGAAGCCTGTAGCTCATACTAATTCGTTAAAAACTCACGCTATGAATGCAACAGCTGCACTAGGAAGTCATTCTCTTAAGCTCATAACGCTAGGCTTTACATTGGTGGACTAATACTGTTGATAATTATTTTAGTAACCTAAAGAGCAACTAGCAGGAAAGATTAAGCATGTTAAGGAATCTAGGATACAAGAACTATAAATTGTGATCATTGAAATTGTCTTTAATAGCTCAATCTAGCCGCAATACATTCGGTATCAGCATTTTAATTACGTTATTCCCTGTTTAAGTCCTTGGAGTTTTAATTTGCAAGTACTATTAGGGTTTAACCATCGATTAAAGTCAATCACCATTGCAAATAATAAGTAGTTTTATTAGTAGAGTATATGATTTATATGCAATACAAGCATTTATCTAGCTTTCTTAAGCTTGATGCAGTCCCAATTAAAGAATTATAAGGATACCTGTAACACATACATAACAGCTAAATATATGAAAACACAAAAAACACATTTAAGGAAAATAAGAAGCGGAAATCTCTTATAACGCAATTAACAAACGGCTAATTAGAGCCTAATTCGCTACAACATCTTGAGATCACGATCCCATTAAAAATGCTTAAGAGCATATATTCACGCATTAATTAATTATCAGCTGCTTATAAAATTGCCCTAGCTAATAGTAGCATGAAGGAAACATTACGAAGGAAAGAATAGACGATTTCATTATAATGAAAGTAAAGCCATCAATAGACCACGATTGTAATATTAGTTTTATAGCAACACTATCCTAACAATGTAATCAATTCATTATATAAAGTAATTGCTTAATTTTATTGTAATAAAACACACCTTTATCTAAACAGTCCAATCTCTTATAACTAGATTAGTCAATATAAGGAGTTTTTATACTACTCCGAACTGTGATCAAAAACTCGACCGTTAACTAATGTAGCTTTCACAGCAATTTTATGAATATTATGCTTGTTAACATGGAATACGTCTTCCTCTAAGATAGCTATATCGGCTAGTTTCCCAAATGCAAGTGTCCCTTTAATCCTTTCTTCACGTAACAAATAAGCAGCGTCTTTAGTAACCGTTCTCAAGGCGTCATAAACACAAATTCTCTCATTTTCGCCAATAACATTTCCTTCTTTGGTTTGACGTACAACGGCATTTTGAACCATTAACAGCGGATCAATAGCTGTTATAGGAGCATCAGAATGAAGAGCAAAGGTGACTCCAATCTTTTTGGCTGTAGCACAAGGATTCATATATTCAACACGATCTGGACCGATTGTTTGATTCTTATGAACATTTCCCCAGTAATAAATATGATTTGCGAAGAAATCACCATTAACATGATAGCGTTTCATTCTTTCAAGATGATCTTCAGTAGGCGTTTGGCAATGTTCTAATCGAAAACGTGGATCACGATCTGGAGTAAAGCGCGATACTCGCTCAATACTATCTAATATCATCTCGATAGAGTCGTCGCCATTAGTATGGATAGCGCAGAGAATGTCATTTTTGATTAATTCCTGTATAGTTCGATCAAGGTCAAGAGGCGTAATATTAGCAAGACCTTGATCTCGACTTGTATAATAATACGGCCATCGCATAAGGCCAGTAAATCCTTGTATTGAACCATCAGAAACTATTTTAACACCTCCTAATTTTAATTTAGGATTTTCAAATTGTTTCAGTGCTCGAAAGGCATCTACTCCACCTAGATGATCGTAGATATCATTTAGCATATAACAGTTGATCCTAACTGGATAGTTATTTTCTTGCGTGACCTGATAGACTGCATCCCAGCTATGATTAACAGTACCAAAAGCAAGATCAGTTAGAGTTGTTACTCCTTTGCTACTAGCGACAGTTGCAAAGCTACGAAGTCCACTAGCTAATTCATCTAAGCCAACATCAAAGTAGACCATTAATGGAGCCATAGCTGCCATTTCTTGTAATTCTCCTGTCAAATGGCCGTCTTCATCTTTAATGACACCTTCAATGTCAGTATCATCGGTATATCCTATTTCTGTTAGAGTTGCATGATTAACATAGGCTATATGACCACTCATATTCATAATAACTACTTTCTTGCCCCCTTCAAAATCGATTTCCGATGCATGAATATTAGGATCGTCGTCGTTGGGAAGTAATGTTGGATCATAGCCCCATGCAACGATAGGATCTTCCTCGCTAGTTTTTGAAACTTCTTCAAGATAACTTACCACATCTTGCTTGTTATCATAGCCCTTCATTTCTACCATCGCCCCATCTACGTATTTCGTTCGATCAACAGCTCCAACATAATAGAATTTAAAATACATCCCTTCCATAGATGCATGGCAGTGAGGTTCAATAAATCCAGGATAGAAGAAGCAGTCTTTATAATCTCTTTTAATCTCATAGCTTTGCTCTCTTGCTTTTAAACCAGTTACAATGCTATCTTCTGATCCAACGGCAAAAATTCGATCACCTTGAACAGCAATGGCAGTAGCTTCTGGTTGCAGGGCGTTCATAGTATAAACTTTCTTTGCTGTATAAATCTTCACTGGTAATTCTTCAATATTGAATGGTTTTGATGGTGCTGCTTTCTGAGCTCGTTGACGATGGATACTTTTCACAAATTCTTTTCTGTGCTTCTCTCCATGAGGACCACCGAAGCCACCACAATTGCAGCCCGTAGAACGTTTTAATACCTTGCTCATGATGTTAAAACACTAAATTGGAACCTTATTTCAACGTGAAAAAAAATTACAAAAGTTTAAAATGTCGCGGAAACAGTCAAATATAACACAGGAAGCGATCCAACAATCCGAAATTTATTGAGTAAATCAGCAATATATATACCCTCCCTTAGCCCTCCACTCCCCCTCCTCCGGCAATTGCCACCTCGATAATAGTCCGAGGATAATTGTCCTAGAACCATCAATTAGACGCGATACACAAAAGCCCATTGAAAATATGTCACCTTTAATTAACAAGCATTAGCTCCTATATGGCTGAAAATAATCAACTAAGGATATTTTATCTCAGAGAAACGTTAAAATTGAAAAGTAAAAGAACGTCCACCAGTTTTACTCGACTCTTTAGCTTATCATGGTAATTTCTAGAATCAAATGGCTCCATATTCAAACTGAAACAAAATTTCGTTTTCAATTGTAATCAAAAATTAAAATTCGCACTGATAAATACTTTATTCATATAATTACAAAAACAAAGTATAGAGAGTATAATGCGTGAATCTAAAGGATTTTTTTAATTAAATTAATCTACGTTAACGCAGCTCTCCAAAGAAATAATAAAATGCAAACGTGACCTCAAAAGAATTGTCTAACCCTTCATAGCTATCTGATTTTATTCATCCTTTTGTACTAGAATATAAATAAAAGAGAAGAAGGTTTTATATATGACATCTATAGAATCAAAGCTGAAAGAAATTACTGATAAAAAATTGCCAACTTTAGAACTGCTAAAGTCTTGACATTGAAAAGTTATTCCATATAAGCAGTTATATATATAAAGCAAATTTTTTGTTATCAATTCCTTTCAGTTTTGATTCTATAACTGTCAGAAATAAAATTTTCTTCTCTTTTCTAATATAAAGGGTTCTGCAGTCTTGGAACTACCAAAGTCTTGACATTAAAAAGTTGTTTATACGGACAGTTGCACACATTGAAGCAATTTTTGTAGGTAATTCCTTTTAGCTTTGATTCTATAGCCGTTATATACAAAACTTTCTTCTCTTTTCTGTATAGTATAAAGAATGATACAATCTATCATGTGACATGAAGGTAATTCAGTTAATCTTATTTATCAAGTTAGCAGCATATATATACCAGTTCTAGGACAATTGCTCCCTTTTTTTATTGGTAATTCTTTTCAGCTTTGATTCAATAGCCATCACACATAAACCTTCTCTTTGATAGTATAAAGAACGATGCAATCTATCAGGCGATATTAAGGCAGTCCTGTCAATTTTATTTAGCAAGTTAGCAATATACATACCAGTTCTGGGATAATTGCCCCCGGTCAATTACCTCCTACCTTTGCCACCTAGGTGGCAAAATTGTCTAATTGGCAATTGTCTGGGGGCTCTAAGCTATACCTCGATGTAGGTAGTGATTCTGATTTTAAATCAATTAATCGTACGTGCTATTAATAACATTAGCTTATGTACATAGCTAAAGAAATTTTATGATCATTTCTACTAACTCTGTTCTACTAACTCTACTCAGTGGGTAGATTATGCGTAGAACTTTATAATAAGCGATTTTATTACCGATTCTCTAATAATTGAGACACTACCTTGAGTAATAGTATAACAAGCTCTGACAGAAAAGAGAAAAATTTCTTACATCAGCAGATTTGGATAAAAAGGAAGGACTGAGAACAATAACGACAGAAATATGTAGCTGCTTCAATGCGTTACCTAACTTGTTTACAATATAAAGATTGCGAATAAGATCACTCAACACCTGCAGAACTTAGTATAAGAATAAATTCTAAGTTTACTATTCCATTCTACGAAGCTAAAATCAATGTATGCGTCCTTGAATTATCATAAACAATATGCATGTATACTCGCACCAATTATTATTAACAGCTCTAGATCTGGTATTATTTATAAGTTATATCTAATTTACTTCTATATAACATGTTGACAGCAACAACTTATCTAACAGCATCACTACAGTCATATTGTAAAATCTGTTGTCCTAGTCTAAATTACTCTACATTTATCAAAATATTATGGTTTGTTAATTTTTCCGTTTCAAGGACCGTTTTGGTTTATATCTGAACAAGAACTATAGGAACCCTTTAGACAATAATAAAATTAAGCCAGAAAACAACTTTAAACCAGTTTTCAAAGTCTTTTGAAAGTAGTTATAAGAAAGAATATAGGAGGAGTTTAGTTGTAGTATTTAACTCGGATAGGTGGGTACAAGCTTGTAGATGCGGTTGGAGTGGGAGTGGAAAGTTACTGAATACATTTAGCGGTAGTTCATAAACTCTTAGGCAGATAATGCCACGGATTTGATTGAAGAGTGTCTGCCGTCATTCCTTCTATTAAATATTATTTGCTTTAGCTATATCGCTACGGTCTTTAGCTCGGCCTGGCAATCTAAGCCGCTAGCAATTTTTGACTAGGATATATAAACAATTACGCAGGCCAATAAATAAAATCTGCAGAAAAATTATAATTACTTTTAAATGCCTTCACAATTGTAGACACGGCTCTTTAAATGAATTCATAACAAAGACTTAGACTCTTTCATATGATTATTTGCTGCAATTTTAATTTGATTTGGGATTATAATTAGTTCATGTGTGTAAAAATTGAAATAAATTAATCTAATCAAACTATTTTACTACCGTTGCTGTATATGATTCGATGGCAATTGTCCTCGAACCATCCTATCATAAGTTAGAAGATATCGGGATGGAGTAAATAAATTAAGGATGAAATTTTTGTAGAATCATACGTATATACTCGTAGTAATATTATATCATGTATTTAATTTTAGAAAACGAGACAATTTCGGAAAATCTATCAATTCAATCTCTACTAAAGTAAATGAAACAATTATAAGTAAAAATCTGCGCATACTATTCCACTGAATGATCAGATTTATAGTTAAGATGCAAAAAACTATGTCGAGCATAATCGTACCATAGATGCAAATATTACCCCGCTAAAAGGTCACAACATTAAATTATTATGCCTCTCTGCACATGATCAACGATAAAGTTTAAAAATAGGAAAAAGCGTTGATACTGTACTATTGATTCAATTAGGAGATCTACTTGACTAGATTGACAATAATTCAGTTCATATTCAAGTCTTTAATAGATCGATCTTCAAATTACTAATCTGGAGCCTACAATTTAAATTATACTAAAGTAATGATGTTATGGTGAATTACTATTCGATAGAAGGCTCAAAATTAAAATAGAATAGTTTCATAATTTCTTCTATAGCATAAGTGATCGCTAGAGGTACCGTCGGATGAGGTTATTATTTACACCAACCCATGATAGACTATCTTCTTCAAGGAAGCTAATACTCCTTTTTGTATCACCTTGATCGTCTTTAAATTCTGTCGTCCTTAAAAATTGTAGTCAAATACAACAACCATCATTCTCACTTAAAATTACATTGATTGTTGTAGTGATTTCGGCTAATGATGGTAGTAATGTGTGTTGAAAGTGTGATAATGATATGAAGTAAAGCACTAAGTGAGGTAGAATCGTCATCGGTGCTTAAGAAAGCGTATTGTCGATTAATTATGGGTAATATTAAACGCATTCGTTGCAACAGGTAACTCATAATAACGAGCGACATGATGTAGTGAAAGTGTTACAAATCGAAATTTATAATAAGGAAAAATTCAAACTATTCTAAAAATTACGCTATAAGTCTACTGTCAGGCTTGTCCTCCCAGGCATTTACCTACAGTACGACTGTAACTACTGACGATCTCCTATCGTCAACTTAGTTAAATAGTCATTCAATTTCTAGTAAATCGATATAAAACATTAATTGATTATCAGTTTATAGATAATATTATTATAAAACTATGCAGTTATCTATTATTAAAAGTATGTATAACATCATAGATAACGGTATGTTATCTAAGGAAAAAAAGATAAGCATTTGATAGAAAAAGTCACTTCGTGATAGAAAGTTATCGCAACAAGTCGTTCTAGGCTCGTATTTATCCAATCTATTTCAGTTAATTGCTTAAAATGTGTCCTAAAATAACTTGGAGCTTAACAACTATGCAAATGATTTAATGCTATTTTCGCATCAAGACCAAATTATCAAACAGGCGTTATAGATGTAATCTTGGATTGCCACGACCAATTTATTACTACAGCATGCTATACTGAAATATATCGCTAGAACTGAGCCCTTCTGTACGGAAATCATTACTAGCAGAAAAAATGAATTCAATGAAAGAAGATGATTGCATTTTACTTCCATTTTGACGACAAAAGTCGAATTCCCCTACTAAAACTCTGCGACCCCAAAACTGTCAAAACAGGTATCTTAATCAGCTAATTATTACTATGCTTATGCTTGTATATATAGCTAGAGCTAAGCATTTCTACCCTGAAATCGTCACTTTGCTAATAGAAATGAAGAGATGGTTGCATTTTACTTCCATTTTGACGACAAAAATCAAATTCCCCTTCTAAAACTCCGCGACCCCAAAACTGTCAACATACACGTAGGTATCTGAATCAGCTAATTATTACTATGCCTAGGCTAGTATATAAAGCTAGAGCTGAGCATTTCTACCCTGAAATCATCACTTTGCTAGTAGAAATGAAGAGATGATTGCATCTAACCTCCATTTTGACGAGCTCATGCTCGAAAACTGCCCAACCAAAGACGGTCAAAGTGTGTACCTCAATCAGCTGATTATTATCACTGCACTTAGGCTACATATAGAATCACAGCTAAGCACTTTCATACTCAAATCATCATTTTGCTAGAAGAAATAATAATAAATTCAATAAAAGAAGAGAAGATGATTTCATTTATCTCACTTAGAGTAAATTCTATTTTTCTCATCCTCAAGACGGTCCAAATATCGCACCATCTTCAACTGATGATATACATCATTATCACTGTGCTTCGCTTTCATATATAGCTAGAGTCCTAGCTGAAATGGATGGAAAGAAAGCAGAGAAAATGGTTGCATTGGGCCTCCATTTTGATGGCAAAAGTCCAATCCTTCTTCAGAAACTCGACAACCAATGCTACTCAAAATATATATCGCCATTAGTTGATTAACAGCCTCCATTCCATGGGCCGGCCATTGGATTCAAAGTGTATTAGTACTGTACATAATATAGTGTCTAATACTGTACAGTATATCATTATATAAATGGAGCAACAGCAGTCTTTACCTGTATATTTCATATAATTGCCTGTATACATTTGAATGGTATGGTACACTATATTACATACATACTAGGCGTAAGCACAACAAATCGATCAGCCATGCCTGGAGAAGGAAGCTAATTGCACAAGCAAGCTGCAACTTTCAGGAGACCAGCTTCAATATCTCTTATTTTCCAGCATTAATAGACTAATGCACATCGGCTGCTCTAAGGTTACATAATAAACTGATCGCCTGTTTTTCCACGATGATGGACTCCATTCAATGGCAAAATCTTGTGATGGGAAAGTACAAGCTACTGGTGTCCTCAGGTCAGTCTTGCAAGATGGAGCCTTTAATACCTTTACTAGTCAACTAATGATGAGCTGATCAAAGTGATCATGACGGTATTCTCATGAGCATAGTAGAATTATTAGAAAATTAGAGTAGTATCCTTTTAATTGAGCTATAGTTTATACATTCGACTGAATATTCAAGCTCTATTGCAACTGTAGTAGACCACCGATACCTTTAATGATCGCGATTGAATCCAACTCTTCCATTTGACTGCTGCTTACAAAATCAATACAACAGTGACAGTTATTTAGCCTACATTCTCTGCAGTCTGTGTCTTGATATTACAGCTATGGTAACTTGTAGAAATCATCAATGAATTGCAGGTTCTTGAGTAAGAATTAATTATGAAAGAATAGTGACCGTTGAAACCAGCAGGGATATGATCACAAGTTCAGCCTTGCATGATTAAGGAAATTTTGCATTTCCCCCAAAATGTAACAATGCAATATTAATTGAAAGATTACTCTACTACTGGTTAAAGAATCTTTTATAACCAACGGTATTCACTTTCCTGCCATTTCTTCCTATTCATGCAGAGATTAATGTTGAAGACGACTGGAATAAAATCCACACCATTGTTAACCAATATGATAGTACACTAGTATGGCAAGAAATGGCGATACTTTCTAAAATTTGTTATCGTTATAAAAGTCAACTTAGAAGGGATAAGCATTATCAATACTTGAAAAAGGTAAGTAAAAATTCGATAGATTTTACATTATAAACGCATTATAATTTATAAATACTGAATGCAACGAAAAAATACCAGCTAAATCTCTCCTGTATTTATGAAAACTCTCATTCTGACAGGTGGAAAGATTAACGAAACGATTATATAATCTAAGGATGAAATCGACATTAAATAACTTTTTAACTTGTATAACTAGGTAAGGATCCTGCTGCAAATGTCAATTTTGAAATAGACTCAAATATAACTGAAGCATACGGTAGCATAGATGATATAATTGATGTAACTTATTAAATTGATATTATCAAGATTTTTAAAACGTAAGCGTACTATCAAATCAATCTAAGTTACTTACATATAGTACATACACGCACGCGTCTACATGAGTTAGTTTTCTCTTCATACTATAGTTATTGTACTTAATGATTATCGAGCTTAATTTTTACCATCATAGATTAATGTTAAAGTTATCCCATTATATTTTAATCTTGCATTCGATAAAGTTTAAGAGAATTACCTAAATCTACCGATTGGAATCTATCCGTTGAATTTCCATCTTACTCGTTAATGCAATTAACGGCACAGCAATTGCAAAACGCAGTGTACCTAATCTCCAAGGTTAGTGCAATGCCCATATTACTTAACTACAGAAGACACATACGTCAGATGATAGCTTATTTTCCTGATACATGATGCTATAAATTTTCATTACTAAATTATAATTCAATGTCTTTATGCAATATCTTTATATGCGTATTCATATCGAATAGATACATAGTATTGTATAACATACTAGAACTATCTAAATAATTATGTTCGTTGTTGACTTTTTTTCATCTTATAGATTCAAGAAGCGGTTATACAAACGTTTATGTATCCGTTATGGAAAAATTAGCAATCTGATCACAATTTTTTTCAATGTATTTTTCGGGTTTTCTACTGTCATTCGTTCCTTAACTAAAATAAGACATATCTGCTCTCAATTATCTATGGGATTATTTATCCAATTTAACCTATTAGCAGCAGCAATTGTAAGCCGATTAAGGTAATAACATACACAAGATTCATAATTAGCATTCTTACAACAACAAAATATTGTGTTAAAATAGATTTCTACCAATGACTAATGATCTTACTACTGAAATATACTGAACAGCTAAACATTAAAACTAGTTATAAAGAACGTAGCACATTTTTTGTAACTGTCAATCTACAGGAACTGTTTAACAGAACTAATCGATATCACAATACAAGCCTACAAGACAATCTATGAATGGCTAAGGATGTCCGTTAAAGCTCAAAACAAGGTTATGCACAATCTCGAGAACTACCAGGAAAATAATGTTTAAAATTTTTTACCTCAAAATATCGTGAACGATTGTTTACAACTAAAACTTATCATATCGCCTTTAGGTGTTAGATGTAGCCAATTTTCCAGCAGATTTGAGCCAGTATCTCCAAAATGATGCTAGTTCTGGTAAATTTTATTAACTTGTTGACGAAAATTGCTGTACAGTCGGCTTTAATTTTGCATACGTGTATAACAACGATCATATTGTCGTAGTCAGAAACTACGCTAATTTTATAGTAACATCCATATTATTAATTTCACAGGACAATACTTGATAGATAGCAGTGCTATGGATGAAACATTAAAGAACTCTACGGATAACATCGATTTGGGCGGTATGTAAATCAACCTTGGAAGATATGGAATTTTTTAAACAATAAGTACTGTAGCTCGATGTATATCTTAACTAATAGGCCAATTTTTGAAGATTTCGATAACTACAGATGTTTATTGCTAGCAATAACTAAATTCACCTTACAGCACAACGAGTTCTGCATATACTGTAAGTCAAAATAGCAACAGTTACGATACGCGTATAAGCCGCTCGTATTGCTCGCACTAATTTTTACGAACTGAACAAACGCGCATAACTCATGGCATTATAAAAAGCAAATTTATTATCAGTTTTAGTATGATATAACGGCTACTGAGTAAATTATGCATAAGCTGTGTTTTATTATGTGGTGAAGAGTACACAACAATACTCGCAGCATGTTTACAAAAAGTTGCCGCAAATGAAATGCGGAAGGTGAATGTAGCTATAAATACACAAAGACTCCTTCTAGTGTACCATAATGCTGGCGGAAGGTTCGCACTCTTCAGTAGTATCAGCAATTAAAGGCGTTGAAGAAAATGGTCATAGTTCCATGAAACTCCATATAAAGACTATAGGCAGTCTTTTTATTTCGTTCTGCTCTTTAGCATGAAAAAAGTAATCTTTAATTACGGCTCTGTCTAATATTTTGTATATTTCTTGTAGAACCAGTTGACTTTGTAAAGATTGAAAGATTGTGCTCTACCGAATCAGATAAAGCTTTGATGGACTCCAACAAAAATCTTACTGATGATAATCGAAACCGAAAATCCACTTCTAACAAACTAGATGATAATATTCCAAAGAGGCAATTTACCAGGCAAGGTGAGGGCTCACATTCTCCAGTTTCACAAAACGAAAATTCCTCAGCCACCGAAAAGAAATCTACACCACTGCTGTCTGCCAAGTTAATGTCAATGGCGAGTAAGTCATCCCATTTAATACAGCAGTTAGAATGCGAAAATGAACGTATCACGATGTTGCGGTACAGCCATAAAAAGTATAATATGGACACAACGCCAAAAAACTGTAAAGATTTCACAACGATAATTCCACCGGAAGAGGCAAGACTATTGTATGAAATGCTAAAAGCGAAATCATTTACGACAATATTTCAAGGTCCAAAAAATCTTCTCCTCCATCATCATTTCAGAAATTTCTCATCTGTCGCTTTTATTAGAAATTATTCCTATCGTTGTAAGATATTAAGACACTTAAAAAGAAATTGTAAATCTGGAAGAACGAAAGATTATCATTTAGAATTTCCGTGGGATACTCAAAGCTACTGCCAGTTTGATTCCGATGGTGCGAGCATAAATCAAATTAAAAAGGAAATACCCAGAGATAATCTAAATTTTAAACCACAGAATCATGATAGCGATATTGTGAAGACCAATGTAAATAATCCATTCGTTCTTTCTAGTTCATCCGAAACAGAGAAAATGCGTAATAGCGAACTATCAGAGATTGATCAAATTTTCGCATTTATTGAATAAAATTCATTCTTATAACATTACCATCTTATTTATGCTTCTTATGTATACAGTTGAATATTACATCTATAAACTATTAAAACCTTAGCGAGATCCTGATGTATTTATCTTAGGTTTATGCTGTTGCTAATTCACAGCAAATAATAGCACAATAGTGGACTAAGATATCAATGCTATTCTACTTCATCCTTGTATAATCTTCAAGAAGTACTTTATTTTTCATCTGCACTGTAAGTACTTTACCTATCTGTGATACTATATAATCCATCACAAAATTCCCAACATTCGTAGAAAATTAGAACTTCATTCGACTTTTATACAAGAAATATCTATGCCCAGTTCGACTCCAGACGAATTTGACTACTGGAAAGACTTCCAGACAGAAGTACCGAATAATCTGAAGTTGCCTGCTCCAATTTTCTTCATAGCAATTGTAGCTACAATCCGCATAGCAACATTTTACCAATAGTTTTATAGCAATATCATCGTCACAATGTAAGATTTACTTATATATGAACTGGCTGTTTTAATTTATGCTAGCTAAATACACCTCAGTCTACACAATTTAATCTCTTCTAACTAAATTAGCCTACGAACGATGATCAAAAACCCGACCGTTAACTAATGTAGCTCTCACAACAATTTTATGAATATCCTCCTTGTCAACTTGAAATACATCTTTCTCTAAGATAGCTATGTCGGCTAGTTTTCCAAATGCAAGTGTCCCTTTAATCCTTTCTTCACGTAACAAATAAGCAGCGTCTTTAGTAACCGCTCTCAACGCGTCATAAACACAAATTCTCTCATTTTCGCCAATAACATTTCCTTCTTTGGTTTGACGTACAACGGCATTTTGAATCATCAAGAGTGGATCAATCGCTGTTATAGGAGAATCAGAATGAAGAGCAAAGGTGATTCCAAGCTTTTTGGCTGTAGCACAAGGATTCATATATTCAACACGATCTGGACCGATTGTTTGATTCTTATGAACATTTCCCCAGTAATAAATATGATTTACGAAGAAATTAGCGTTAATATTGTAGCGTTTCATTCTTTCAAGATGATCTTCAGTAGGCGTTTGGCAATGTTCTAATCGAAAACGTGGATCACGATCTGGAGTAAAACGCGTTACTCGCTCAATACTATCTAATACCATCTCGATAGAACCATCGCCATTAGTATGGATAGCGCAAGGAATATCATTACTGACTAATTCACGTACTGTTTGATCAAGAGCAATAGGCGTAATATTAGCAAGACCTTGATCTCGACTTGTATAATAATACGGCCATCGCATAAGGCCAGTAAATCCTTGTATTGAACCATCCGAAATTATTTTGACGCCTGTTAATTTTAACTTTGGATTCTCCGATTGTTTCAATGCTCGAAAGCCATCTGCTCCACCTCTACGATCGTAAACACCATTTAGCATATAACAGTTGACTTTCACTGGACAGTTATTTTCTTGTGTAACCTGCTGTAATGCAGCCCAGGTATGATTAACAATACCAAAAGCAAGATCGGTTAGTGTCGTAACTCCCTTGGAGCTAGCTACAGTTGCAAAGCTACGAAATCCCCTAACTAAATCATCTAAATCAACATTATAGTAACCAAACAATGGAGCCATAGCTGTCATTTCTTGTAATTCTCCTGTCAAATTGCCATCTTCATCTTTAATGACACCTTTAATGTCAGTCTTATCGGTATAACCTATTTCGGTTAGAACTGCATGGTTAATATAGGCTATGTGTCCACTCATATTCATAACAACTACTTTCTTGCCCTCCTGAAAATCGATTTCCGATGCATGAATATTAGGACTGGCTTCATTGAGAAGTAATGTTGGATCATAGCCCCATGCAACGATAATATTTTCATGGCTAGCTTCTGAAACTTGCTGAAGATGATCTAACACCTTTTGCTTGCTATTAAAACCCTTCATTTCGACCATAGTCCCATTCACGCATTTGATTCGATCAGTAGCTCCAACGTAGTGAAATTGAAAATACAATGCTTCCAAAGAGGCATGGCAGTGTGATTCAATAAATCCCGGGTAAAAGAAGCAGTCATTGTAATCCCTTTTAATTTGATAGCTTTGTTCTCTTGCTTTTAAACCAGTTACGATGCTATCTTCTGATCCAACGGCAAAAATACGATCACCTTGGACAGCAATTGCGGTAGCTTCTGGTTGCAAGCAGTTCATAGTGTAAATTTTCTTTGCTGTATAAATGACCACCGGTAATTCTTCAGCATTTGATGATTCTAATGGTGTTGCTTTCTGAGCTCGCTGGCTAAGAACAGTTTCATTAAATTGTTTTCGATCCTTTTCTCCATGACGATCATTAAGATCGTCACTATGGTAATCTTTAGGAGATTTCGATACGTTACTCATGCCGTTCAAGACTGAGTAGAAAAGTTGATTTAACGTGGAAAAAAATCACAGGCTAGAATGATTAAGGAATAGCCAGACTTAAAGGACCGACCGTCCGATATAGAAGCAACAAAGACTATCTCTCAACACTAAAAGGCATTCACTAATCTGTCCTATTTTTGTATAGCAAGTCCGCAATTTAAGCCAATGTTCGCTAGAAGAAATAAGAGCAAAGAATAAATAGATTAACTAATTATCTATCAAATCCGTGACGTGATGATTGTGTCTAAAAAATTTCGAAACTACGGCTTATAGTAATAGGTCAACTTTTTCTCTTCTTTTCCAATCATACATACGCGTAGACGCCTACATGGATTACCCCCCGATGGTCCGATTTTAAGATTACAACTGAGCTCCCTCTACTGTATGCACCCATTTCTTATAATTACTTTTTTCAATGACTTGAAAACTGATTGAAGGTCTCACATAGTATAATTCAAAGTGAAATAGAATAATCGTCCTCTTGAAAGGCATTTACAAAAGAGAAGCAAGATGATAATCATGATCGAATCCGTCCTATCGTACTTTTTCCACTGCATTTGTCATAAAATCTGTCCATAAATATATATTATATATATAATCGGCTGTATCATTCCCTTCTTGCTAGTAATGCTATAAGCATACAAGTATTTAACAGCTAAGGTATGATTTAACATCCATAGGATCATATAACTCTGATCTATCTTAGTGTGCAGGAAAGCTAAGTAATTCAGTATCCTTATCTTTACCTCGTTAATCTAATTAACTTTGCATCATTAATAACAATATTTGTTTGCAATCTAAGCTATGGTAGGATAGGTATCCTACCATAGTATCCTACCTGTTGCAATTTTACTGAAATTTTTTCTATTCTAACAGCTCAGCTCGAGGTACTCCAACCACTATGCTTTCACTTCGGTTAAACATTGATATTGGATGGTAGTTCAGGCCATTAATACTCGTTTACTCTTAATTTAAATCTCGCAAATCTAACCTTAAAACTTTCTCCAAGGTAATGTTTCCTAACTGGCTAAAAGCTCCTTAGTACCTTATGCTAATACTCATACGCATATGAGACTAACTGTGCTGTACTAGCAATCGAAGCTGTACACCACCTTAATATCTTGATATTAGCTGATATATAACATAAGATATATAACATAAGATATATAACGTAAGATATATAACACTTGATATATAACACTGTATATACGGTATATACGAGAATATATACTGTGTACAACTGTTTCGGCATTGTGAGCCAACGACTTGTTTCTTAATCATATGGATCAATAATCAATTATTAATTTATTCATTATACCATCCATGACCTCTTCTAATTTATTCTATATGTGATAATATTATTTTAATATACGTATAAGTTATAATAACAAGAGTAGTATTTACGATCAGGTTAGTCCGTATCCGATGAAAATACGCGTATAGCATCATTTATGGTCTAGAAAGAAATGTGAATTGAGACAAAATGGAATAACCATGTCGATGCACAAATCTTATGGCAATGAGGACTTTGCTATATTGAAGTCATAACTTTACTACTGGAACGCATTTCCATGGCTGTCCAAGCTTTGGTTGATACCAATAATTAAAGTTATTGATGGAAAGATCAATTGTAGACATAACCGATGATTAAATCGTCTATGTGCTAACGGATTTGTCTAACAACGCAATGTAAACAGCTACTAATCGTTTTAAAATATTCAAGCCTAGTAGGTTGAAAATAATATACCCTATCTAGTTTTACACCGCTATTGCTAAAATAATAATATATGGACAATACGTGATTCAACTATTTTGACCAATTTAAGTCAAATCGCCTGTTCCTCATTCTAATCATCATCAACTACAATTTGTTTAATCTCCGAAACACAAATTGTTATTTTACTTACTCAAGACTGGCTAATTACCTTCTTGTTTATTAATTGATAACGTATGAAAGGATGAGATTGATATGGCTCCAGTATACGAAACCAATGCATCCCTATTACAGTACCGTTCTGCATAGAAGAACACTACGAGTAAAAGTGTGAAAGTAGATTGCATAATTTAAGAGTCTCTATAGGTAATGTAAAACGTGGACATTGAATTAGCCAGGTTTTCTCTTCTTCTATAAATACAATCATTTTTCATAGCATTGAGTGATCATACAATATTCGAAGAGCCTGTAATAGCATAGGTATGATGGTACTGTATTAAGCAGCTTAGAATAGAGAATTACCTATCTCCATCCAAACATAATGTCTGAGATCAAAGAAAATTGAATTACTATTCGTGCTCAACCATCAAATAAGTCCATCGCTATTAGATCAATTATCAGAGTAAGCAATTTTATTAGGAGAAGATACAGCTTATTATATCTATCGAGCGCAATACAGAAATGAATCCAGCTTTCGAAAGCTTGATACAATCTTGATGAGAACGTTTTTATCAATCAGGTTACACACAAAAGCATACAAATGTAATCTGAATATGACAAAGCATATCCACAGGAACAATATCTATAATTACATTGATTATGCTCTTTATAAATTTAATCTAAGCTATGGAACAAAGAAAAATATCATTTATTGAATGGAAACTTCGATTAAAGTATAATCTTGTTATTATGATTTACAATTAGTTATGGGTTAATATTTTGTATAAGCAAAGAAGCTATTATAGCCAGAAGAAGTATTCTATCATGGTAATTGGGTAGCAAAGTATGTCGCGAACATAACGACAACGATCCATATTAAATCTTCCTAGTATTATGTAGGGTAGAAATTGTAATCTATCTCTCGATTGGAAAGTGGAGTATTATTTGTTTTTTGTACTAGTATATTGTATTTTGCAAGAACAGACGCAAGTATATAACTTTTTACTGATATATTTTTTATTTTAGATATGAAAAATAAAATTTAACATGGTCATATTTAAGAAACCATTACGGATAACCAGTGATGTATGACTGTCGTATATTATATCGAATTAAGTGATAGATTTTCTTGTGTCTACAAATGAAACTATAGTAATAAAGGATAAAAGAAAAAGAATCTCTCAAATCAAATCTAAGAATTATTCTTAAGCCGTAGCTGTTAATTCAAATTTAAATATCGTTATGAAACTAGAAGTACAGGTTCTGAGTTAAGAATTACCGCAATAACTACAGTTGATAATCTGTCTTTATAAAAAAGACAACTATATATATGTGTGTGTATATATATATATATATACATAGTGAAGAGTAAAAGTCGTAATGTGATCATATCTATTTATATTGGTCTACAATACAAATTCAACTGATCAAGCTTTTGCATACAGTAAAAATAGCATAAGACTGATATATGTAAGTTTCGAATGGTCATATTCAACCGATGGATACATACACAATCAATACAGAATCTAGTCAGTGATGTTGTATAAATTGTAACTTTAAATGTTTAGATGTCAGTTCATACGTAAATTGATAATTTATAAACTACAGTCGATAAGTGGTAAACTAATCTCAAAATGAAAGATAAAATGAAATCATTGCAAGATGAACAAAGAAACTATAAGATAACTGTAGGAATGTTGTCTAATTCTAGTTGTACGTGTATATTAACCCTAATATAGATCTATCCCCATCATCATGGTATTTGACAATATTAACCTGAATAGGAATTAATTTTCTAATTACAACATTCCAGACATATGATTACATCTTAGTAAATTCTTAATCTACCAGAACAACAATAACTCTTTGGGCGATTACTTTACATTGCCATTAATGGCATAGGATAGCTAGGAGAGGACATTTAACCATTGGAGTTGTTTATCATAGAGATTCCCTAAATCGGTAAAGATAACCATTGCTTTGTAAGTACAACGATATTAGTCATATTATTTTAACTTTTAGCCATGATTACCTTTTGTAATGCGATAATCCAAGCAATAGACTGTTTCTTGTTGGGCGTAGCAGCAACCAAAAGTTTAACTTTCTCAACCTGATTTTCTGTTCCATAATAAGTCACCACAATTCCAATTGGAACACCAGCTACAAAATATTATGCCACAAGTCAACTACGGTATATACACTTTAATACACCAAAGTATAGATAATACTATGCAATTAATGGATTTTCATTAACCTTTATCATTGCTATTTTCCAATAAAATCTCCAAATCCTTAATAGAAGAGATTGTAAAAGAATCTACAGGTGTAGCATTGCCACCTTCGAAGGTGATTGTCCTACAGAGAAATTAAAATGCTGGTGTCAATAACTGCAGCGAAAAATGAATCATTTTTACAGAACTTAAGTATTACCATAACGATCATGTCGATTAGGTAATTTATTTAGTGGATAATATAGATTTATAAACTCATAATCACTGCTTATAAATTATCCTACAGATTGACAATAAGTCTTTGGATTGGATTGGATTTGACAATCCAATTCTGCTAAAGAATTACAGAAGTTGAATGTCTTCATGTACGATAGTATTTTTACTACAAGCTAGCACACTTTTAATAGCATACAATTTCAGCCGTAGGTTGATCCATAGTGATAATGGATAACGTTGTATACAGTATAATAAATCTCTCCTTATAGGCACAGTCGATATTTTATAATAGGCTTATTACGTTAATAATTTAGACACTTATGATCGACTAACTTATGGTCTGGTGTCAGCTTGCAAATATACATAGCTCCTAATTCAGGTTCATTGTCGTTAACAGAAACGGTAAAAGTTCCTCCTACACAAAAATATGTAATAGATTGATATTTCGAAAGATCAAAGCCTACACTTTGCCAGAAACGTATGAAATATCTAGTTTACCATTAAGGAATGCCTTGAGATGTTTATTGAAGAATTCATTTTCTTTCTTAGTAATGATGGAACATGGACCGCATTGCCGAACAGGATCAACGAAAGCAAATCGCGGTAACGGAAGCCTATTATCACAGCATGAATTGCAAAAGACCTGTCCACATCTTCTACAATGATGCTAGAACGAATAAAATTGACAATCAATGGATTGCTAATATCATAAGATGTTAATTTTACCCTATTTAGTAGTATTGCAGTTACGTAAGTAATGTTGTGTTGTAATATGCAAAATACTGTAAATAAAATATTGAAGAACAAAAAATTATTAAAACTGATAGTGTTTGATAAATGATGATAGACCTTCCACTTGAGCAGTTTCACTATCTTGATGTATCATTTTTACCCTATTTTGTCATTTTCATTTTAACTCTGTTATCGAGACGGTGTAGCATGATCGACATTTGTATTTGACAATGTATTTCATGCAAGAAGAATTTTAGAATAAAATCATACTAAGCTGATTTTGGTTCCAATGATAAATGATGATGAGTACACGATTGCTTTTGATGATGGCATAAACATTACAGTAGTGATAGTTCTCATTCTTGCTAGCTAGTCTGTACTACATATACAATTAGTTACTGTTCTTGCGCTATCGTATAATAGTAAATACTACTACAGTGATGAAATTTGATGCAACTCATGACCTATCTACAAAAGAAAGCCTTTTAACTGAGAGTATCTCAATGTAGTGCCTATTGCTAAAGCAGATGATTTATGACCGCCATATTGCTAAAACAATGTAATTCTCTCCTGTTAATGACATTGATGTCATCTAGCATTCTATTATGATGGCAACCGAACCTCTGGCACCTTATTGACAAAATCGTCATAGCAATGTACTACTTTATAACAGTACTACGATGGCATCTAACTATATGAAATGAATTCGATAAACATTGCCTCAAACATGGACTAATATTGTATTCATCAACTAGAGAATAAATTGATGAATTGCAGCAAGACTATCTTACATAAGTATAACATGAACTGCTTGGATTCCTTCTACTTGAAACACATTATTTCATCTATTAGCTATCCATGTTGAATTACATACAACACTCTAGAAGGATTTGAATGGAACATTGTTTATGTAAAGTTTCATAGAATGTTTGCTGCAAGCCCAATGAATTCATGACATAACTAAGAGGATACAGCCGTAGAGCCAGCCACTGGAACTATGTTTGAGAAAAGTATTTTTACAAACAAATAATTCCTGTCTGCTATGTTTACTACCGACGCTGAGGATCGATAAAAATGTATGTAATCCTTTTAATAAAGTAGATAGTAACCTGATGCACTGACTCGTTATTCATGCCTGCTAAAAGATCGAATTATCCATGATATTGTATAACATGATTAGTTGAACATTATGACTAACTTGGGTCGTGTATAACTTTTTTCCATGATCAATGAAATAAAAGTAGAACGACATTTCTATTTGTAGTCAACATCAAGCAACTCAAGATGTGCTGTACAACGAAGCACGATGACTGATTAGTAAGTGATTACACATGGTTATACAGTCATAGTAGTGTCCAATTGTAGTAAGATTTTGATCCTACCGTGGACAAGCGGAAGTATTGAAGAATGATTAAACTAATCTATCAGGTACAATTGCTAGCTAGGATAGCTTGAACAAGTGCTTATCATTGACTCAATAACATTCAATTAAAATCATTAATGAACTGAGTAGGATAATTTAAGCTATCGTAATCGATCGTTAACATTAGAATTGATTTACTTTTCGCTTTAAAAAGTCGAATCGAGTTCCACACTTCTTGCAATTGGCACACTACCATAGTTTATAGAAGAGAAAGAGAGAGAGAAAAAAAAAAATTAGTCTCATCAATATGACCATGATTCTAGAGGTAAAACTCATTATACGTGTCTATCCATCATTCCAATAAGAAAGTTTATTTTATTTCAAAACAACGATTAAAGATGAAATCGTTGATCCTAGCGTAAGTTGTGGTCGTAATCGATCGCTATCGACTTATTATCACGCCATTGATGGACTAGAAAGGGTCTAAAATCAACATGGATGGAGGCGAACTTGGTTTAGCTGAGCGATGCTATCCAAATAAAGCGAATCGATGAAGAGGAGTAGACTGTCGTCGATGTTCATTAAGTTTATCGAGTAGTCGATGATTCAATCACTATTCTACCATGCTACTACGCATCATTACCATGTGTCGAAAAAGGTAGAGAATCTACTATTGGCTCGTTGGCAAAAAATGAATTGATTTAAGCGAATCCTTTAGGTCAGAAAAGCCATCATGGTTATTGATCGCCATAGCTGAAAGCAGTAAACTGTCGCAATCTACCGTGACGGCATCAGTCCATTCCCTATCACTCCCCAAGCATCACGTTGTCTTGTATCCAATCGTCTCAACAACAACAACAACATCTTCCATTACAACTTGTCCAATCCAACCCAATGCATCCACTAATCTATCGTCGATGATGATACTCCTAACAAGAAATGGTTCACATCGATTTCAATCCACGGCGCTTTTCTCCACTTGATCGGCGCTATTTTCCATGGAGACGGAGTGGGCCGTCATCGATCGATTACGTCAACCATGTCCCAGTGGCCTCTACCCCGACTCCATGATGGCGAAAAGAACAACAAGAAAATGAGCGAAAGAGGCAAATTAATTCTTACACAATTATCTGCTTCCCATTGTGGTTCTTCTAGTTCAAAGGGCGATTTCATGACGGTACTTGTGGTGACCATTCGAAGGCCCGACTTGGATCTTACTAATTGCTTCGACACCGCCATGGTAGTTTTCCACCAACTGGCCGGTACTTGAAACTCCAACTACAATCAACACACGCCAACCACGGCCAAAGGGATTAGACTGAAAATTATTGAACCCTGGGACGGTGGCAAGCGCCCATGGACTTGGGTTAGGCAATGACAGCCACAGCTTAACTTCTTCAACCTGCTTGGTTTCAATCGACTCACACCGAGTCTTACTTAATACACTGTACAGTATTCTATGGCTTGACATTGGACAGGGGGGGGGGGGGGTTACGACGTCACCCACTCAGAACCATGGGTCAATGGGCCCCGTCAAGCGAGCATGGACAGAAAGACGGATGGTCGTCCAGGGAGAGTGGGTCAGTAGGCCCGGTCAAGCTAGCATGGAAAGAAAGACGGATAGTCGTCAAGGGAGAGTGGGTCAGTAGGCCCGGTCAAGCTAGCATGGAAAGAAAGACGGATGGTCGTCAAGGGAGAGTGGGCCCGGTCAAGCTAGTATGGACAGAAAGACGGACGGTCGTCCAGGGAAGTGTTGGCCCGGTCAAGCGAGCATGGACAGAAAGACGGATGGTCGTCAAGGGAGAGTGGGTCAAGTCTAGTCAGTAGGCCCGGTCGAGCGAGCATGGAAAGAAAGACGGACGGTGGTAAAGGGATAGTCAACACCAGCAAGGAGACTATGTTATTGGTCATTTCAACTGTATTGTAGGTCTGTCATGGTACACACTACTGTTAGACGAACGGCGTCTGCTGACAGTGGGCTGTCCATGAAACGGCTGCCAGGTTCTGCCATAGCCAAAAATGAGATTATAAAACTCACCCTTATCCCCATTTTATTTCTAACAGTATGCAGTACTAATGTTATTGTATAGTACTACCACTTGAGACATGTTCTAAGGTTGAGAAATAGCTTTAAAAGGCATTCATCAGTCATATAAGACGACAAGAGGATAAAAATAATAAATACAAAACAAATCTCTCCAACTCTCTTTTTTACTCTCAATCAGTCTTTCCCTGATCGTGTGTATTTCCATTTTAGCATGATTTGTCAAACTTCCGTAGTGTATAGTGGTGTATACAGTATGTCAAAGAATGGACCAACCAGCTGCTTACTGCAGAAGTGAATAATAATAATAAAAAAATGAGGTAATCACTTTTTGATGATTGGGATTCTAGTGAATGACTAGGAACTTTATAGTGTGACATCAATTTTGCTCACTACGAATAATATTTTTTTACGACAGTCTGTTGACGAAATTAACCTAAACACTATACTCCAATCAATATTGCACTGCCAATGTAGCCACCATAGGATCGGTATCATCTAGTATGAGCAAAATAAATGTCATGAGTTACAAGAGTACTCCACTATGGCAAGGAACTCTCATTTTGGTGGCATTTCAGGCTATAAAATAACTATCGTGCAAAACGAATGTCTACTTACGCCATACAAATTCAAGTATGGTCAAGGACTACTAAAACGATGGTCATTTGTCTACCCATCCCGTATCTTCCATACTGTCCAACTTACCCTTGTTATACTACTAGTAGCACTAGACATACGATATCCTAGTAACGCTTAAATCCCTATGGTCCGGAGTCAGGACTCACTGCGCGGCTATCCTACTCTCATCGACAAGACTTTGCTTGCAAAATCGACCTAGAAATGACCTTAAAAGGCCAAAAATCACGCTGGATTAGCTTAGTTTATCTCTCTACTCTTTCTCTTCTTTCACAGGCTAGTCATACAAAGACCAAGAATACAGGTAAACTATTGATTGAATGATGATTGAGCCAGATGATCAAACGAGATGATTGTCAACATCAATATGTCTAATACAAGAAGGGGGAAAAGAACGATCTGTTATCATTCTACTTTACTGTCTTTACTCCATGGCATAGGAAAATAAAGTGTTAGTTATACTTTATCATCATTATCCTACTCTCATCGACCAAGAAATGATCATAAAAGGCCAAAAATCACGCTAAATTAGCTTAGTCTAGTCACCAAAAATACTGGTAAGCTATTGATTGAATGATGATTGAGCCAGATGATCAAACGAGATGATTGTCAACATCAATATGTCTAATACAAGAAGGGGGAAAAGAACGATCTGTTATCATTCTACTTTACTGTCTTTACTCCATGGCATAGGAAAATAAAGTGTTAGTTATACTTTATCATCATTATCCTACTCTCATCGACCAAGAAATGATCATAAAAGGCCAAAAATCACGCTGAATTAGCTTAGTCTAGTCACCAAGAATACTGGTAAGCTATTGATTGAATGATGATTGAGCCAGATGATCAAACGAGATGATTGTCAACATCAATATGTCTAATACAAGAAGGGAGAAAAGAGCGATCTGTTATCATTCTACTTTACTGTCTTTACTCCATGGCATAGGAAAAAAAATGCTAGTTATACTTTATTATTATTATCCTACTCTCATCGACCTAGAAATGACCATAATAGGCCAAAAATCACGCTAAATTAGCTTAGTCTAGTCACCAAGAATACTGGTAAGCTATTGATTGAATGATGATTGAGCCAGATGATCAAACGAGATGATTGTCAACATCAATATGTCTAATACAAGAAGGGAGCGATCTGTTATCATTCTACTTTACTGTCTTTACTCCATGGCATAGGAAAAAAAATGCTAGTTATACTTTATTATCATTATCCTACTCTCATCGACCATAAAAGGCCAAAAATCACGCTGAATTAGCTTAGTTTACAGTATCTCTCTACTCATTATCTTCTTTCACAAGCTTGTCACCAAGAATACTGGTAAACTATTGATCAAGAAGGGAGAAAAGAGCGATCTGCTATCATTCGACTTTACTCCATGGCATAGGAAGAAAAAAATGCTAGCTGTATTTTATGACTTTTCCGCTTTCTTCTTTATACAAGCACACGAAAACCATGTTAGGGTTACGACAATTGAATGTTTTGATCGGATTGCTGATAGCGTAGGGATTCGATTCATGGATTGATATCGTTTCATGCGGAGTACAGCAGATATTATGGAAGAGCACTCGATCAACCTTACACGCGATTTCAATAACAATTTCATCCATCATAATTGTGATAAGAAAGATTAGAATGGAGAAAACACACTAAAACAATTTTACCGTGATGATAGTTTATTTCTTTAGCCGTTAGTTATCCGCTCGTGAATTCATGGACCAAAATAGATTGTAGTTTCAATTTTAAAAAATGAATATCATTTCAACCAAGACAATAAACAACAGGAAGCAGACCCCATACAACATGGATAAGGATCCAATCTATCCTAGCTATACCAATAGAGAATACAAGCACATTGAAATAATCTTACTGTAAAATCGATTGCTTTACCCAATAGCCAGTCATCAACGATTCAATTCATGGATTCATACAGTCTAATTTCAATTTCAAAAATATGGCAATTATTTCGGCAAGACCATAAACAGCCACACAGTAGGCCTGATCAACATCGATAAGAATTCCATTAATCAGAGCAATAACAATGTCGAATAGGACTCGCCACTACTTTGTTGAGTCATGAGGCATTAATACTGCACTAATTTGGCTCTTTATTGTCACATCTGTACTACTTTGTAGAAAGATTTTCTACTCCAATACATAATATACAATCCAGTATCCATAAATTAGCACTTGTGTTGATCTCAAGCAACGTCACCAAAAATGCAATTCTGTAGCTATAATCATGCACCTATAAATTCAGTCAGATTCTCCAAACTACAGTAATGTGATTCTTTATCTTAACATACGGTACAACTTTGTATGTAGTTTTTTACTGCAAATAATCAACTACTGTTAATGAATCAATACTTGTGTATCTCGATCTCAAGTGATTCCACCAAGAAATCAATCATCTATAGTTAGGATAATACACGCAATAATTTGCTTCGCATTTCTGCCTTTCCTTACAAATTAATCAAGCTCTTTATTCATAGCATACTATACAACTTTTGTACAAGTATATCGATTTTATGCTCCGATAATTATAATCAAGTATTGTAAATGAATTAACTCCTAGAGTAGATTGAATACAACGCCAAAATAAGGGTCTTAACCTAGCATCACATGGGTCATAATTGGGATCCTTTTTCATGTTGTCAATATTATAATCAACCGTCTGTAGTGCAGCCTGGAAACTAATTTTACTCCTTGTATATGTTATACTGTCATACAATACACGCAATGCGGTTGATAATCTTGCTGCTTTACATAGTCTAGAATACCCATATCGTTCATCCATCGATCCTCAATTTTATCGCTATTTTACTGAAATGAAACCAGTATGCTCCTAAGTGATCACGACCAATCTTGCATGCAACTCAGTCAACCAATACTTACTCTTAAATAGCATTCTGTACCAGTACAAATAAAAATAGCATATCAACCTATGCATCAGCGCAATAATCATGATAAAGTAAATATGCGTGTAGATGAAATTGTCATGATTGCCTCTACTGATGCTCTAACCCTTTCACTTTACTGAATGTCTAGAAATAACCGAATGGATATGGTTCGATGGCAGTTACTCCAAAGACCAAGTAAGCCTCCTACCCAATAAAACAACAAACAGGGCTTATCCTGGTGCTCGCTACTATACCACTTCATGGACTAACTATGATGGCAATATCTGGCTATTTGGTGGTACTGGATTCGAAAGGAAAAGCGATAGCGCTTCTCAGTTGAATTCCTTATGGCACTATTCTGCAACAACTGGAAATTGGGAAGTATACCTTGGTGATCGTTCGAAAAATACACCTAAACCACGTAGTCGAGCTGCATCGTGCGGAATACATAATAAACTTTTTGTAATTTTTGGTGGATTTTCTGGCCAAATGAAGGCTTTAGATGATTTATGGCTATTTAGTATACAAGATAAAAATTGGACTAAAATTGAACAACGTCCCAAGTCCTATCCCAAAGCGCGCTCAAATGCTGCTTATTGGTGCTATAATGGTGTCATGTGGGTATATGGTGGAAGAAATACCATCGGTGAAGCATTTGACGACTTTTGGAAACTCGATTTATTAACATTAACATGGAAAAAGTTGTCCATTAAGAATCATCAAACACCAGGTAGTCGGTATGGAGTCATAACCTGGACTGTTTTAGACAATCTCTACTTATATGGTGGCCATACAGGTTCAAATTTTGAAGGACATGCACATCTATTACGTGGTATGTCATCCGATCTTTGGGCATTTTCTGTTAAAAGTCAAAATTGGATTAAACTGGCCGGTAGTAAAGGGATTAAAAGTGCTCAGCATGGTGCAATTCATGTAGCTAATAAAAAAAATGCCCCTGGTTGCTTAGCAGACGCTGCATCATGGACTGACAACAAAGGTAATTTATGGATGTATGGTGGTGCTGGCTGTGGATCATACGTTGCATCAACGGATAGACTATATGAACCAGCCAAATTACTTTCCAATATTTGGCAATATAAAGTCAACGACGATGTATGGATATGGCACGGGAATAATACAAATAAACATGGTATTGCAAGCTATGGTCAAAAGGGCCAGCCTAGTGCTAGGAACTTTCCAAGTATTCGAGCTGGTGCTGCAGCTTGGAGTTTCAATGGAACTGCCAATCTATTTGGCGGTATCGGTCACGATCGAGATGGAAAGGACGGTTACCTTAATGACATGTGGCTTTATGGCATAAAAGAGTCTGCCGATGATACGTTATTACACTGGAAGTATCCTTTTAAAGTACCTACATCGATGTATAATTCCTTCACCATATTATGTGTTGGTGTATTACTCCTTGTCTTTATTTATGCATTGGTTCGATATCGAAGAAATGGCCCAGGAGCCAAAAAGAAAGACAAGAGACGCTATCGCTATACTACACTAGCTGAAGGCGATCAAGAAACGTAATCGTAGCAACTGTGTCTATTGGCATTCTGACGTAATTAACTCTATCACCTTGTTTTAGTAGTAAGATAATGCAATATACCATGTAAATTATGCTGTAAAAAAAACGATGTACGTTTCTTAGGAATGATTTTATCAACACGTTTTCAATATTTTCAGTTCCATATTAAATAGTAGAAAGCAAGTATAATTTTATACATTAGTATCGTCCTATAGCATATTCTGCAACTCGGAATACTTTTACAATGGCTAGTCATCATTTCAATATTGATGACACTTGTAACAAATGCGGCCTCTCAATGAGCGATTGAACGGAAAGGACAGTTACGCTATTATTTATTACCACATTGCAGTAGGTATATTTAATAAGTATACACATTTCACTCAATAGAAGCAAATACGATAGTATCGAATTCATTTATATTTAGTATACAAGCAGAGATATTACCCTTACTCGTATAATTTGAACTTTCAGAGAAGTATGCTTAACTACATATTATTTATAAAATCCAATTAATAATATTTATTATATGGAATATAGAGAATGATAAATTAAAATGCTTATTTATTGTCAAGAGATTAGTTTCATTATTTCCTTTCTAATATATATATTCATATTGCTTACTAAGAGAATATCTTTAGATACTAGTTATGGCAATTCATGTTATCATGTTCCAAACGGTATAGAACATAACGCATTTTGATTGAGGAAAGTTCTCCTTAATTATAACTAAATAAGCAATGCAATCTATTCACTAGTACTATTTAAATTTAAAAATTTTCCTTCTTTATTTATTGATGATTATTCAATGCTTATCCTAAGTTATACTCATCAGGATGGATAATAATGAATGATAATTTATTGTTGTCACGAATTTGATGTGTACTAACGAGATCATAGATTCCGATTTGCTCTGTATGCTCGGGAAAAGTCTTGACTGCCTGCCAATAGAGAATTTTAAATGTGCTCAATTCTTTACAGTTAATAATAATATTGCATCAGCCACCGACTAATGATAAGCTAGGATTGAATTGAAGTGAGTAGAGACGAATTCTACAGGACAGAAGTTGCTTCAGCTTCTTGCTGTCATTTTAGAATTCAGAGAACAACCAAATGTTCACGTATTCTATCTCATGACTGGTGCTGAGCTTGGACTGAATACGATCATCAACTAACTTTTGAAATAATTTTAAAAGTTGTAGACATTGCTTTCTTGCAAACATTACGGCTTGATTAAAATTGATATTGCCGCGTGAAGTGAGACTATAAGTCCGTAGCGTTATTAAAGACAACACATCCTAGCTTTCGTCATTTTCTGTACTTGGATTTGAGTCCAAGCTGATTTTACCCCATATGGAAGAGAAAGCAAGTAAACCTTCCAATGCAATATCCACAACTACTCTAACCCTTAGCTTAAATAGGCGGTTCTAAACCTACCATGTTACTGACTACCAACTAGAATATTTTATCATTTCTGTACTCGGTTATTTAAAAGTAATTTTATAGATGTCAAATCAAAAGATAAGAATACCAATTTTCCACTTTTACCCTATTTATCTCTCTTGAAACCAAATGACGTTTATTGAATCTAGATATAAAAGTGTTTATTTTCAAGTTAAAATTATCCCGTCGTTATTACATTATAAAAATTTTAACGCGTATTTTCATCAGTACAATTATAAATCATTGGCCATTTCTACCTATAAGTATAAATTTCAACTATTTAAAATTAGCCATTCTGAATTAGGTCCAAGATAATTTTATCCACACGGAATAGAAAGCAAGCAAATCTTCATGTTGCCATCTTGGCAGTAAAGTACTGATTTCATCTTTTAATACATAATTATAATGATTCTCGTAAAAACAATTAGGAAGCTAGCTATCAATCTGTTTTATGATGAGGTAGTAGCCTTCCGGTAGATACAACATTAGCTAGTTTATGATCAAATTATTCAATTCCATCCACTATGATAAGAAATCATAAAACATGTCTATATAACCTTGAAAGTATATTTGAGCACAGCATAAGACTACTATAGAACCATACATAAACCGATCTTATTAGTAGAATTCTTATACAGAGATTTAAAATGCTCATTTATTTCCCCCTATAGAAACCAAGAATAGCTTATACTGTAAATAGTCCTAAAGTAGGATAGAGTAAAGGCTAAATATCAGTTTTCATTACTGTATCAATTGAAATCGGTAAAATTAGCTGCCAATTTCCTACTCCAATTGTTGGATTCAACTTTGTATACAAGATAATGAGGATTGTGTCTATTCTAATGGCGTAGTCTAGTATACACAATAAAAGAAATGGCTGATAAAGTAACTCAGTTTTAAATCTTACTCTCCATAATTGCCATAAAATGATATTCTCCAATATTGCTTATGAAAAGAGATTGTCCATTGGCGACATCATTTATTCATCTTGGCTATAGATGGATTAGTTGATGAGAGCAGAATATGAAATATTTACTTTAGGAACTTAAAGCTCGTCCTATGATTTATGCTGTATCCAAGATGGCGAAAAGAAAGTGCAAATCTTATACTATACAGATTATATTCATTAGAGAAGGAAGATGGTGCAAGTTCTCCTTGAACCATTTCATTATGAATATTACAGTGCAAATGAATTCTATTATTGGATAACCTGTTTAACAACAGTCAATGAGCCATTTTTTTTTTTAGGAGTTTTATCCCATGGATTTTGGACATTAGTATCGAACTCTTGTTGTTAAAAATAAAGTTGGTGTTGAGCCACTTCGTCATTAATACTACTAGAGGATCAATTATAAGATAGATTGTTTAATGACTGCCAAGGGGCCAGTTTCATCTTTAGGAGCATAATCGAATTGGATGCTGTTGACTTGTGTTCCCCAACGATCATGGCTTGAATTTCTCTTATAAAATTTACACTGTAATATCATTTCTACTGAGCCAGCATCGCGAATATCTAGGACAATTCTCAACGGTGATCGTCCTTTACTTTTAGTT